GGCGCGTGTGCGAGGAGCCGCTCCGTCGGTCAACAATAACAATATGCAAATGCCCACCTTGTTATTTCTGGCCAGGCCAACGCGAGAGATCCAAATCGCAATCGAGCAGTCGAAAAACACAAATCAAAGGCAAGTTCACGCGTCATCGCCGGGCGAAAAAACATATAGTACCTATAGTATAGTATACCTCCTCCGTCCGATCCACACGCCCACGTCTGGACTTAACAGACGCGCCCGCCCCCTCGCATCCGCCGCCCCCTCTCTTGGTTCCCCCCTCCCCTCCCCCTCCAATTTTTAGGGGGAAAACTTTTCTCTGCTCGGCTTGCGTTCGTTATATTTTTTTGACAGCCCCGTCCCGCATTGACGTCATTGACGTGCTGCAAAGGAATTTGTTTTTCGTGAAAAATATTTTCAGGTTTTGCACTTTTTGCTTGTTTTTCTTATAAATGTGTTTTGCGCTAGGGTAATGCAGAGTAAGAGTGTTCGAGGGGTCTTTGTGTTGGTTGTTTGCGAATAATTAGTAGGTTTTAAGTCCAAAGGTTAAAAGCGAGAAGTCTGAACAGAATTTAAATATTTATAAATTTAGGAGCTGTAATATATTTTTATTATTATATTTTTTTTTAAAGCTTGGATAAAAATGCATAATGGCGATCCATTTCATAATTATTCAAACACCTTAAAACAGATTGATATTCTGAATAATTACAAGACTTTGTTTTATTACATAAAAATATCTTTTAAAATACAACCTTATACAAAATTTATTTTAGGGTAACCCCAATTCGTTGAATATAATTTGTTTGTTTAAATACCCAAAGTTGTTATCGTACTGGGAAACTCATTTTTAGGCTGGCTGCTGACGCCTTTGGACCACCATCATCAGCATCATCGCCGAGATCACCGAACACACATTATATTCCCGGTGATTGCGATCCGTGTTCGATCTGGTTTTGGTTTTGGCCAACTCTAGATCGCCCTGCTGGTGCCATTGAATGTTGCCCATTGGCCACTGGCCACTGGCGATCGTCATCACCTGGATGTGGATCTGGGATGTGGGCCCTCTGCTTAGAATCAGGCGGACAGAAAGCGCGTCATCGCGGCGCACGTCAGTCGATAATTCCAGAGTACGGAAAAAAGTAAAAGAAAAAAAGAAATCTGGGAGATCTGGGGCTCATCCGTGTGGGAGGCGGCACTATTTTTAGCCGTGAGACGGGCCGCTAAAGTATTTTGGTCATGAGTTCAAAAACAAGCAGCCAGAGTGGACGGACCGTCGGACAGTTTTATTTTCCAACAAATTATTTATACGCGAAATATTTCGCACGGAATGAAAATCTTATTTATAGCTGACTGCGAGACGACCTTGTCTCGCCGAATTCATTGTATTTGGATCTCTGGAGCACGCCGAACAACGTCCTTCACCCTCAGCCACTAAATGCCAGCCAGAAATTCCGATTCCATAGGGGAACTCAATTGAAATAAATCAATCTACGAGATGAACACCTACGAAATGCCAATTTTAGTCTTCTAAGTTATGAGCTAAATTACAAGATCCTAAGCAATTCGAAGGTTACAAGACGGTATTGAAAATCGTTGCAAAAAAAAAACAAAATCACTCAACACGCTGCATAAATAAACTACATCGAATATTTTTAGAAACGAAATCATGCCTCATCTAGTTGGTGAATACAAATGTTCATTTGATTTTGTAAATATCCCAACACTTTTCAGAATTTCCTGGCGCTACTGGGAATTCACGAATATGATTTATAGGTAAATAAAGGAAGCTCTTAATATTAAGTGGTTTCTTTTTATTTATTTAGCCAGAATTGTGAGGAACCTTTTGGCAGCCACGCGACTGCAACCGCTGCCGACTGAGCCAATTTTTTTGTTGATCTAGGACGGCTTTTTGTTTGCCTGGGTCAACCTCAAAGGACCAACAAAAAAATAAAAGAAATAGAAAAAGAACAAGCCTGCCACGCGAATGCAAATCTGCAGGCGTGCAAAAAACAATTGTAACAAAAAATTAGAGCAGCCAGGGGATAAAGTGATCCTGTTCCAGGATCTTCGCTACGCAAATTCTTGAAAAAAAAAACAAATGCAAAAATACTTCGCGGAATTCACAGCGGGCATTTTGGCCTTGTTTTTTGCCCGGAATTGCGTAAATTGCCGGTCCCAAAAACCAGGGCCCCGATTTTGGTCTCGCTCTCGATGTCCTGAATTTTTTAACAACATGCCATAAACAAATGTGTGGGCGAGCAGATTTTTTCAACGGTCGCAACGCAGCGCAGGCAGCGAATGTAGTTCAGTGGCCGCTTTTATGGGCCATCTAGATCTAGGTCTAGGGTCCTGCGAGGGCCTTGATTTTATGGCCCCGGCCCTGGCTGCTGGTATTGCATAACATTGCGTTCGCCGCTGGCAGGACTTGCGTAAAACTAGGCTCGCTGTTTGCCGCTCTCATTATGTCATAAGCGAGCTGGAACAATGGCGGTGCAGGATCAGCGAGGATCGGAGCAGAGGATCAAGGCGTGCGCAGGTTAGGTAATTTTCAGACTTCGGAATTGCTATCCTCGAACTTGGGCATTCAACACCTCGTCAGAGGGCTTCCTGTTTCCCGGGACTCTTGTGAATAAATTCCCACTCACCAGGTGAATAAATTCACACTCCATCTAACGGTAGCCACATCCTCTGAATCCCCTTTGAATTCATAATTAGATCCCAGCCAGGATCTGTGATTCCTGGCTTCATTAGCCGCCGTGAAGACAGGTAGCCCGGTCAGCCGTGATCATCCCCCGACAATTATTTCCGGCATCCCTTTGTCTTTTTTTCGAATGAACGCCTTCCTTATCAAGATTGCCCTTCTGCTACGCCCACTCAAACTACGAAACTGAAAATTAAATGAAGGAAAACCATTTCGTTAGCATCTAGTTTGCGGTGTGTTCTGTGATGAGGCACCCACTGTGCGCCGAAGGAGGTCCTGCAAAAGCAACACGTGTTGGCTGACCAGAAACCGAACCGCCAGGATGCCCAGCGGAATGGTGACGATTAGAGTCCCCAGAAACAGAGCCTTAAGGCGAAATTAAAACCCGAGACAGTCGTAAAAACACTGGCTGGTATTCAACCAGCTAAACAGAACAGCTCGGATCGGATCGGATCCTTTGTGGCGCAGATTGGTCAGCGAGATTTCAAAGGGGGCGCGTGATCGCCATCAAAATGCTCGTGGAGGCAATTTAAATTGCTGGCAACGGAAAAGAGAGGCGCGTGCAGTGGACAGCGGACAGCGGAGGTCGGTGTGCCAGAGTCCCCAGGTAGAGACACGATCCAGAACCTGCTGACGATAAGGCCCCCCGATTCCCATTCCCAATCCCCCAATCCGCATCCCAAACCACAATCCCCAATTCCCATTTACTTTTTGCGGGAGGTACGAGTTGGGAAAGAGCTGCTGAGTTCGCCTCCTCGCGTGCTGGGTGTTGAAATACATTTTCGTTCTTTCCGTTTATTTATAACAAGCCGCACGGCAGCCTTGACACTGACGAGATCCGTGGGGCCAACTCAAGGTTGTGGCAATCTATGTAGCTCCTCAACTCTTTGCAAGTGACCAATTTTTCGCCCGCCGGAGAATGCAACTTTGTTTGGCGATAATTTATAGTTGGTGGCGACTGTTGCGCTTTCTTAATCCAGCTCTGCGGGTAATTTTCAGGATTCCTGCTTCGGTCCAAATCCAATTTCGGTTTAATGACGGTCAACAATTCGTGATGGGGGTGTAAAACATTGTAACATTTCTTCGATTTAAAAGCCATGGTAACAAGATAGAAAGTAAATCAACTGTTGGAATTTAATTTAAAAATCATTTAAAATATTCTCTGATGTCGAATTTGCCATTTTTGAATAATTTAAATAGAAATAACACATTTAAATTTATTGTTACCCGCCAAGAACTGCTTTGATCTGTATATCACTGCTTTAAACTGCTTTATGAAAACCAATCAAGCAGTCAACAATACCACTAACCATGTCAAATGTATGTAAAATATGAAATCATTACATATCAACGATAGGTGGCGCTGAAATTAAAATGGGCTTAAAGACTTTTAATCTTTTTGTTCCCATCTAAATAAAAAATTGTTTAAAATGTGTACAATAAATCTTCGTTTACCACTTATCCGAGAACATATGTTTTATATGGCAAACAAAAGCACTGTAAAACAATCAGCGCGGCTCCTTCATTAAATAATTATTTAAAATAAAATAAAGTGCCATATTCAGCATCGAGATCTGCCAGCGCCCCAGGATATTATCGCCACTTCGCAGATCCGAAGACACCAGAAGAGCCGAGTTTTATTAACACAAACAAGGCATTAATATCAATTTCGGTTTCACTCGACTGGCGAGCAGATAATTGCGGGTCAGCAGCTGCTGTTGGCCAACCAAAGCCAGATATTCCTCAAGTGGATCCTCCCGAACTGCCCCCAATTGTCAGAAGAAATCAGCGCCAATTGGCTTCAAAGCAAATATTTGCCCCGAGTGGCAGTTAAAGCTCAGTCTGCGATAATGACAGGATCATGGATCATGGATGGGGGATCTGAGGATCAGGGAACTGCTGCTGCTGTTGCCTTTTCACACCATGTTGGCCAAAAAATAAAAAATAAAGGTGCGATAGCTGGCACACCTTTGGGCCATCTCGCCCTCGTTGGCTGTGTCAATTCCGGGAATGTCAGGGACTTCAGGCCCCAGTCAGGCAATAAAACGTTGCAGCAAATTAGCGCTTTATTGCGTGTTTGTTTGGTCAGAGTGGAGAGTCGAGAGTTGAGACTAAACCAACCGGAAAGGGATCCCAATGGACCAGATCTGCTGTCTTTTGCCACCTAACCAACTCCGAGTGCCGTTAAGTTCTTCTTAAGACCGAGGGCCGAGTGCAAATTATAGCCAGCAGGCGAAAGAAATTTATTGTGAAGGGCATAATGACAGCAGAAACCCAACTTGTGATCCCATAATTCATATAATCCGCATAATATATGTAAGCTTTTATTGACATTTGAAGCACCTGCTTGGGTTTTTAGCCCGTTCAGCGTTTATCACACGACTATTTACACGTCATCGTTATCCTCCTTGTCTTCGGGTCCTTAGCGTTCCTTAAAGGCAATGCACATAGCTCGGCTATCGTCCTCACGGTCCACCGTTTTGTAGGCCTGGCTATTTCGACGCCACTGCGCCTTATCACATGTGTTTTCTCGGTATTTAGGGAGTACCAGTTCCAGTTTCCAGTTGTGTTGCACCCTATATGGCCAGATCGCCGCTCAGGCACTGCGGGGTGTACACGTTGGCCAGCGAGTCCCATCCGCAGTCGGCCAGCTGGTGGCTCCTGTGCGGGTTCCAGTCCAGTCCGCAGACGAACTCCGTGTGCTGGGCATTCACCTCCTGGGCGGACTCGCCGCGCTCCAGATTCCAAATCCTAGGGGGAGGTGGTAAAAATAGGTGTTTAGTAAGCAAACATTTAAAATTGTAGTAAAAATGCAGAAAAGATTAAATCATATTCTGTAGCAACTAAAAACTGTGTTTGTTTTAAATGATTCCTTCTTTGTTTTAAACATGACAAATGATTGTTTTTAAAAACAATGAAATCAACTTAAGATAGTGTTTAGTTCTGCAAACCGAAAACTCATTGTGAGACTCAATCTAAGACTTGCATCTCAAAACATGTCGGAAATTCAATATGATATATAATAAATGTTTCTTTAATTAATTAATTAATAATTAATAAAGTTGTTATTACCAAAACGATCAAAAAATTTGTAAGATATACACAATTAGATAATATAACATATTTTCAAAAGAATTCTTCCTTAAATATCTACACCCTTTTGCTAATTTGATTCATAGTTTAAATCATATTATCTCAGTATATTGAACCCTTCCTACCTTGTGGTAAAATCATAGTTCGCGGATGCCAAGACCGCAGCGGAGTGCGGTGAGCAGGCCAATCGCCGGACGGCGAACTCCCCGGAGTACAGCTCGAAGACGTGGGTCCTCATGTTGCGCAGATCCCATCCCCGGACAAGGCCATCCGATCCTCCAGTCACCAAAATGTTCCTGTCGAAGTGCGACCAGTCGCAGGACAAAGCTTCACTCGCATGCGCCTCGATGCTCATCAGGGGTTTACCTGCAAAGTCAAGAGAGTTCCATAAGTTAAGGTGTCCGTCGGTACTCACGCTAGCAAAGAGGTTGGCGATCAGGGGCGAGAACTTGGCCCCGTAGATCAGGTCGCCGTGGCCCACAAAGGTGCTGATGGAGTTCTGCCTGTTGCAGTCCCACAGCTTCAGGGTGCAGTCCCAGCTGGCGGAGAGCAGGGTGTGGTAGTTCCACTTCTCGCCCCAGTCCAGGCTGTAGACCTCGTTCTTGTGCTCCTGCAGGCAGATCAGCGGCTGCTTCGGCGTCTGCTGGCTGCCCGCCGACTCCCCGTCCAGTCCGCACCAGATCTGGAGCGACCCGTCCCCGGAGGCGGTGGCCGCGATGTCGGCGGCATAGGGACACCAGGCCACGTCGAACAGCCCGTCGGACCACTCCAGGCGGCACAGCTCCCCCAGATGCTGGCCCTCCTTGGAGGAGTTCGAGTTGGAGTTCTGTTCGAGCAGGAAGAGGGAGCCACCTCCAGCAAGACCGTACATTTGACTGTGGAGTGGAAATGGAAAATACAAGGTTAATTTATTGTTTAGTAGGAGATCTAAAGAGTGATCTCACCTTGTAGCCAGCAACAAGTAGTTCGCCTCGAAAGGCGAGAAGCGCAGGCTGTAGCCATGTCGGTCTGTGGTGGTGTGGCTCTGGGTTTGCATTCTGTGTTATAGGTCTCAACTGAAAGGAAAGCCAATATAATTTATTAGGATTAGTAATGTTAAAAGGCAGTTTGCAGTCAGTTTGTAATATGGAGCAAACATCAATAATTTCTGATGAAGTAAATGCCATTCTTACTTCTTTATATTTATCCATATTTCTTATATAAATATCTGTTCCTAAATTTAGATTTTACAGAAACCCAATGTTGTTACATTTACCTTATGCAAAATTGGATAAGAGCTTTAACTAACCCGAATAATACTTCAAAATACGAATTATAGTAAATGTTTTTAATTATAGTCTGTTTCTGTATACCCAAAAATAACCAATTAAAATTCCTGCTTATATTCTGTTCAACCTACATTGATCTTACAAGAAGAATACCCCATTTGTAACTACTTAAGGAACGCAACTAACTTGCACCTTTGATAATTGTTTTGTAAGACATTCTAATTTCCATTGAACCGACAACTTAGTTAGTGGTCCCCCACCGACAAATCAATATATCGACGTTTGATCCATAACCAAATTAAACTTCTAGGGTTTCCCCTCGTGAGCAGAGATAGTTGGCCAGAAAGAGCAAGAGTGGCCAAGTGATAACAACCCGGTAACGCCGAATATAATGATAATCCCGCTGCGTGTCGCCTCCCAATTATTCAACAGTTGGCTCAGATGACCTCGCACTAGGTCGGTATATGCTATTGCTATAGCAATAGGAATAGGAATAGGAATAGGAATCGGGGAAAGATACTTGACATTAGCCAATTTGCACGGGCAAGTGGCAAACTGCGCAGAAAAACAGACCAACCAACCCCCAGAACGAGCTTGCTGGCAGTTTTCTTTCCACTAGTTTTCCTCGCTTTTCTTATATGCAAAACAACTGCATAACGCCTAAATCCAGTTAGCGGCCAGAATGAAGACCCACGGGAAAGGCCAGGGCAAAGGTATATAAGCAGGTTGCACGGCACTCGGGTTTCGCATTTTCCTCCGCCGACGGGAAAACTCTATAACGCGCATCGACCACTCAGCTCAACTCAGGGCATTTTCATTAGCAAGGAAAACCGAAGAGGCAAGGAACTCCGCAATGGTTGTATCCGTGAAGGTCTTCAAGAAGGCCACGCCCAACGGCAAGGTGACCTTCTACCTGGGCCGCCGCGACTTCATCGACCATCTGGACTACTGCGATCCCGTGGACGGGGTGATCGTGGTGGAGCCGGACTACCTGAAGAACCGCAAGGTGTTCGGCCAGCTGGCCACCACCTACCGCTATGGCCGCGAGGAGGACGAGGTCATGGGCGTGAAGTTCTCCAAGGAGCTGATCCTCTCGCGGGAGCAGATCGTGCCGATGACCAACCCCAACATGGAGATGACTCCCATGCAGGAGAAGCTCGTCCGCAAGCTGGGCGTCAACGCCCACCCGTTCACCTTTCACTTCCCACCCAACTCCCCCAGTTCCGTGACCCTGCAGCAGGAGGGCGACGACAACGGGAAGCCACTGGGCGTGGAGTACACCATCAGGGCCTTCGTGGCCGACTCCGAGGACGACAGGCAGCACAAGCGCAGCATGGTCAGCCTGGTGATCAAGAAGCTGCAGTATGCGCCCCTCAATCGCGGCCAGCGGCTGCCCAGCTCGCTGGTCAGCAAGGGATTCACCTTCTCGAACGGAAAGATCAGCCTGGAGGTCACGCTGGACAGGGAGATCTACTACCACGGGGAGAAGACCGCCGCCACGGTGCAGGTGTCGAACAACTCGAAGAAGTCCGTGAAGAGCATCAAGTGCTTCATCGTGCAGCACACCGAGATCACCATGGTGAACGCCCAGTTCAGCAAGCACGTCGCCCAGCTGGAGACCAAGGAGGGTTGCCCCATCACCCCGGGCGCCAATCTGACCAAGACCTTCTACCTGATCCCCCTGGCGGCCAACAACAAGGATCGTCATGGTAAGGAGAGGGGAAAATGGGGAGGGAAACTGACGAATCACTTAAAACGATATGAATGTTTCGATCTGAAACAGATCATCATATCTTATGGAAGTTTAATCATTATGGTTCATCTTTAGGATAGATGTTATGTGCTGATCTTCCTAATAATTTTTCGTAATACTTTGAGACAAAGTATTCCGGAGATACAGAAGATTCTTTCCATATAGATACAATAAGAAGACCTTTTTAATATTGTTTCGATTAAGTTATTCAACAGATAGCAATACAAATTGATTTGATTTAATATTTATCACCTTGCAATTGTAAATATTTTATCCAATCTTCTTTTTCCTCTTTTTATTTTAAGGCATTGCCCTGGATGGTCACCTGAAGGACGAGGACGTGAACCTGGCCTCATCCACCATGGTGCAGGAGGGCAAGTCCACGGGCGATGCCTGTGGTATCGTGATCTCCTACTCGGTGCGCATCAAGTTGAACTGCGGCACTCTTGGCGGGGAGATGCAGACGGATGTGCCCTTCAAACTGCTGCAACCAGCACCTGGTAAGTCCCATACAGTACACTAAATAAATAACCCTATCTAATCCCACTAACTGGGCTTAGGAACCATCGAGAAGAAGCGCTCGAACGCCATGAAGAAGATGAAGTCCATCGAGCAGCACCGCAACGTGAAGGGCTACTACCAGGACGACGACGACAACATTGTATTCGAGGACTTTGCCAAGATGCGAATGAACAACGTCAACATGGCGGACTAAGTGGAATGCGGAAACCGATCTCCCGACTTCGTTGTGAACCAAACCGAATCGAATCGAAAGCACTGAGAACTTGTTGCAGCAGTCTCTCTCGAGGAGAACACAATCTTTGTATTATAATCGTAATCTATAACTTTGGTGGATCTGGAGTTTGTACCCGTACATTATGCATGTTGAAGTGTTGAAGCGACCTCGTGTCCCTATATTATAAATGTGTTATGGCTATCAAGACTCACCTATTCTTGTGTGGCAATGGAGTATCCAAAAGTGTTGCAGTTGAGGTTTTTAGGTTTATTGTGGTGCTTGGTGGTGCTGTGGGTTTCAACTTCAGAAGTCGAATGAACTGCCTGGCTGCGCAGCTCGACGAGGAAGGATCTGTTGGCCAGCATTTCAGGGGGTTGTTTCACAAAAGAGGGGTTGAAAAGCCCACGACTCATAGGTCAGAAACGAAGGCTTTCAACCCCTTGAAAGGAAGCAACAGGCTGCCAGGATATGCGAACAACCAATCAGGAGCAACCTAAACTGGATATGGCCGGCTCTGACGGTTAACGGTCAACGGAAATAGGAAACCTCAACCAGATGTTGACGACAAAGTTGCCAAAACTCTCTTTGTATGCTAAATAGCCAGGCTTTGACCTTGATGATGGCTAAGGCCGCCAGCTGCCAGTTGCCAGTTGCCATTACCCAGCAGTTGGATTCTAGGTCTCATCGCCGCCAGACTCGCTGATTTCTACCCATTCTGTTGTTTCTGTTTCTGTTTATTGTTTTTGTTTACTTTTTGTGAGTGTGAGGCTCAGTATGCAGCTTATATAAGCCTTCGTAACGGCTATCCCTTCAGCTGCTGACCGGTGGAGCATTGCACAATCCGGGGCACTTGCTCCGATCGATTTCACACACCGCTGGCTGCTGGGCAAGTGACTTCCGGCTTTTGGCCGCGCCACAACACCAGCCAATACCAGCTACAACTACAACCAAGCCCCTTAAAGTCAAGCCAACTATAAATGGCTATGTTGTTGTCAAAATGCTGCCACAAATTTGACGAGAGTGCAACGCGATGGAGCTGCCAATGGGGAAGTTTCCGGGATTCGTTTACCAGGTGTTGCTCCTGCAACTGCTGTTGCTCGTGTCGCCGGCAATGCTGCAGCAGCAACACGTCTTCTACCACCCCCGACCGCTCTTCTACGACGCGCCGCGTCTTCGGAGATTCGAGTATGCAGCAGCCACGCCCTTTGTGGGCGGCTATAATCCCGCTTCGGCTTCTCCCGCTCTCCACTACCAACAACAGACGCCCAACTTTCAGCTGATCAACTATCGTCCCAGCTACCAGCCCTTGGCCCTGGATTACCAGCAGCAGCAGTTGCCCGCACCTGCCCCGCCCCTTCCGCCCCTCTTCCCGCAGCAGAGTGTCCAGTATCAGCAGAGGACCATTGCTCCACATGCCGAGCTGGCCAAGTATCGCTACGAAGGGAACTATCTGCCGGTGCAACGCGTTTCGCTGCAGCAACCGCAGCGTCGCGCGGAGGAGCAGCAGCAGTTGCAGCAGCAACATCTGCAGCAGCAACACCTGCAGCAGCAGCACTTGCAACATCAGCAGCAGCAGCAGCAACAGCAACTCTACAACGTGCCACCGGCACTCTTCACCAGCGATGTGTTGCACGTGATTCCTCCTCGAATCGCCAGGTTGCAGGAGCAGCAGCAGCAACCATCTCAGAATGTCCAAACGGAGAGACCGCGGAGATACGCCAAGGATCAGGATACGGACGTCGCCGAAACCAAGAGCCACATCGATCGCAGCGCCAAGGAAACCAAGTACTTTCAGTAAGAAAATTCGGTCGGAAAATGGGTTAAAAATAACTATAAACAAGGGTATAAAAAATGATGGCTGTGGCTCATTACTTTGAGTTGTTTTTGCACATGCACTTCATGCCTGTCAATCATCCACTTTTTACCATAACTAGACCAACAATCATTATCACGCATTTTCTGAAAAAAATAATAGGAAATACAGTAAAAAACTTCATAAAAATGGTGGTAGTTAACTTTTCTTATTTAAAATTCATATAATTTTCCGGAAATCACTGGTGGTGGTTTTCTCTTGTTTATCAGCAATCATATTTTACAATTGCTTTATTCATGCACTTTCACCAGGAAAATTGGGTAAGAAAAAAGGGTGAAAAGTGTGTTAAACAGTTGGGAAAAATGGTGGTTGTCATATAACTATCCTTCCCTTAATTGAAAAATTAATTGCAATCACAAACAATTAACCCTATCCATGACTTTTAAAGCTTCTTTGTTATTCAAAAAATGGTATACAAAAATTAAACATTTGACCATAAAATGTACAAACAATACATACAAAGTTTATTGCTCTAATAACATTTTGAAGCTTTTAAGCAAATAATAAATAATTCTAATATTTTAATGTTAATCCCCAAATACAGCGATATTTTCATGCGCTTCGATGGCCCCAATTCGCGGAGTCACGGCCACGTCTTGAAGCACCCGAAGGCGCAGGAGAAACGCTTCGAGTCCCAAAGAGGCACGAACCGCTACAAGGGAGAGGTGAGCTCGGACCGAAATGAAACCATTAATTTCCGGATAGTTCTCCAGACTTTCTAATCTTTCCTTCGGCAAATGCCTAGGTGATTTGGACAGATCGTCAGGGAGGCCACGGCGAGCACCGCTGGGACTTGGCGCAGGGAAAACTCTGAGATGGAAACTAATTTGCATACGCCTCCCCCTTCTCCCCTCTGTAAATACCCATCCAGACTCGCATAAATCGTGACTTTTCATAATTTTGGCGTATTATTTATTTAAGGGCAATGATTTGGCGTGAAATCGGAAGAGCCAATGCAAAAGATTTGCATACGAATGTAGTTTGATGGGCGTCCTTATTCTTGTCTTAGGTCATCCTTCAGATTTTCTCACGCCGCTCCGGGGAAAAGTGGACTGTCCAACCGGTTACACAGCTTCACAGCTTCGCGGGCAATGGGCCATCGGGGAAAAAGGTCAACTTTGGCCGGAAACTGGTTCTGGGCAGTGACCCGAATGTCCTGCAGTTACTCACTTACAGGACAAGACAGTCAGTCAGTCGGTCCGTCATGCGGGTCGAGGAATATGTAAATGTAAATGTTGTCTGGAAGAAGGGGTTGAAGATTTGAGGGTCTTATCTGCCTTGTCTGCTTGTAAATTCGGTGGTTGCACTCGGCTGCTCATTTGCATATGGTATCTCCAACTCGAAGTGACACAAATGCCCGGCGGGCAGCCTGAATGTCCAGTGTTTCGACCTCTTCCCTGGGCACCAGTGACCATGCACATGTTCAAGATAGGTGATCCTTTCCTCGGATCAATACTGAGTCCGGGTTGTAAATGGGTTGCATTAACCTTTGGCCTGAAAATGCGGGTCATTAGCAAAGCGATCGACGCTGGCTGTCAGTCAAATCGGCTCGAGAATGTCCAGAACCGGTTCGTAATCGCCAGTCTGCTTCTTCTACAAAGCGATAAGGATAAGGTCATCAAAGGGGTACTTGGCTCCTCGAAGTTCTCACACGATCGTCTAATTTATGCAAGGACACTGCAGAAGGACACTGCGATGCGACTGCGATGCGATTGCGATTGCTTTGCTTCGTGTTTCGTGGTTCGTGGCGTGAGTTCGAAGTTCCCAGAGGAGGAGGACAACCGGTCTGACCGGTCCATCTGGGTCCGAGTCGAAATCCGTGTCTTCGGTGACCACGATCCAGCGAGGTCTTCTGGTGAGAACTGCCATTAGATGGCCTTTGTCATCAACTGCCCGAACGGGTTGTCTGCCCTTAGATCTTTCTTAGGTGTCACTGGCATCTTGGTCCTTCGGCTTTGTAAGCTTTGCCAATTGCTCGGGGGTTAGCCATTGATTTATGCGCAAATAAAATTTGTTTACCTTCCAGTTGGCAGACATCGGTGTGACCTCAATTTGGGCATTTGTACTCTTGGAAACTAGAAAGGTGAAATAGAGTAGGGCAGCTTCAGAATAGGAGGCTATTCTGCGTTTTACAACTAGGATCATATATTCCGGCAGACAGTCTGCTCTCCCCTTTTATGAGAAATCAATCTCACAAAGTTGTGAATTATTTCTTAAGTTTTTTAGTCGTAACTTGAGGTAAAAGGTCTGTACAACAAAAAAGTTGACTGATTTTACAGCTGACACAACTAACCTAATTAACTAACTATATGTACCCATTCCAGGCGATTTAAAAAAAAAATAATAATTTTTTGGCCAATTTTCGCATTTTTTTACCTCACTATTTTTTGCAAAAAAAAAAAACGACAAAAAATTGCAATTTTACGTGGGATTCCGGTCGATACTACATTTTATTACGGGTTCAAGGGTGTATGACATTCCATATTCTGACTATTCTTTTTTGAGTAATATCTAAAATTCGGAGATTTTTGAGCAATACGATTTTTGGTATGGAATATTTTGACATTACTTCGCATAACTTTTTTTAAGGGGTACAATTTTTCAGCAAAAAATAAGAATCATTTGTAAACGTGCCAAAATTAGTTCACCTGTTAAACATCAATCTGTAATAAAGATTCAAGTCTGGACAAAAAAACAATTAAAAGTTTTTCGAAAATTTTAATTTAATATTCTAAATAAGAGAGTCGAACCTAAACGAATGACATCATCATCATACATAAAATAGAATAAGGTTATAATCTCGTGCCAATCGAGACTCGGCATATTTACAAACTACATGGACTTGCGGAACTTCGAGAGTGGTTCGAGAGGAGCCTTCGATCCGGTGATCCGGTGGTCCGGTGGCCTCCTACTGGTACTGGTGGTACTGCGGCTGCTGCTGGTGCTGGTGCTGGTGTGGCTGGTGCTGGTACTGCTGCTTGCTGGGACCGGAGCTGTACTCCTGCTGCGCCTTGTGGCCTCCGGCGCGGAGCAACTGCGTCACCGGCGGCGGAGTGGGGATCTTCACCACGATGTCGGTGGGCTCGCGGATCACCTCCGCCTTGAATCCCTCCTTGGGGTCGGCCGTGTACTTGACGGTGCGGATGAAGCCGTCGGAGTCCACCACCGAGTAGCTGCCCTTGATCACCGATCCGTCGCGGATCTCCTTGCGGTTCTGGTAGTTGGTGAACTCGTCGTCCTTCACGTCGAATCCGAACTGGTACGAGGAGTTTTGCTGAAGAGGTATTTAATAAAAAATTAGCAGCTGTGATAACTACATGGTAAAGATTTAATTCCAGAAAATTCAAGTTCTGTAACTGAGAAATTCTTTGCACTAAGCTCTTTGGAAAATAATGTTTAAATACATTAGAGCGAAAAACTTAAAAAAAAAATCATTTTTATAAAATCATTCGCATAAACTTATGTATTTTTGTTTTTGGTTATTGATTGAACAGGTTATTCGGTAATAAATAAATCAAAAATTGTTAAAAATTTAACCCCGTAATTTCTATGAGAAAATTATTGAAAGAAAAACTAACAAAAGAATTATTACAAAATTTCATAAAATAAATTGTATGGAAACTTTTCTTATTTTGATTAAACCAATTTTTAATTAACTAAGATCAAATCTCTGAGATATTTTTCTTGTACTTAATGAAGTTTATAAAATCGACATTTTGTAACACGATCATATTGATCTTATCTTAAGGTATTAATTTGCAATAGGAATTTCAAGTAATATAGATCACTCCGAGGGAAGGGGTTCGATGGGGACTTTAAATGCGTACTGCAACACGAAACTGACCCACATTCGTGGTTGTCCCAAAAAACGTGTCCAGACGGCGGTTACGTCATCATCGTCGCCGTCGCCATCGCCATCGCCATTGGCATCGGCATAGGCAAAGCCTCCGGTGCGCAGGCGCATGCGCGTAGGCTGCAGCTCCAAATCGCAGATCACGCACAAGTGAAAGTAATTTGGGGCCGCTTGCATATTTTAATGGTCCAAGCGCACGAAATCAAAGAGCCGTTCCAGCGGATCACACAATCGATCCGATCCGATCCGAACCAACTGCAACCGACGACTTGACGACTTATGCAACTGGGCGATGGAAGCACCACCCAGAAAAGCTCGAGGCGTTGGATAATTTATGCACAAGGTTGGCAAAAAACTGATTTCCCCCTGTTTTTTTCTGAGGATTCAAGACCTTCAGCGGAGCAAGACAATCGGATCGCAGACTATTGGCAACTGGGTTAAGGTAACCGCAAGAACGTGGCTCGAAGGCGTGACCATCGATCGATCCCTCGTTCTTTCTGCATGGAGCCTTTGGGCTCCACTGACGTGGCCCAAAAGAAAAAGCCAACACAGAGCACCCAGAGAACTGCAAGCCCGAAAAATGGAAAGGCAAAGCCAGTTTGCAAGCCGGTTCTAATGCGTGCAATGTCCAAATGCTGCTCATTGTTGTGGGAATTGGGCCTGAATTTAAGGCTCTTTGCGGCAGGGGAGCGGTTGCAGGGGATATGGGCCGCATTTGAAAGTGATTGTCTGGCGGAGAATGTAATTCCAGCGGCAGTGTCACTTTTGTGGCCATTAAAGGCAGAAAAAACAGAAGTGCATTTTTTACTGGTGATTCTCGTTTAACTGATCATGACAACCTGTTTGGGTATGCAGATTTTATAGGACTAGCCTCTAGAGAATATAGATCTACTTCAAATTATATTACCATATATATTTTAATTGTATTAAAATATTTATAGCTTAATAAGACTGGTTTATGCTGCCTGATTGCACTTTTAATTTACATAAAATTCCACTAACATTTTAAATGACTTGTAAATTTTTGAGTAGCCATCTTCCTACGACCATCCTGTCGTCGCCATCAATTTTAAGTGGCCAAAAAGATGACAGGCCATCTGGACACCGTAACCCCGTCTCGTTAGCCCGATTGCCGCATTAAGGCTGATGGATTATGGTCACTTCGGTAACGGATATTCGCCAGCTTCCGCATGCAAAGGCCATAAACAATCGCCGCTGGCTAAGTGGCCGAGCGGACCGGACCAGGAGCCCCGGAGTTCGGGCCAATGAACATGCACAATGCTGTGCACACATATGGCCATGGCCAAATCCACCAAATGCACCGGAGCCGCTGTTGCCGAGTGTGGTTAATGAACCCCGAGTCACAGTTCCCTCCCCCGTCGAACCGAACCATCTACCACACAATGCCATCGCATCGCATGCTTCAATTGTAATTATGTTGCTGTTGTACCACTAGATGTTGCTGTTGTACTAGTGGATGTTGCTGTTGTACTAGTGGATGTTGCTGTTGTAAGTGTTGCTGTTGCAGTTGTTGCTGCTGCTGCTGTTGCAGTGAAGCGAAAAGGAAAGTGCGCGAAAGCCCCACTCGAATGGGAGTTCAAACTCTAGCGGTGCACCGCAAAAAGGGGATCGACTTTGATATAAATATTTATATCGAAATAAGCATATTACATTTTTATAGGTTGCAGTTAATACTTTTTGGTTACCCCAATCATTTAAGATCTGTGTAAATTTTACTACATTTTGTAGGCGTAAAATTAATTACTTAACGATTATAAAAAGCCAACAGCTAAGATATAGCTTCTTGAAACTGGTTCAAACCTCTCCTTGCTAATATTTTTTATGGGTTCAGGCAAAACTAGTTAAAAATGCTTTTTAGATATCGAAAAGTAATTAATTATCCACTTTAAAGAGCGCATGCCATTAATGTTTTTTGTCATGAATCTTTCCTGAAAACGTTAGAAATTTGTTTTTTGTGCACTGCAAACTTACGTCATCGTATTCCTCCTCCTCCTGCTGCTGCTGCAGCGACAACTTGTGCTGTCCCTTGCCGAGGATCGAGGTGGAAGGAGCCTGGTACGAGGGCTGCTGGATCCTGCGAGGGGGTTGGGGGGCAGCTTGGGCAGGAGGGCGGTAGGCGGACTGCTGCGGCTGCGCTTGGTATTGCTAGTAGAAAATGATATGTCAATATGTTAGGAAAATATGTTAAGGGAATATGTAAAGAGAATATATTGATATAGTATTAAGGGGACAGTGATTAAGGGGTACCCCACCTGATAATCCCTGACAGCTGGCGCCACGTAGCCCTGCTGCTGCTGAGCCCGGATCTGCTCGGCCACCGTATCCTTCACCCTGATCTGCTGGCCAGCGTTCACGTACTGCTGCGTCTGCTCGGAGTTCTGCTCGTAAATGGGCGTGCCGTCGTGGGGCTGGGCCTGCTGCTGCTGCTGCTGGTGCTGCAGTTGCTGGTAGTACTGGCGCAAGTAGGCGGGGTCCACGCCCTGTTGTCCGCTGACAGCGCCGCAGAAAGCCAAAGTGGCCACCACAAGCAGGAATTGCATGTTGCTGCTGGATGTTGCTTACTGGATGTTGCTTACTGGATGTTGCTGCTGCTGTTGCTGTTGCTGCTGCGTTAGATCACAAATCACAGATCGAGGAGTCGCGGCGGACAAACTTAAACTCAAGCTCAAATTCAAACTCTAACTGAAACCTCGGCGGAGCCACAAATGTATCTGCGCTGGCTGCGGACCCAAATTGCACTTTTATATCGACAAACGCCGAGTGGCGGCTAGACGACGGCTCTCCCGCTCTCTTGGCCAAAAGGCGGCTCTCTTGGCTGATTTACAACAGCTGTTTTTGGGTGGCTGGAGCCTCCCAGCGCGGTTGTCACTTCCGTTCGAATCGCAGTTCCTCTACCCTCGACCTGGGCCATTGTTAAAGGTTTTTCCCTCTGATTTTGTTTTTTTTCTCTGTTTTTTTTTGTAACCCTACGTGATCTCGGCCAACAGCTGTTAACGTGGCCAACAGCGGCAGCTGATTAATACCCAAACAGGGGGGGGCGGTCGAAAACTTTCCCGAACTTGTCATCTGCAACTGCAACACCTATCGCTTCTGCGGTGTTGCAACACATTTTCAGCCAGCAATGCAATTGCATTGCCCACAAACGAATGTAAATTACATTGTGGTCTACTCCTCCGACATGAAAGTGCCTACAACTGATGGCTTGATGGCTGCTCGGCTCCCCATTAGATAATCATGCCCAATTAATTGCTCGGCTCTCGAAGAAGAGGTCAATGCGATTCGATGATTCGATGATGCGATGGGCCACACCCGAGTCAAAAATCGAACCCAGCAAGTGCAGAGCCGCCTCCATTGTCTGTGACCCAAATTGCTGCAAAGCGTTTTTCATTGGCGCTTAAACAGCAATCCATCCATCTGCGAATACCTATCCGTGTATCTGGAAATCTCGCGTTGCGTTTGCGTTGCGGTTGAATGGGTTCAAGCGATCTTCGATGTCGCCTATTGCCAAATCTTATTTCTTTCTGCACTCGCAGCCAAAGCCAAAGCCCTTTGCATACGATCTGGCATACAATCTGGCGTACGATCATGTGATCGTGTCATTAAACCTCGGTAAGTCCTCCTCCGAATTTGATATTTGAGTCGGCAATGCGATTACAATTGCCACAGAGCACGGAGCACAGAGCACGGAGCACACAGAGCTCTATTGTTGATGTTACAGTTGCCATACAATGCGCCCTGAATTTGCATCGATTTTGAATCGACAAGGTCGTTTCGGGGGAGTCGCAATCGGGGCGCAAATGGGGCTGACCGTTTAATGGGATCGCTCTGACATTGTAACCGCTCGAAACAAAAACAACGCTGCACAGAAAGAAAAACAATCGAAAGAAAAAGAGCCAGCCACATTTGTGGCTTACTTAGCCGTGAAGTGAAAGTACATTATGTGTGGCAGGCAATTGTTATGCACATTACACACGTACGCTCTCGAGTGACTTATTTCCATTCAAATTAAAGTCAAATTTATGGGTTCGCTCGCTTTGCGGCTCATGTGTGCATATAGTTTCAATATAAATACGTTTAATTGCCGGAATGATTGATGGAATAAGTGCAGATTTGCAGCGTCATGTTATGCAAAGATTTTCGGCTACTTTTTTCGCTTTTGGGTTGGGCTCCTACTTATGCTTTAAAAGAAGGCAGTCCGACAAAAGAGCTCGTCATATTCAAATCAGTGTGATACAATTACGTTTCCGTCGTGTTGAAATGTCCGATCCAAATTATATCACACATGAGATACGAATATCAGGTGCAAATACATTTAAATAACAGCTCAACTCATATCTTGTATCCAATCAAAATCACTTTTATTGATTAAAACATTCTTTATACCTATTACATTCCATGACTAGAATCACTCGCGATTAACACACCTGATGGCTGTTAACTTGAATCAGCATAACATAAACATAAACGTAAATCAAAGATTACTTTCCTTTTTTTATTTAATTAATTTATATTGGTTTTCTATTGCATATGGAGACAGTAAATAGGTCGGGGAGGCGGAGTTAATTTGTGTTTAATTTGTAGACATATCATAAATTTATTCGATTCCAATCGTTTACCAAACCAATTTTATCATTAAGCTTGTTAGTGGTTCACAATTCCTTGTCGTTCTTCACATAATTTATTGAGTAAGTTAAACAGAATTTCATAAAAATCCGCTATATATGTTAGGAGATAAACAACTGTGTTGGTGCCTGCAACTGCAGCAGATGTTGCTGGTGTCGATGTTGATGTTGCTGCCGTCGCTGTTGCTGTTGCTGCTGCAGTTTCTAGTACTCGGTGGCACCAATAACGCTGTACATGAGACGATTGAAGGAGCCGCTCTGGCGTATGTTCTCATCGTGGGTGTTTACCACCTGTCAACAATAAATAATCATTACTTAACATTCAGTTAACAGAGCTACTGTGCAAATACTCACATTGTACGGCGGCCGGGATACTGGCGCTGAAACTGGTTTCTGTAAGAGCATTCGGATGAAGTGAAAAGATAAGATCTTGTTTAGTAACTCTAACATATTCCAGCAATTTCGATTAGGAACTTTTCAAATGCAATCTCCAACTGTTATGAGCTTGAGTTAGATGTTATTCTAGGGTTAGAGTGCCAAAAAGATGTGTGCTTGTGACTCGGAAAATATACACAGATATGGGTTCAATGGATGTTTAGTGTAGTTCGATGCCAGCCAGTGATCGACCAAAAAACCAGGTTAGTAACACTACTTCGGCCCCGTTAGTCGTCGTTACAGCGCGTTAACATGCCGGCGACACACAGTCACTGTTGACTAACATTCGGTTGGTTCAACTGTACACGCTGTACATTAACACATTTACGCACAGAAAGAGAGACAGCGAGCGAGATAGAGGAACAGAGAGAGATAGATAGACTTTGTACAGGATGAGCTTTTGAGCGATCGAGCGATATTGTCGGATGCCTTCACATAGAGTTTGACTGAGGTCGGTTGATTCGATTTGATTGAGAGATAGAGGGATTTGCTTGATTTTCGAACGGTTGCGCACGATCTTACCTTTCCTGGAACCAATCTATTGGGCTGATAGACCTTAGTCTGCACAGGAATGGTCACCTCCTGTGGCGAGGACTGGCCATAGTTGCTGTAGCCGCCCTCCTCTTGGATGGCTCTGTAGGTTTCGCTGTTCCTGGGATCGTACTGGACAGTTTTCTTATAGCTGCTCGGTGGCAGTGGTCAGTGATTTTGATTCGGATTCAAATTCAGTATTCGGGGATTTGCATTGAGATCGTTGAAAGCGCCGTTGGTTTTATTTGTTTTTTTTTTTTATTTTGGTGTTATGCAAGTTTTTAACAGATTTATTTTTTTAAGTCGGTTTATTGTTGTTGGTTAATCGAGAATCATAAAGAATATATATTGGTTTGTTTTTGGTTTTTTTTTTTTTTTTTTTTTACATCGGTTGAGTAGCGTGAGACAGAGTAGTGAGAGAATAGAAAGAGAAAACAGGATGTGCACAAAATACGTTAGAATTATTTTGTTTTGTTGTAGTTGTAGTTTGTTGTTGCTGTTGTTGGTGGGCAATAGTGTGCTGCGTTGTCTTGGAACTGCACACTCCTCAAACGGATTGCGATTAATAGGAAACTCATTAACAAATTCCTTACGAGCTAGTTATTAAGAGTAATCAGAACAGAACTGCATAACAGGTGATTAATATATATATTATCGGATGAAGCCTTGAGATCGGGCGGGATTAGGTTGGTTAGTATTAGTTTGTGTGGTTAATACTGGATGGGTTGCGAGGGGCAAATAGGAACTTTGGGTGCTGTCTCTTCAACAGTTCGTAAATATAATTCAGCAAACGTCTTTTAATTTCGGATTAGTCTTATGGGGTCGGATTGGAAGGGCGGGGACTTTGAGCAGGGGTCTTGGAAGGGAAAAGGGGGGAGGGGGTAGGGGGGATTATCTCTTTGTCTAGTAGAATTGGGGGGAGTTTTTGGCTACTATTTCTTTGATCATTTGTTTTGTTGATAGAGTATTTGCAGTTGCTGCTGGCGTTGCTGTCGTTGTTGCTCTGCAAGTTGGTCTTTTTGCTTTTGTTGCTCCAGGATTTTACGTTTTTGTTCCAGGAAAGATAGATCGATGAAAATTCTAACATTAATCGTGCAGCTAAGTTCTAGATATATCGGAGTCTAAGAGCTAGAGTGGTATTGTCTAGGGTTCTAGTTGTAAGTATTGAATACAAGAACAGCACCTGACCTACCAGAGAAACCCCTTCCCGATGTTCCTGCGCCACCTTTGCCATACCCTTCAGATTGTAACTGCCCAAACAGGAAAGCCTCAAGACAAACAAACTTCGTTGGGGGTTTCGGTGAAGAGAGTTTCCAAAAGAACACGTATATATACAGTGGTAATTTCCATATCACAGACTCTGATCAAAGGAGCTTTTCGTTGCAACAGGATAAAGTGGGGTGAGATATATAGTATGGTAGGAAACACATATGATAAATAGACAGCAGAGCACATGCAATCGGGTTTTGAAATCGTGTCATGTTGTTTCTGTTGTTCTGACAAAGACATCGTATCTGGATTAACAAGACTATATAGTAGATCTTTAGTGAATGGGAGACAACAAGTCGGAGGGTTAGTCTGTACAGACAGGCGGGAAAAACACGGGAAAACATTCCTCATATTCAATTTGTCTCAAGGCAAGTTCAGGTTCAATCTCAAGTTCTTGCTCATGTGCTTTCCAAAATCAAGTGAGAAGGATTCAATCAAAGAACGAAATCAGGCTGTGCTCAAGAAATGAATTTACTTTTACCCGTTAAGTTTTGTTGGCAAAGGACGATGCAAAGGACTGTCCTTCAAGCGATTGCTGTCGCTTGTGGCGAAGCTACAACAATATACATAGAATATATAGGTATATATAGTGTGGTAAATATATATTTTACAGAGATCCGGCAGTAGGCAAGTAGTACGTACAACATCTATGGACTGGTTTTTGTTTTTTTCACGCGTTTGGTTGTGTGTTTGAATGTGTTTCTCATTTCGTGTGTGCTTCGGTTTAGTAAATTTCGTTTCGACTTGAATTTTGTGGCTTTGTGGGTTAGTGGATGTGGATTATGGCCGCGGCTAACCAGGAACCAATTTTTTTTTGGGTTATGCGGACCTTAGGCTACTCGTAACCGTGTTCGTGACTCGCTTTATTAGTTTCAAGCTACTAGGCGCATTTCGAGTGGCTCTCTCTCTGGCAAAAAGAAAAGCTGCATCAAAATTTCGAAGAGTTCTACGCAGATTTATTCAAAAAATGTCAATTCCAAAAGAAAGTTGCGTAAATAATAGGCGTAAATTTTCAATTTGACAAGCGTATTCCAAAGTTCGGATATTAGTGGTTTTTCATTGTATCGAGCTAAGCTTAAGAGTTTCCAAGTGGTAATTTCTGGGTGGCAACTTACGGAACTGTTGATCTGATGGTGTCCTCGATGTTGTGGTTGGAGTACAGGCCGATGGGCGAGTTGAATTGCTTGTGGAAGACCTGCGATTCGAGGAAATAATTTCGTTTAACATTTGGAGATCAAAAAGTATCTTTAAATAAATATAAATTTATTTGAATTAAAGTAATTAACTTGATAAAATATCTTTCTATTTAGTTCCAACAGTTTTTTGTTTTAAAACTTTTCAGACTCATATTTATTTATAACGGCAAAACACCAAGTATTCGATTGGAAAGGTCGCTAACACCCACAAATTTTAAATTTGGATAAATAAAAACACGATTACCATGTGAACATAAATAATGCAATAAAAATATACATGTTTGGAAATTCATGATAAGACAATCATATCACATATCATATCATAATGGAGTTTTTAAGTTTGGATTGTTTTTAAATTTTTAAATTTTGAATAAGATACAATACAATACGATACGATACATCACTATGGATACTGGAAAAATCCACATAAAATGTAGAAAACCCCCTCTTTTTTTTTGTAATTTCCCATCTATTGTATTTTAGATTCCCAAGTTCCCAAGAGGGTATCCCCTCCCCTACTTACACGGCCAGTGTCGGCATCGGAACCGACCACCTTGTGCAGCATGGTGTCGGCCACGCGCTGCTTCATGATACTGTCATGGTAGTCGTGTCCTGGGTGGGCGCGCACAGCCGGGTTGGGGTAGTGCCTCAAGTAGGACTCTGTCGTGGGCGCGTCCTTCTTCACTTTGGCGCCGGGCAGGACCAGCGGAGTTGTTCGGTAGGGCTGTAAGAACGGAACCACACCACACGTGATCAGTCAAGATTAACGACTTTGTTTACGCCAAAATGGAGCACACACACGCACACACCCATTTTGGCAGCCGCTGTGGCAAATGAATAATATAAATAAATCAACAAACGATTAGCAGAGTTTGGTAGCTTCTAGAAATCCTCTGATCTTCGCCCACTGTGCTTGGTCTTCGCCGTTCGAGGCTGTGTGTGTGCATCAATTTTATATAGCGAAAATTCCATTTTATGTGCGCCCGTTTATATACTTTAAAAATATCCCACCGTCGAAGCAAATATTTTTAGGCGCTTACGTAAGCGTGTTCAACGTCCAGCGTTCTGAATTTTTCTATCTGCCGTTGAACAATTTTATTTTTACCAGGCAGTCTTCAAGCGAGTGTGTAAGTAATTCAATATAGGCGGACGGCCGATTTAAATGTTGTAACTAAGCGCGCCTACTCGATAGACGATAGTCCAATCTGGGCCAGGGTTGCCAGATGGCCAGACCTGGCTTGAACAGCTGTTGCTCGGGGCGAATGGCAAATTAGTTTTGCGCGCTTTTTTAACTGTGACTGCCAGCTGGGATTTCTAACACACGACGCGGCTTTATTAACTAATATTTAGTAACAACTAATTGCTGATTAATCCAACAAACGCTTAAATGGCTGCCGTACGCCGCTCCACGCGATTGAGCAGCATCAGCAAGGCCGCGGTTGCCTCGCCTCTGCCGCAGTCGACGCAGACGCCGCGTCGCTCGGAAGTTTGGAAACGCAGGCAGCCGAAAAAAGCAATTGTCGATAGCGACGACGAGGAGGAGGTGACCCATGACCTGACCAACAGCCCCGTTTCAGAGAACAACGAGAACCGGAACCTGCTCAACAAGATGGAGAAGGCCACAAGACGCAGGATTTCACAGGTGCAGGCTCAGCTGCAAGTGGAGCACCCAAAGACGCCACGCAGCACCAAGAAAACAGCCCAATCAGCTGCTGATTTACGGGCGAAAAGAGAGCAGGAGAACCTTGAGGCCACCATTATATTCCTGGATAGTGATGAGGATTCGGAGGAGGACCCTCTGCATGGATCCCCACCCAAGCAAAGGAAGTTGCAGCCTCTGCCGCAGCACTTGATTAGTCCTTCGCGACTGTTGGATAGGCTGAGCATCGACGAACGCCAGGAGGAGGCGGATAACAAGACTCAAAAGAAGCATGTTGAGCAAGTGAAAAAGGCAGAGGCCAAGGAGCACAAGGAAGTGCATACAAAGCTGCTGGAAAGGCAGGAGGATCCATTAGCTTTGCACACAGAGAAACCCCCTTGTTAAACATCAGGAGAAGACTTCAACCAAGCAGCAGGAGAAATCCCCTCCCAAGCAGCAAGACAAACTGCCCACCAATCAACTGAGAAAAACCTCTACCAAAGAAGAAATCCACCCGGAAACTTTACCCTCACCTTCCCGCAACAAATACCAAAACGCCAGACGAGTGCTAAACAGCGCTGAAACCCAAAATTTGCCAGGCAGAGAGGCTCAGCTTCAGGAGCTGCGAGAATTCTTCAGCAGCCACTTGGAGACCCAGACCTCCGGCAGCCTTTATGTATCGGGACAACCAGGAACGGGAAAGACTGCCTGCCTATCACTACTGCTCCGAGATCCCGACTTCTCCAAGCGACTGCAGCGAGTCTACATCAACTGCACCAGCATTGCCAGCGTGGGAGCCGTTTACAAGAAGCTGTGTGCTGAGCTCCAGCTAAAAGTGAGCGGCCGCACTGAAAGAGATCATCTGGAGGCCATACAACGTCATCTGAGAACGGCCAAACAAATGCTGTTGCTTGTGCTGGACGAGATTGATCAGCTGTGCACCAGCAGGCAGGAGGTTTTGTACACCATCTTCGAGTGGCCCGCTTTGCCTGGCTCCAGGATACTCCTAGTTGGCATCGCCAACAGCTTGGATCTCACGGATCGTGCGCTGATGCGACTGAATGCCAGGTGCGAACTCAAGCCCAGGCTGATGCACTTTCCTCCCTACACAAAGCAGCAGATCGTGGAGATCTTCAAGTCGCGTCTGGCGGAGGCGGAGGTGCTGGACGTCTTTCCGCCCGTAACACTGCAACTGCTGGCCGCCAAGGTGAGTGCGATCAGCGGGGATGTGCGAAGAGCACTGGACATTGGACGACGGGTGGTGGAGATTGCGGTGCAGCAGAAGCGCGACGGTGAAAAGGAGTTCAACATGAATGCACTGAACCTGGAGGGCAAGGAGGCAGTGGAGGCCAAAGAAAAGCAAGGTAAGTTACTTTATTTGTTATATGTATAAGAAAAATCTAATAAACAAAACCTTTTTGCTCTAACTTCAGACACTCTTAAGCCCGTGCAGGTCACCCAAGTGGTTTCTGTGCTGAACAAAGTCTATGGAGCCTCGCAAAATCTAGAGGAGGACATTGAGGCTTCCTTTCCCCTCCAGCAGAAGCTGATGCTGTGCACCCTGGTGCTGATGCTGCGCAACGAACGCAACAAGGACATCAGCATGGGCCGCCTGCACGAGGTCTACAGGCGGGTGTGCGCCAAACGCAACATACTGGCCCTGGACCAAGCCGAGTTCACGGGCACCGTGGACCTGGTGGAGACCCGCGGCATCCTGCGCATCATGCGCAAAAAGGAGCCCCGCCTGCACAAGGTGCTGCTGCAGTGGGACGAGGAGGAGGTGCACGCGGCACTGAGCGACAAGCAGCTGATCGCCTCGATACTCAGCGACACCTCCTGCCTGGGCAAGTGACGATCTGGACGATTACCTCTAGGAAATTGGTGTGCCGCTGGTTAATTGCGCACTTCTCTCATTTTCATTCACCTTGGGGACGAACGTATATGTATAAGAATACTTTTTGACGCTAAATTTAAAACCCGTGGCTGGCGCAAGCACTCAAATATTTTGAAATATCATTTGGGGGTCACTTTCGACATTTTGCTCTGACTTTTAATCGAATCGAATCTTTGGGATTTTATGTTTGTAATAAATTTAAGTAAATGGTGCGCCCATCATCTATTTCTAATCCGATCCGTTGACCAATAAGCTCTAGACAATTTCCTGTTAGCCATAAGAAAATAAGAATAAATTATGTAGTTCTGCAATCCACGAAATGCAAAAGTGAAACCATTTCCACTTTCGCTGCGCCACAAGTTTTGATCATGGGTCGTGCCAAAAGTTGTGAAAACCGTAGGGAAAGTCTGCCATTGTTTTTGGTTGGGCTTTTCGAATTGTTCGAGACAAATTAACACCAGTGCTGGTGATTTCGTGTGGGTTTGTTGGCCATCTCGACATGAAATTAATTTCTTCTATAATCATTTTGTTTATTTATTTGCTGGCTTATTGTTGTTTTTCCTGCGCTCTCTGCTCTAAAAATATCCCCCCGTTTGGGTGGTATGAATTACATTGAGCACAGCACAGAAAGAGCGCAATGAAAAATATGTTTCAAAAACTCTGGTTGCCTTTCGACGCGTATTGACGAAAGGCGAACAAATGTTTGAATAATAAGCTATATGCAGAGAGGCGGAGAGAACCGACAGCCTGCCAGATATATGCACGAATATACCTATAGCTCTGCTATATGGCGTTCTATTTTCCCTCTTAATTATGTATTTCTGAGGGAAAAGTAAGGCGAAAACCTCGGAAAATACACACGTCGGTTGTTTTTGGCATTTGTATTTGAACTTGAATTCCAAGAGCAAATGTTTGACGGTAAAGGTGAAATGTTTCATCTGGATTTTGACCATGTTCGCGTACTTAGACGTCTGACAGGCAGAAGGAACCTGTCCAGAAATCGTTGTTTATAAGTGCGTGAAAAATTAATTAAATCACAGCATGAGAAGTGTTCAGCTTTGCATAAATATTGTTTAATCCAGAAACAAGTGGATTTATCTAGAAAAAATTTCCATAGGTCTGCAGCCATTTAAATAATAAATTATAAATTATATATATTATCACACACTTTTATTTCGGATATGAGAGTATTTTGACTTTGGTATTCATTAAAATTGTATTTTTTTATGGGATATTTAAGTTTGATTAGTTGTTCACTGGTTCGCTTACTTGGTATTGAATGCACTCATTAAGGTCTGGCTGCTCCTTGTAGTAGACAGGGGATCCGTTTTTGAACTGAACGTACTCCATTTTTGAAATGTGTGTTTAATTTAAACTCCTTCGTTGGGCAGAATTCAAACAAAATAGAAACGGAAAATATTATAGCCAGGGACAGTTACGTAATGGAAGATCACGTCAGTTTTGATTCTTGATTACTTTCAATTATGCTTTTGATCTTTGGTATATGGTACTTTATTGGTAACTTGCTTTTTCGACACGTTTAAATCAACGCTGCAGCTGGTGAGATCGAAGATCGTTTCACGAGGATTCACTACAAAAAGGATGCTCGAGCTCGAGTCTTATTTGTTGTTTATTTTTCAATATTCCGAACGCAACTGATTTGAAAATTTTCAAATGCTGGCGAATTATTGCTATTCCGACTGCGCGGAATTCCAATTTTTCTATATAGCGATCTCGGTATTGGTTGGAGAGTGTCTGTCTGTGTACAGATATATAGAAAAGTGAGTGCTGACGGTCAGAGGCCGTTCGACCCACGCACCCATACCAACTTGTGCGAGATCCTATGTATTTCAGAGAGAGAGGAGATTTTTTTAAAATATACAAAATATGTTTTTGTGCAAATAGCTTGTTCACCGAGCGTAAACTCGAGCAACAACAAACACAGCGCATAAACTTGGACTTGGTGTGATCTATATTTTTTTCTTCGCTTCGCCCACGCGCCATTTGCCCACCCCACCCCCAATATGGCCCCCCATCGGATGTTGTTGTTTGTCCTGCCGTCCCAGTCGAGAATTATTCACATATAACATCTCGCTTATATGTTTTAATTGCCGCTTTTGTGGAGCAATTTCACATACCATTTTTTTCACATTTCGAAAATTAGGCACAAATATTTATCGGACTCGAGGTTATTGTTTCGACCGAATGCGAAAACACTCATCTGTAAATCGCAACGCCAAAAAATAGAAAAATATCTCACAGATTCGCAGCTGTAATATTGATTTGCTCAGATGGTTTTTGGCCGATTTCCACTGACACTGATCGTTGGTAATTGCCAGTGGTTCGCAGATTTGTCAACGATTTATGACAGTTCCAAAGATACCAGCACCGAAAGACATCTCGTCATAATTGGCATTGGCATTCTGTATTTTTGTTGGCTGCCATAAGCAATTGACATTGGATCAGGGCATTGGGCATATCTTTTGATGTTGCGGCTCCAAAACTACACGAGCAGGTGTAATTAGCCCTGAAAGGCCGTTGGAACATTTCAAGTTCGATGGAAGATCCAAGAAACACATAATTTACATTTTGTTATGGTGTTTTGCCCACTGCGAAGGCTGCAGTTCATTTGACTATAAAATTTGGCTGGGATTCTTATACACAAAGAGAATATTCTCTTAATTGAATTTGTAATATTGTTCACTGCTGCACTTCCAATCCATAGTCAACTTGCAATTGTTTCGAAATTAGCTTACATTTTTAGAAATGTTTCTTTAGAATTTCAACTTTGAATTGTTGCAGATTTAATATTAGGAGAATGAGATTTCAAATGTATTATTTTTTGTGTATGTTGAAAAGAAAACGATCCATAAACAATCCGACTGATGGGTTTTTGAGGTATCTTGTGCCTCTAACAAAGCGAAATAAAGAACACAAATAGAACGCATTCAAGGTACATATTAACCATAAATTAGTCGAAGTAAAGTACAATAACCCCCGAAAGATAATGCTGAGAATAGAGAAACTCTCATTCAGGGAGGTCACCTGTTCTGGAACCTATTTCTAGACACCTTTTCTCACTTCTGTATGACAAATCATCACACATTAAAAACATATAGTCGAGCACCTTGATTTTTATTTCGGTGCCGCATTGGCAAACAAAGTTGCGACCTTGGCAAGTGTCTTGATTCATTAGCGGCGTCATCTTGGAGGGGGTGGTGCTTTCATTGGCATTGCCACAAAATCACAAGGTGGGACAGACAGTGGATCAAAATCTCCGCCTTCCACCCCTTGCTCACCTGCCCAAAAATAGCTGGGCAATGTTTTCTTGTTTATTTGCGTCTTTGCCTCTTGGCATTTTCCGAAGACTCTTATTTTTGGGGGCGGTCAGCTCACTGTTACAGCTTCTGACTTGTTTTTGTTTGATTTCAGGCCAATTTCCACCTGCACACTGCGTCACTGGGCCTTTTCCTGGTAAACGCCCCCACATCCTCGATCTATACACTTGGCTATATTTAGCGGATGTAAGCGGCGGAACCTTGACCATCAACATCGCTATCTGCTGATGTCAGCACATTAGCCTGTTCAAATTACAAAAAATTTTGAGTTTTCTACATTTTACATAGGGTTATACATGCATAATTTCAATATTTACATACACGGAGATTGAAATCAGGACACAACACTAGAACATTTTTGCTTTGTGTATGAACAGTTTGCGTTATTAAAACATAAAAATGTACGACTTTACACGTATATAGCCGAAAAGTATGCTACTATCCGTTGACAGAAAAACATTTAAATTATTTAATTAAATTAATTAAACATCGGGGTCCAACTAAGCAATTTGTATACATTTTTCTTGACACACTTTCAATTTTCTAAATATTTATAAGTTAGGAAATCTTTGCATACTTTTCCGTTTATATTCAATTTATGCCAATTTTGTAAAACTTTTGAGAAATATGTTTGACATTCTACGAATCTTAAACGAACACGAATGAAAAAGTTTTAAATAAACCTAATTCTCAACAAAGTTTGTGACGTTAAGCCCTCACTCACCTGGTTAACGATGGCAGCCTGCTCCTCATCCACATCCTGTTGATGGTCGCGAGTTGGCTTGGGCGAAAACACAGAAGAAGGCACTTCATATCCACCAGATGAGTTTAGTTGGGGGAACACGGTCTGTGGAAGTGTGTCCACTGGCAACTGCAAGGCCCTCTCAAAGTGACTGGGTCCGGGCAAAAAGGCGATGGACCACGACGCGGCAATAATTCCGGACTTGCTGGAGGCAAAGTGGAATTGCTCCGTGATCCAGGTCCAGCCTCCTGAGTGCCGCTCTGCGTGTAGGCGATTTTGTTGTCCCTGAAAATTGTTGTAATAAGTATTGGTTTTCCATAAAAATAATACCAATATAAAGCAAAGATGAGTTCAATCATGTTTCTTTAAAGGAATTTCCTAAAATAGGAAAACAAAAATCCTTACAACTTTAAAAATTTGGTTCATATCCTGTTGCAGTGGCGTAGATAGGGGGGGGGATCAGGGGGATCAATCCCCCCCTTGGGTCTGAGAATTATAAGATGATAACATCGAATTTTTTCCAGGCATGTGTTTTAATGTAAGCATAACATTTTTGAAGCGCCAATATTTATTTTGTCTCAATGTGCAATACGGCAATTAATGGTAAAACTCTCAAAATTGAAAAAGAAACACACATTCTGAGTCATATCCCCCCCCATATCAAAAAGCTATCTACGCCACTGTCCTGTTGATACGTTTTTATTTCAAAACAACGCTTATGATAGGTTTTCTAAATAATAATTTTTAACAATATTTTCAAAAATGTGAAAATTTTCAAAATATTTAATATAATAAAATTTAAGATAGATTAAGGCATCTTGTGGTTTAATGACCCATTTATAATAAAAGCATTAGAAATTCCTACCGTAAGTTTTGTCCAAAAATATTTGTAACAAAGTTTCCTTATTCCTTATTGTAATGAAACATATTGAACTGATCCCTGATCCCGCGATTCTGTTTATAAACACGGATTTCCTGGCTCACCTGTGCACCACCAGGCGGATCTCGTTGCCAGCACCGCGGAACAGCTGCTGTGCATCCGCATGACTCAGGTCGCGTGCATCGTACTCGCCGATCTTCGAGATGATATCGCCGCGCAGAAGCTCCCCGTGCGATGGGCTGCCCACTTGCACCTGCAACACGGGCGGAAAAAAGGGGAGGGAAGGTCATTTCACACACAGGCACACACACAATTTAGGGTCCGACCGCCCGGTTGCCACCTTGACACAGATTTATGGGTGCCTAAATAGATGCAGACAGAATTATGATCGCCAGATTCTGTGTTTACATCGCAAACAGAAAGATCTCTAATGCAAAAAAACGGGCAGAAAAAGTGGGAATATTCTTGGTCTATTTTGTTGCGCCTCAATTAGTTTTACTGGCGTCGCGTTTTGGCACCCGATGCAGTATTTATTGTTGATTTTTATTTTTTTCTCGCTGAATCTTTTGCTGTGCCCGTTTCACTATTTTGATTTGTTGTTGTTTATTTGGGCGCTGAGAACAAAGCGGAGCGGGGCACAAAGGCCAAATCGCTTTTCCTCCGCCGTTGCGAATGTGCATCATTTTGATGAATGGACCACAAGCGACCACAAGGCGACAAAGAGTGGCGGCGGCATATCTCTGGTTACATAAGGCTCGTTAACGCCTTACCCTGGTGATAATTAGCGGCGTGTCCAGATCGTTGCCGCCCACCAATCGGATGCCCCAGGGCGTGGACTGTCCATCGCGCAGCAGGATAACCGCGAACTCGTGCAACTTGGGACTCATCCTGAAGCGGTAATCCTTCACTGCAATCACAGGCTCATCCAATCGCGGGCACTTTCCCGTAAAATGTTGTTTGTTTGTTTATCTGGCCTGCGAGGCGCAGGCAGCGCGAAATTGCAGTCCGTTAAGCGTTTTGTTCGATCGCAAAGCTGCTCAAGTACTAATTTTAAAATACAATTCGTATTCCTTTTTGCAGCAGCAGCAGAATCTTGGTATACCACGAGTACACTGCGCCACAAATCGTTATATATATATGTATATACAACTTATATCCGCCGGCAAGCGGAGACTACATGCTGAGAAACATGAATTCGATTGGCGAATCCTAATCGCTAAATGGGTTTCCTACGAAGAGTACTCCGAGTTTCTCTGAGAGCTTGTTGCATATTCGAGAATAAAGTGGGAGTGCGGATTTTGTTTATCTACTTAAAATGTATATTCCACGCAAGACAACAAGGCGTATACTTCATAAGTTGTTACAGATCAAATTACATTCGATTAGTAGATTGCTGAATAAGAAACATAAATAATTTACTTAAACATTAAATAAAATTTACCCAATGAATTTAATTGCAACTATATACCTAGTTATATTTATTAATTACCAACACCTGTAGAGCATTCAAGAATCACCTTTAATCCAACTCTTTTCCCCATTGCTCCCATTGTTTAATTCGACGTGTGCCCTGCATTTCTAGCATTCTGCATTTCGTTGGCAACGTTTTAGGACAGCACTTGATCCAGTTGCAAGTTGACCCTGAGGAAATGAATGCCACATGTCATCATCTAGGCGAGCGTTTTGATGAACATGTCTGTTGTTGGGGGAAAAATCAAGTATCTAGGCATCTGTTTTTTTTCGACGCTTTCAGCCATTTTATTAGTGTTCTTTGCCAGACTTGTTTGCCCAGCGATGAGGCAAGCGAGAGAGTGTAATTAAATTTATTTACTGAGCCGATACAAACACAATAGCAAGAAATTCGCCACTGTTGCCCAATTTAAACAGACTAATCATAACAGATTTTTAGTGCATTAGTCAATGGAAAAGTCTACGCTGAACATGACGTATAAGCAATAAGCAATGTGCATGGGTCAACGGTTGAAGGACATTGGATTGTTTTAAACATTAACGTCTGCCTCTCGTTTTTGGCAAGAATTTTACTTTTTACAGCGGAAAAATTTTTCCTGCCTGTCCGCTTTCCGCTGATATAGAGAATATATGGTTGGTTTGCCATTTAATTTTTCATTTTATATATTCTGTTTTCGGCACTGTTTTGGCTGGTTCTTGAAATGTTTTTACTTATTCGGCATGAATTGTTTTCATTTCATTTTCCGTTGGAATTTGTGTAATGTTTTTGTAAGACTCTCACCAAAGATCAGCCTTGAGTTTGTTCTAAATCATTTGAAAACCAATACCGATTGCATTGCGAATTGCGTCAATTTTGTGGCCATGGAAAAGTGGATACCATCCATCTTTTTGGCCAAAAAGTGCAGCAGTGGCCAATTAATTAGATTTGGCTTGACAAATTTACGAGCCGCCAGGGGCGAAATGTTATTGAACTGATTTCTGAGTCGGCCTGGCCTGCCTGGTGTGTGAATTGGGGCCACAAACACGAGCACACGCGCGCGATGATTGACAAGCCGAGTGATTTTGGGGGTATTTCTCTTGTTTTCTGGGCTCTTGGACTCACCCCCACATTTGGTTCGTCGGCGAAGTGGACGCGTTTCTTTAGACCGCTGCTGCTGCGCCTTCGGCAAGGGGGCGGCATTCGCGGGGAGGCGGGATTTGGGGGTGCAAGCGGGCGGTACGATGATGGCAACTGGTAACCGGGCACCTTCCAAAAAGCCGGTCGATTGTATGACGCGGACGCCGTTGATCTGCTGGTCGTCATTGCTGGCCAGCGACTAGCGTAAACAAAAGAAATGCTCCGCACATTCAGAAATGTGCGCTAAATTCTACTATTCGAACGCGTCTGCTCGCGACTGCGTGTGTGTGTTCACTACTAGGCAATTGAAAAATCAAATAAAACCAGGCGAAAAGTCAGAGGAAATGAGCGCAAAATAAATATTAATCACTCGAAAGGTGCGCGGATGAGAGAGACATCAATGCGAAAGATGAATGGGCTCCTGTTAAAAAAGGTACACCTTCTATGATATCATAGCATATCTTAATGGTTTCCAAAACAAACATATTTTCACTAAGATAGGGAATTCAAAAATTGGCGCTTAATAGCAGCATGGGCAGCACTGACTGCGAATCTATAATACTCGATCTGGCTACACATAAATTTTACAAAAAACATTAAAAAAAAACTTAAAATAAAAAAAAAAAAATTTTAAAGGACTAATTAAAAAAATTTTAAATTAACAACCAAAACCTTACACAAATTTATAAAAATAAATATTATTTATTTGCTTACTTTTTATATTTATTTTTAAATTTTGTAGGGCTATTATTTTACAAGATAAAAATACGGCAATTTTTGGGTTTCCCCTTAAATAAACAGGTTTGACTATCATTGCTAGTCTTCCAGATATCGATAGACACACCAATTAATCGATACTTGATGGTACCATCTGTTTCCATCTTTAGTGTTTTGTTGTGTTTCTTTATCTCCGAATTTCTCCCTGCGTTTTAAGAAGATAAAGGCTTAATTAAACCCGCATGTGGGACCCCGCATGGACCCAACGGAACCCCGCCCACATATAGAAACAAAATGTCAATTTTCAAAGCACGGTTTGTAGTCCCAAAAAATATACTAATTGGAACATAAACAATGACTTTCTCTACCCAATTCGCAGAGTCAAGGAATTTGAGGATGTTTTGTCTCCGCCACAGGATGTGATTGACCTTAAAGAACTCAGAAGACTGGCTTTTAGTGGTTGGATAAATTTGTATACTCTTAGGAACCCCTAATAACTACAGCCTAAACAATCCACAGGTGTGCCCGATGTTCAGAGTTTTCGAGCTCTCAGCTGGAAAATTCTGTTGGGCTATTTGGGACCCAGGCGCAGCAGTTGGACATCAACTTTGGCTCAGAAGCGAGCTCTGTATAAGCAATTCATAGAAGAGCTAGTCCTGCCACCTGGACACTCGATAAACGGAGACGAAGCCGCCGGAGGAGATGGGGACAAAGTCGATTCGGGGGGCGTTGGCCTGCAAGATCATCCGCTGAGCGAGGGACCCGAAAGTGCGTGGAACACCTTTTTCAACGACAACGAGTTCCTACTGCAGATCGACAAGGATGTGCGACGCCTGTGTCCCGACATATCCTTCTTCCAGCAGCCCACCGAGTATCCCTGCGAGATTGTGGTCCACAGCAAAGGGGAACACGGACGACGGCTTCACGAACGGGTGGTTCCCGCCGTGCTCAGCTCAGCTAATGTGGAACGCAAGGGCCTGGGCATGACCAAGGTGAGTTACAGACCGGTTGAGTGCTAGACAATAAGCTCAGAATATGTTGTATATTATGCATACCATTTGGACTTTAGCAGCAAGTAAGTGAGCCCACATAAACTCGAATCGAAACTAATTAGTTCATTGCTTCTCACAGATAAATCTCATCACTAAGCGCTCTGTGGAGAACTATGCGGCCATGGAGGAGGGTCAGGAGGCCCATTGGGAGGTTGTGCAACGCATTTTGTTCATCTACGCCAAACTGAATCCCGGCCAGGGATATGTCCAGGGCATGAATGAGATCGTGGGACCCATCTACTACGTAATGGCCTCCGATCCGGATCTCTCGTATCGCGCTCACGCCGAAGCTGATTGCTTCTTCTGTTTCACCGCCTTGATGAGTGAGATTCGTGACTTTTTCATCAAAACCCTGGACGATGCGGAAGGTGGCATCAAGTTTATGATGGCCAGACTATCGAATATGCTAAAATCCAAGGACCTGAACATATACGAGCTGCTGAAGAGCCAGGAACTGCATCCGCAGTACTACAGCTTCAGGTGGCTCACTCTGCTCCTCTCGCAGGAGTTTCCACTGCCGGATGTTCTGCGTATTTGGGATTCCGTGTTTGCGGACGAGCAGCGCTTCGATTTTCTCATTAAAATATGCTGTTCAATGATATTGTAGGGTAACCTTTTTTCTCTTAAGAGCCGAGACCTAATTTTCGATATTTTCAGAATCCAAAGGGAAGCCATTTTGGAGAACGACTTTGCCTCGAATGTTAAACTGTTACAGAACTATCCCCCAATCGATATTAACGTTGTGATTACTCATGCCAGATCGCTGGCGTAGCAGACTTCTAAGAGAATACATCCAAATGCCCAAATGCTTGCAAAGCCCCCTAAAGTTTGTCGGTTATCAGTACCAAGCAATCAACTACATTCTATTTAGCTCCAATCTTTGAAACGCACCTTTACAGGAAATCCAATAAGTATACACCTATTGTTACTTTTTTATATGACTTATAATTTGTACGTCATTAATAAACGAAATAATTTTAACATTTTGTGGTCCCAATTAGATAAAAGTCTGAACGTTAAAGAAGTCATAGATTGGTCAGTCGTTAAAAGAACACCGATGTACGTGTGGCATCGTCTGATAAACTGTAAAACACCGTTGGAACGATCACTTGTTGATCTTGGGAGCCGTATCCTTGCAAATCGATTGCGCTATGAATTCGATGAGTGTCCTCGTTGGCCGACCTGCCATGCCCTGTCGCAGATACTCGAACTCGTCGCCACGGGTGATCATCACATTCGTGGCGTCCTGGGAAGAACCGTGTTACTTTTTCGAATACCTTATTTATGAAACTGGAACTTACAATATGCATCCATTGACCGCAGGGCACGAATTCCCGCAGGAAGGCGGCGGCCTTGCAGGGACGACCTCCACGGCCGATGCCGTAGTTCTGGACATCACTGCGTCCGCCGGCACGGACCGCCTTGCTGTAGTAGTTCCACAGCGGGAAGCGCCACACACGATCGCCAGTGTGCATACTGGCGTGCTTGATCTGCTGCCACAGGATCTCCGAGTTGGTGAACACACCACAGGCCGCCTCATCTAACGCCTGGCGCATGTATCCCGAGCACGTGCCAATATCAATAATGCACTTCGGACAGAAGTTCTGCCCGTAAAGCAGGGCATCCGCCAGCACGAGCACATCCTCGTGGTCCGTGCACTGGACCTCGATGGTCTTGCCGTTCATCGACTTAACCATGTCTCCCGGTCGGAAGGAGTTGCAACCGATCACGTTCTCGCACAGAGGGATTAGACCGCGGATGTTCACCTGAAAGCAGGAGAATTAAAACAAACTATGTAACCTACTTTATGATGACTTACTGGTAACCTAAGTCCAGCCACAGCCCGACATGTGGCCACTACCACCGCCGCTCCCGTCATGTCGCCACGCATGTGGAAGAGCTCATACTTCTCCTTGAGGCAAAGGCCACCCGCATCGTAGGTCACGCCTTGGCCAACCAGAACAATGGGACGTTCTTCAGCGCAGGTTCCATAGTAGCTTAGTTCCAGGAAGATGGGTGGTTCGCAGGAGGCCTTGCCCACCGCCAGGAAGGCGTGCATCGACTGGCTCTCCGCCCAGCCCTCGACCTTGACCTCCACATTCACGCCGGATTTGCAGAGCACCTCGACGACATTCTGGGCAAAGGCAGTGGGGGTCAAAAGGTTGGAAGGCATCTCCTGTAATTGACGGGTCAGGTTTTGCGCGGCAGCCTTTTGCAGCCCAATGCGCCATCCTTCGATGTCACAGATCTCGTCCTTGGTGGCAAACAGGTCAATGGAAGGCACCGATATCCGGCGCTTGGGATCCCGCAGCTCCTGGTAGATCCAGATGCCGAGGGCAGCGCCCTCCGCCGCAGACTCCGCGTGCCCACAGTTCTCCACCTCAATGCGATCGGTGTCCAACTCTGCTAGGATGCGACAGGCATCGGCCACCGAGCGCCGGATGGCCTCCTTCTGCTCGTCGAGCACCTCGTAGGGATTGTAGCCGAGGCACTCCTTGCCCAGCCCGATGACCGCCACCGCCGAGTAGTAGGGCACCCGCTCGGGCTCCACGGCGAACAGGAGGCGGGTCTCGCCCCGCTTGGGCATGGGTCCAGACATCCTCAGCACCTCCAGCAGCCGGCCGTGCGTCTTCTGCACGTTGTACCGCCAGCCGGTGGGCGTCAGGATGCCGGCGTCGTTCTTGTCCTCCTCGTCGGCGTAGACCCCAATGACGAGGCCGCGCGACGGGGGATCCGCGCAGATCTCCATCTGCTGCAGCTGCAGCATCTGGTTGATCGCCTGCGAGGCGTACCTGCGGTGGCGGATCACCTCCGGACGACGGATCACGAGGCCGCAGGCCCGGGACAATGCTTTGCGCGATAACCGAAACATTTTGCTTTAAGTTGAACTAAAAACTTTGATCAATGCAAAAGGATAGTTTGTTTGACTGAAAACTTGCACTTCGATTGGCTGCGCCGTTCAAAAATGTCATAGAATTTTTTCAACCAAGATTAGCAAAAAATGTGTACGTGTTCAACCTCGAAACGAATAAAAATGATACTGAGCTCGTTCTATGGATGTGGCACCCCGACAAGGCACTGACAGAAGAGTCCAACGGTTGCTAGATCCTCGAGATATAAGACTTCAGTGCTTGAGAGTACACCTAAAAATAAAAATAATGTTTGGCGTTATAATTTCATTCCCGTTATTATCGATCCTTCTTACGGAAGCTATTCAATATTGTGGTCCGATCCGGCCCGTTCCGACTTATATAGTGCATGCAATAACTGCACAATTTTTCGAAAAGATTCGTAGAGATACCATTAAAACTAAAGGACAAGCTTACATATAAATATAATATAAAGGCGGCCAAACGTAAATGTCTAGTTGGTTTCAGATGGCTATGCTAATCAAGAATATATACTTATGGGGTCTTAGGTGTCTCCTTCATTGGGTTACAAACTCCCATCAGAACAATACCCCTGCAAGGGTATACGAGTTTAAAATATTTATAGGCCACTTCTTTGTTTAATCATTTTCGAAAAAATTCCTTTTTATTTACTTAAATCCCCCGAACATATCTTCTTTTTATATCCCAGAAAAATAACCAATTTCTTTTTGTTACTAATGTACAAGGTATTTTAATCAATTTGAAGGAAAATTTAATAAATGGTCACTCGAACAAACAATATTTTGGCTTGGGAACAATCTCGTTGCAATTTTGAAGGGACTTCCACGATCTGACTTATGACATCCACCCTGGACAGACTTGAAAAAAGTCACTTAAATTTTGGACGTGGCGTCCGCAAGCTGTTACTGCATTTTGGGATCCCTCCATCTTTGGTCAGCTGCTCTTTCCCAGCAGTGTCGATGCCTACTTGCCCATCTTGGGAGCGGTGTCCTTGCAGATCGTCTGGGCAATGAACTCGATGAGGGTGCGTGTGGGACGGCCAGCCATTCCACGACGCAGGTACTCAAAGTCAATGCCGTTGGTCACCATTACATTGGTGGCATCCTGAGAAAGAAATAAGGGGATAAGTATACCTCTTTGTAATTATATTAAATGTTTAACTTACGATGTGCATCCATTGGCCACAGGGCACGAATTCACGCAGGAAGGCGGCGGCCTTGCAGGGACGACCTCCACGGCCGATGCCGTAGTTCTGGACATCACTGCGTCCGCCGGCACGGACCGCCTTGCTGTAGTAGTTCCACAGGGGGAAGCGCCACACACGATCGCCAGTGTGCATGCTGGCATGCTTGATCTGCTGCCACAGGATCTCGGAATTGGTGAACACACCACAGGCAGCCTCATCCAGGGATTGTCGCATGTAACCCGAGCACGTGCCGATATCGATGATGCACTTGGGACAGAAGTTCTGGGCGTACAGCAGGGCATCGGCCAGCACGAGCACATCCTCGTGGTCCGTGCACTGGACCTCGATGGTCTTGCCGTTCATCGACTTAACCATGTCTCCCGGTCGGAAGGAGTTGCAACCGACTACGTTCTCGCACAGGGGGATGAGACCACGGATGTTCACCTGAAAGCGAGAGCAGTATAATAAAGGGTATAACCAAAATTTATCTATGGACTTACTGGCAACCTAAGTCCTGCAACCGCTCGACAGGTGGCCACCACCACAGCTGCACCGGTCATGTCGCCGCGCATGTGGAAGAGCTCGTGCTTCTTCTTGAGGCACAGGCCGCCCGCGTCGTAGGTGATGCCCTGGCCCACCAGGACGATGGGTCGCTCCTCGGCACAGGTGCCGTAGTAGCTCAGCTCCAAGAAGATGGGCGGTTCGCAGGAGGCCTTGCCCACCGCCAGGAATGCGTGCATCGACTGGCTCTCCGCCCAGCCCTCGACCTTGACCTCCACGTTCACACCAGACTTACACAGCACCTCGACAACGTTCTGGGCAAAGGCAGTGGGGGTCAAAAGGTTGGAAGGCATCTCCTGTAGCTGCCGGGTCAGGTTCTGCGCGGCAGCCTTTTGCAGGCCAATGCGCCATCCTTCGATGTCGCAGATCTCGTCCTTGGTGGCGTACAAGTCTATGGCCGGAACGAAGATTCGGGTCTTGGGATCGCGCAGCTCCTGGTACAACCAGATGCCGAGAGCAGCTCCCTCGGCGGCCGACTCGGCGTGTCCGCAGTTCTCCACCTCGATTCGATCGGTGTCCAGTTCGGCGAGAATGCGGCAGGCGGCGGCCACCGATCGGCGGATGGCCTCCTTCTGCTCGTCGAGCACCTCGTAGGGATTGTAGCCCAGGCACTCCTTGCCCAGACCCACGACGGCCACCACGGAGTAGTAGGGAATGCGCTCCGGCTCCACGGCGAACAGGAGACGGGCCTCTCCCCTCCGGGGCATCGGACCTGACATCCGGAGCACCTCGATCAGCCGACCATTCGTCTTCTGGATGTTGTACTTCCAGCCGGCGGGCGTCAGGATGCCCGCATCGTTCTTGTCCTCCTCGTCGGCGTAGACTCCTATGACCAAGGCTCGCGACGGCTGGTCCGCACAGATGTCCATCTGCTGGAGCAACAGCATCTGGTTGATGGCCTGCGAGGCGTAGGACCTCCTGATGACCTTCGGTGCATGTTGCTGGCAGACGGCGGACCGACTGCAGATGCGGAAGAGCAGCTGACGCGACCTGCGAAACATATCCCCTGTACTCCTGTGCTGCTTTAAACACAAATGATCCTTCAAAAACCAAAAAGGCAAGTTCCGAAAACGTTCACTTAAAATTTAGTATCCAATAAAATGGAAATTAAAAAAAATCTAAAAGAAAAATCTTATGCTATTACAGGCAATTTTTTTTTTACAATAAATTTTTCTAATGAGCTGTTAACTCTACGAGACGTTCACGGATACTGAAGCTCTAGATTTTGGTTGGGAGTCAGCTAGCAAACGGGATGGGCGGTCGGGTGACAAAAGGATCAGAGCCCTCTATATGCGTTATCAAGGCCTACCGGGATTTGTGATTGCATTTCGAAAAAATATTGCAACAAAGATTACAGCTCATTAGTTTTCATTACTGACCGCCAGCATCAGTTGTTATCTTTTTGTAAACCCAAAGTTATAAATTTATTAATTCAATGAAAGAATGCAACTTTAAATATTATGATCTAATCTCTCATCATCCCATGTTTGGAATTTAAGCATATTTTGGTTATCTCCCCTCACTTTTAAACTTAAAGCATACACAAATTTCATATGTTTCTTTTATTATTTTCCATACTCAGCATGATCAATTAGGTACAATTCGTTCTTTAGGTAATACTGCTTAACATTTGAGACACAAACTAGACACAGACACGTACACTTATCGAGAACATTTTTGGTAACGTACATATACATTGGGGTATACTTTCTCTTCAGCTACTGCGAGTAGATATTCCTGTATATAAAATAACAATGGCTATCGAACGTCCTCTATCGTAATTCACTGCGACAATTCTTGTACTTATTGTGTGTGTAAATCGACCTTTGGTTGGGTTGCCGTTGCCTTGGGATAGATATGTTTCGGTTTAAATGGCTTCAGATTCGATTCCCATTGTTTGGTGGGGTGTGGTTTTGCGGTTCGATACGAAAATATGCAGTTGGGATATAGATATAGATAACTATTTGTAGTTCGTTCTTCATCTGGGGTTCAACAGAGACTAGCGTAAACTTTGAAAGAGTGCAACAATCTAGGGGTGCGCAGAGCACATAAGAGGCACATTAGTTATTTGAGCAACTGTAGCATAGAGACTAGAGTGTTAGACAGCTGTGAGTATCCATGGTGCTTGGTAACATCCGGTACTTTGGCATTCGTCAGCATAAAAGTTCCCATTAACCCGGCTTGCAAAGAGCCAAGTTTTATCTTTGTACAAAGGGGTGGAACTAAGCTTTGGGGTTTATCAGGAGGTTTATCTTTAGGAAAGACCATTTGGTCACACATTTTATATACAAACACATTGACTCTGGACAACAGGGCGTATGAGGTTATTTTTTGGCGGAAACTGGTACTTTTCCTTGAAGCTTATAAAATTAAAAATTATAGAAATCATACGTAAATAATTCTTAAGAATTTGAAACAACTTGTATAGCATACCTATCTAACAAAGTCAAAGTACAAATATTGCTCATACGTAGGGATGTTTCTGTTAAGATGTAAGTTAATAAAGGAATTGGTTCTGGAATGAATACTAAAAAACAGTGATTTTCGAAAACTAAGTTTCAGATATTTAAGCTCATTTAAAACAATGTCCCAAACAAACCCTACTCAAACTTCCTTAATGGTACTTAAACTCATTTAAATTGAATTGAAAGACCCTTAAAACTTCAGCTTATAGAGTTCCACCCCAGTGTGCATCCAATATAAAAATCCGAAGTAGTTTCTGAACAAATCTTAAAGTGGCGATCACAAAATCGTGGTCACCGTTACGGGCAAGCCGTCGGCATTGACGACCTGCTCCGTTTGCACCCGGGTGCCAAAGCTCTCCACACTGGTTGCCTTGCTGAGATCGATGGCAGGGACGTCCTCGTCGTAATCGGAGGCCAGTTCCTCCTCGGCCAGGTAGCTGCACTTCGTGCTCGTCACGGGCTTCGCCGGCTCCTTTTCGTGGTAGAAGTGGGTGCGATCCATGTAGATGATCCCGTCATCCGTGTCGTCGTCCGTGTGGCAAGCCGGATAGTGACCGTAGCCCGCCTCGCACTGGTAGGGATTCGACTTGACGTGGACATTCCGACAGCTGCCGCCGCAGTTCTGGTGGCTCTCGGCATCGCCGCCGTTGGCCCCGTAGCACTGACCCCGGTGCAGGGAGTGACCCACCGAGTGGTGGCCACCGCCACCAGGGTGACCCGTCGAGTGGCCCGCCGAGTGGCCGTGCACCTGACCCACGCCAGCCGCCGCGCTGCTGGAGTGGGCCACTGACTGCTAGATGTGCGAGTGCGAGCGGGCTATCGAGAGCGAGTAGGGACTGAGGTCCTTCTGGATCCGCATCGAGTCGTAGATGGGGAACTCGCAGCACAGGATGAACTTCAGGGCACTGGGCACCTCCACGTAGACCGTCGGCGGCACCGGAATCAGCGGCGAGGTCGAGGCCTTGTACTTCCGGTACTCCAGCTGGCTAAAAGGTTCAACGAAAATATATTGAATAATTTATAACGAGTTTGAAAATTAGCTAGCTTGGTGTTTAAAATTTTACGACTTGGAAAAAAGACAATTTCCGAATTGATTTCGCCTTTAAAAAATATTTATGATAGATTAAAGCCGTTAGAAATAATTACAAAAAAATGAATATTATGTTGTAATAAGTAATTAAATAAAATTAATATTTTATGGTAATGTATTCATCTTAAAATCTATTTGTGATACTTACTCTTTGTACTTTTCATCGGCACTCCGCTCCCGCAGAGGAATCCCGGACAAAAAAAGTATAATCAGCGTGGTAAAAATGGGAGAGGCGATCGCCACCCATTCGTGGCCACTGATCACATTCAGCGATATGGCAAAGATGCCCCACCAGATGACCACTTCGCCAAAGTAGTTAGGATGCCGAGAAACGCTCCACAGACCTTTATGAAGTTTGTTTAGCAAATATAATAACTAGGGTTATTATAATGGTCTCACCGTCATTGCAGAACTTTCCCTGGTTGGCCGGATCCTGGCGAAAGGAGAACTTTTGGAGGTCCGCATAGGTTTCCGCCAGTAAGCCGACTATGAACATACCCGTTCCCGTGGAGTCCAGTGTGGTCATCGTTTTTGGGGCACGCGGTTGCGAGTGGCGCGGTGAGTTGATGATTATTACAGGCAGTGACACAATGTAAACCCACACGGCCTAAACAATAAAGCAAGGGATATTACATAATGGGAAAATTACTACAAAATTAAATTGATATTACAAAAATATCACATTGATAACTGATCTTAACAATATCTAATTGATGAAACTATCCAATATTCAGTTTCGTGTAAAACATCTTATCTCGATCCTATAGAATATTTATTAAACCCTTTAAAAATTAAAATAGCTTTTGTTATAAAAAAAGACAAGTAAAGTCATGTTTGTTTAAGAATTAGTTCCCAAACACCTTATTCATAAATCACGTGCCCTCTTATAAAGCAGCTTTTCTAATTTAAGATTGCTAAGATTCAATTTTATTGCAAGGCTTTGATTGAGCAATTCAAACACACGAAATTGTTCGTATAAAACGGCACCTCTTTTTTGTCAGTTATTTTGCAAATTTCGATGTCAGTATTTCAACTGGCAACAAGTGATTGGAATTCGGGCGAAATGGGAAATAAATGGAGACAAAACGACGGCGGGACATGCCACATGCAGCACGCCAACGCCAATGTCGCCGGTGGCACATACAATGAAGGCCGGACCGAATGCAACCACCTATCCAGTGCCACCCACTAGCCATCCGCCCACTAGCCACCCAGTAGCCACCCACAACCGACCACCCACTCAACGTTTAGCTGGTGTCGCCCACATGTGTCATGTCACTCTTCTCTGCCAGAGAGAATGGCGTTTTAATTGTTTGGTCGGTCTGGTCGTTCTGGGAGCCACATTGAGATTACCATTGCCACCGATGTCGGGCGGTCGACAGGTGGTGAAATATGAAATATTCAAAACCTTTGCGCACGTGTCAATTAGTGACAGTTTGATTGATTTTCCACCTTCAAGTTGAAGGCTCTGTCATTGAATAGTTCGAAATCCGAATGAAAAAGTAGCTGACGCAACCGATTGGTCTACAACTGCACCCACTGCCTTGATGCCCCACTGCCCCACCGCCCAAATGAAACCCACCTGGAATGTCCAGAAGACCGCGTAGCGGATGATGTTGCGGCGGGTATCCTCGAACTGCTTGTCGCGGCCCAACTTTATAATGCGATATAGCAAATATCCGGAGAGCCGAGCGCCCCACAGGCAAACGAAGAGCGTGACCATCAGCTGGCGACTGTCATAGGCCTGAAAATAAATAAATAATTATGATTTAATCATATAATTTAAGTGATTAAGCGATTAAAAAATATAGAATAATTTAAAATTAATGGTTTTAAATATGTACTTAACATCCACAAATTGTTTAAGTTTGGGATTGAAAAATATTCATTAAACATAAATCATTTTATGTTCACCTAATGATTTTAGTTTAAAATTTTAATTTTGAAACAAAAGTAAGGAATATATTATGTAAGTTCGTTTGTATAAGCTTTAGTCTAAATTTGTATTTTTAAAATAAATATCGGAAATACGAGCTATAGGGTATTTTTAAATGAAAAAATAACTTTTTCAAATGCATTAACCAATTTTTTGAGGCTCCATGACTTCTTTATGTCTTTATCCAATGAAGCTTTATATAGCAGGCCTTAAAAGATACACGCTTCTGACGTCGGAATATGTTTTGGGGCAATAAAGTGCCCGAGTGTGGTAGTATCATGTCCGCATTGCAATAAACATTTAGTGGTTGCCTTTTGCCAAATGAGATATATATTTTCGGGGGCAATCGAGGCAGGTTCGGCGAAAGTTCGAGTTCAAGGCTGAGCTGCTTGCTAGGAAGAAGCTCTCGTAACTATTTTAGTATCCCCCCAATAACAGCATTTACCTCAGCCAGGGTATCTGGCAATTCGTGCCCACTCCGCAGAACGAACCAAAAACTCATTGCCCACCGAGCAATTTGCACGAATTTTCATTTTGGCCAACGTCAGAGAAGAACTTTCTGTGTGTTTCTTTCGTTTTGGTGGATATTTTATTTTACAAAACCACTTTCGGCGGTCATGCAAATTTTGCATAAATAAAGCGGAGCACGCACGAGTGCCAGTGGTTCTATGCTCCACCCAGCAAAAAAAAACAAAAAGTGACCACCGGGCATTCAATATTGAATGAGTCGGTTGCACTTTGCATATTTATAAACGGCATTGACGGCCAACCGAATCAGAAATGCATTTCGCATGGAGGTGCGGCTCCTTCGTCAAACGGCTCATGAAAAATGCAGGGAAAATTGTTAAATTGCTTTGTCAATGGCAGTGAACAGGCGGCTCATGACCGTAACCGCCAGCCAAAGTCACTTGCAGGACGTGGAGGTCACGGATGGAAGGATGGAAGGACTGGGCCAATCGGCAGGGCAATTTATTGAGGGCCCCGCAAGTTGATAGTTTAATGGCTTTGCCATATCGCCTTATAAAGCTGACTTGATTGCCTGTTTTGTCGTTTGATTGAGCTGCCTTTCAGTGGGGAGCTTAAGCTATTTTATTGCTCGATTTATTAAGCGAAACTGAACGACGATAAACCAACGACAGGCGACTGCATACGGTGGCAGTAAAACATTTTTATGGCCATCACACAGCTGCAGTTGCAGCTGTATTGCAGTGGCTGTGCAATACAAGCAACAACGGCCACGAGCAATGGCAGCACTTCCGTTTCCGCTTGACATCCTGCGTCCGCCATTTTCCCCCTCTGCTCGTCTCCTCTCCTCGCCTTCCGCTTACGATTGCTTTAAGCAAATTTTGCATTGCTAACTTTATGCATGCTGAGTGGAGCTTAATTTTAATTTACGATCGATACTCAATTCGTTCTTGCCACAAATTGTGGCAGCAGAATTAATCGTGTCGGTCGAGGAGATTGAAAACTTTCTTTGTTTGTTTATTTTGTACACGTGTTTCTCTCAAAAATGTGAGAGTTGAATTGAATCCGTGTGCTCGTAGAGATTTTCAACTTTGATTTTCCTTCGTTTGTTTATTTTGCACACATGTTGGTCCAGCAAAAACAAACAACAGTCACGTAAGAATTTATTTCTCAATTCGCTTTTGTTGTGCTGGTTGAATTTTTAAAAGCCCTTAACAGCTTTCATGGGCAATTCAGTAAATCGATACACTGAGGGGCGTTTGAACTGCAAAGTAAGGCAAAAGCGTATACTGGCTTTGTTTATTGGGGATTTCACTTTAATCCTATTATATTTTAATTAATTGTACGAAAACAGCTTTATTAAGGCCTCCTAAGAGGTCTGTAATGAACTGAAAATAGGTGTTCATTACACATTGATTATAATAAAAGAGCCTCAAGCACTCAAGGGTCATCAGTTAAGATAAACAATGTTTTGTAACGACAGGATAATGAAGGCCTTATTAACGTAAATTGAGCACTGAAAATTGATACCATAATGTGTTTGTTCTTCATAAAAATCGTTCAAGTTTGTTGCTCGGTCATATTTCAATTTAAATTGCGCGTAATCTAAATTAAAATCTTTTGAAGAGATTTTAATGAGTTGAAAATGTCTGTTCGATATTATTTATTTCATCCGAAGAGCCTGCGGTGGAATTATGTCAGCATTATAGCTTTTAAAGATAAGCTATTTCCTTTTCTGAAAATTGATTTAATTGAAATGCAGAGTCATTGCTGTCTGACAGTGAAAATTGAAATGAGTTTTTTAAATGTATTCACAATAAAAACTTGACAAACTTTAGAGTTTAACCAATTGTTCCTATGGCAGATGTATGATAAAGTCGTCCTATTCTCATGAAATTTAATTAAATTATTTATTTAAATAAAATCAATAAAACAACATTACATTAAAAGGCTTCCCATTTAAAAATGTGACTAAAATAAGAAAAGATATAAACTTCGAATTAATGAATTTTTGTCACTTTTTAGCAAACCCATTAATTATTCAGAAATCAACTAATGTGACTCAAAACCAATTACCTGGTACACATATAATACACACCGACTGCTTTACGATTGGCTGTTTAATGGCCTGTCTTCCATCACCTAAGGTAAACACAATATTCCGCTTTACCCTGCTAATGAAAGGCGAAATTACGAAATTGGCCATCAAGTCGGATTAATTAATTGAAAATTGCGGACTACCCTGCAGCGAGGGTGGATTGGATTGGATCGCCATCGCCATCGCTCTCGACCTGTCCGCAAATAGCGTTAGTTAGCTGCTCAGGGAGCGTGTTTGGCCGGCGGAAGGACACGCCGACAGACGGATTGAGGACCCTCACGATGCCAAGGTCATGCTCAGCCAGAAGGAGACCCATGAGCTATAAGCTACAGCCACAGCCACTGCCGCAGCCGCTGCGAGTGTATAGCATAACAACAACTGGAACAACAGCCAACAACGACGAACAACAGCAGAACAGCAGAAATGTGGGCCTCGATGGGCGTAACCTTTTGTTTGTCGGCAATGGATGTTCTGCTCTGTATGCGTTGATGTCTGTGTCTGTGTCTGTGACTGTGTCTGTGTGTGCGTGCGTATGCAAAACTCAGTTTTCAATGTCAGCAGCCCAAAACCACCATCCTTTCGCCCACCCATCCACCCATTACCTCCCATTACCACCCAACACAGCAGCCCCTTTACGCCCAGTTGGGCGACATGTTTATGGACACGCTTCAAGTTCACAGAATTTAATTTTGCTGAAAAAATTTTGGGGCACAATAAAAGCTAACGAGCTGAAAAAAAAAACAAAATACATTAAATGGCTCATAATTTATCTGTTGTTAATATTCAAATATAGCAATAAATTTTGATTGCTTTATCAGCGTGCATGTATCTGAGTTTTCTATATAAAAGAAACCATTCAATGAATTTATTGAACAAAACTGACAATCAAGCAATGTTTATTTATAATTGGCATTGCAAAAAACTCAACTCACATGCACATCTTTTTTTTGGATCAAGACCTTGCCAACATATTTATGTGAAACGCAATTTAAGAGGTTATTCCATTTAACTCTTTTATTCACATCCCATTTAAAAACTCAGTTTAAACAGCTTAGGTAATTTTAATGAGCTTCATTCATTAAATGGATTTTTAACAAGATTACATTAAAGCTTATTTACTTTACTTATTAATGTATTTGTAAAAAGATAATTGACTAATTATTGTGTTCCTAAGCAAAATGTGGTTAGCTAAAGTTTAGTGTTAGTAACCCTGATTATTTCTTAAACTTTTCAAAACTTCCTTATGGAAAAGGAATCTTCAGATTTAAGGGGGTAAACAATTAAAATAATTAAGTTTGACTGTTCCACTTACCTTAGATGGCCGATCGATTTGTCCGAGGAAAAACGTCAGCAGCGAGATGATGATAAAATTGACTCCGCCGGCGAAATCCGTGAGCTTGTCCATGTGGAGGATGGAGTTGACCAGAAAGAAGACCAGCTGCAGACTCCCCACCACGATGGCGCTGATGGCGAAGTGATCGTAGTCCAGTACATTTACGGCCATTGTTGCGGTGCGCGGCTCTCACCACCTTTCACCTGGCCTTTCACCTGACCAGCACCACCACCGCTTTCGCCCAGTCCGGCCTTTTATGGCACTTGGCTCGGCAACAGGTAACCTCTCGTCCTCCTCGTCACTTCGGTTCTTTAATATTGCAAAATGTTTTGCCTTCACATCGCTTTACTCACACTTTTTTGCTCCGCCTGCTCGCAAAGTGTCTGTGCCACTCCCCCCGCCCCCAGAGCTTTACATACTGTGGTGGGTGGTGGTTGGGCAGCTGGGTGGTTGGGTTTCTGGGTGGTTGGTGGGTAGGTGGGTGGTGGTGCTGCCTGGTTTGCGGCTTGGCTGCCAGCCAAGGAGCCTCTTCTTTTTGGGGCCGCTTGTTGATTACGTATTTATGTGATGATTGTTTATTTGGGGTCGCCCCTGCAGAATGCAATAAATAATGCAATTTGTATATGCTGTGGCAGCTGCAAGTTATTTCCTAAATGAAAACCTAATTCAATTTCCCGCGCTCAGCGACACGCAAAGAGCATCACATCCACAAATTTTTCCCCTTGTCCTCCCGCCATTTAAATGAATTTCGAGCATAGCCACCTCGACATGGCAACAATCTCAAGCCGTTTTTGCGAGTTCCTGTGCATTGAGCCGGCAAATCGTTGGCAAAACGAAGACTAGGGCAACATGCCATCATGGGCAGTGGTGTAGAAAGGCACCAGACTTGGGGGTTAAGTCCTTAGACTTCAGCTTGGATACCAATGACATTAAAAGTTATTTCGGAAGAAGGGGGCGCTAACTTGTGACTTAGCCGGGTGATTAATTTCTAATAGGTTCTCAGCCAAGCACCAATTCCAATTAAACTAATAAGAAATTGGCTAAAGCCAAAAGTGGCATCTAAAGCCATAAATAATTAAGTGGGGTAGCAGTAAATCAAGAGGAAAGCAATTATTTTTTTATTTTGTGGCGACACAAATTTGTGACTTAACATATCTAAGAAATGAGCTTCTAATAGGTTTTTAATTACTCCAATCATAGACATTAAAATAAGAGGTTTTTTTATTACGCTTGTTAGATTTTATAATGCAATAAAGGTTCACAAAAACCTCACCTTCCCCTCTCTTCTTAAGATCTTAAGCTTTTAAATAATACTCAGTTATTTATAAACAAAACCAGTAATAAATTTATATTCCCTTGAACAAAATCGCGCACACACCACTGATCCTGTAAAGTGTGTACTCAAAATGGTTTATATGGCACATACTCGAGCCAGCTGGTTTAACTTTTTGAGCCTTTATTTGCCTCTTGGGCTCGACTGCATTTGCACTGCTCTTGCTTTGGGCCCCTTAACTATCCAAATATCCGCCCACTTGCCCCTTCAACGCTCCTTGTTTGGCCAGCGTCTCCGGCCCGCATACATAATTAACTAACCGAAGTGGCTATCTATGATGCAGACTGCAAATCTGGCCCGCACAAGAACGTTACAGTTTATGGCGATTTCGGTTCGAGTGCCGCCGGGAATCGATTTCCGGACGGGATAATGGAGTCTGGGTTGGGTAACTGTCCAAAATTTACTGCCGACGGATTAGCCGAGCTCAATATGTGTTGATTGTGCAGTGGTTTTCGGCCTGTTTCGCATTTCAATTGCGGCTAAATTGTCCAAACATTTCCATGGATTATTTTGGGCATTTTAATTAAATCGTTTTATTGCGTCCATCATTCCTGTTCTTAGCGCGTTTAATTGACTAAAATATGTCATTAAAATAAAAGATGGCTTTAAAGCGCTTTTCCATAATTAAGGGGTATTTAAAAGCTTTTAAAACATAACTTTTATTGCAAGTCATTTTAGTTGAAATAAGTTGAACTATTGTGCCATTAAAAAGTTCTTTTCCCTTCATTCGTTTTTATTAAGTCATTCAATTGCATTTATTCTGTTCCCTGTTCTTTCTCATAGTTTAAGTTTAAAGAAAAGTTTATGTCAGCTGTCAAAAGTTCTTACCACGAAAAAGTTTCAAACGAATTATATGAGTTTTTCTGAACGTTTTATAATCAGCATCTTGAATTAATGTTAGGGGAATTACCAACCATTTTTTACCAAAAAATATAGCGGAAAGGGAACATAACTAAATTTTCAGCTGATTATAATCATTGAAAGGATATCTAATCACATTTTAAGGCAGAACTTTTCCGCGATGCAAGGGAGTATCCAATTTCCAAGCTCTAAGAAATTGAATTATCTAGAAAATGCAAATTGGATTTGGCTTTTCGCTAATTGGCGATGTCAGACCCATAAGCAAAGCTAATCCTGTTCGCAGGGGATTCCTGCAGCGCTCCTAAGGCCCACAAAGGTATGCAACGCTTTTTGTTTTCGCATTTTGCCAAAGAAATGCATCAGCATTGCACATTCATTAAAGCAACACCCGCGGCGCATTCAAGGCCCAAAAACAAAAGCAGCAACCGTGTTAAACTTGTGCCACCTTCCAAAGAAACAACAAAAAATAAAAGAAATACACCTTAGTGTATGCAAATGTGTAGTCAGTCAGCTGTGCTGTTGCCACTTGGCTTGCTCCCCCCGCTTGTTGTCATTGTTGCTGTTGTTTGTGTTACTTTGAGTTCTTTTGTGCACTGGAAAATACTAAATTGTATTTTAACAAATTAATACTGAACTACAAATGGATTTTATAGGATTAACAGAACAGATAAGATTGGAAACAAATTTGTTGACACAAACCATTCGTTACTACATAATTCTGGTTCCTTTGGAATGAGATTGATTATTACAAAATCCTATATAAAAAAGTGGTAAATTAAAATTTTGTAAAAAATATTGGCTTTGAGAAACTTAAGTTGTACTTAAGTCAGAAAAGAATTCCAATGCTTATCGTATATTTTAAGGAGGAGGCTTTAATGGCCTTTTGAAAACTAATGGATTCTTCTTACGAGAAATTGTCTACTTTTGAAAGGAAATATTCTGAGAGGGATTTTCAAAAATATTGTTATATTTTTCAGTGAACTTAGCATTGCTTGGCAACGCGTGGCGGTGTCCCCGGAGTGGGGATTCCGGGCGGACTGGGGTTATTCGTAGCCGCAAGACATTGACAAGGTGTCTGCCAGGCTGTCACTCACACTCACCGCAACTCACTGCAGTTGTTTGTTGTTTTCCCTGGGCGGTGGTACGTGTGTGTTTGTGTGGAGCAAAGCTCAGGAGGGATTTTTGCATATACGACAAGGACCCCTCTGCCCGATTCCCCCGCTGATTCTTTTTGCCTGGACGAAGAGTTTTTCCCCAAGCTGTGCCCACTTTTAAACGCATTTTCGCGTGCTTTGCATTTTTCGCCAGCGTCGTTTGCCATTGTCGCCACCTTCTTGTGGGCATTAAGGAATTCAAGCTATGCAATTCTCCTCCACAATTGGACAAGTTGAGCCCGTTTCGATGGGGTTGCAGCTAATATATTTTGACAAATGCCAGCTGCAGGCTTTACAAGCAAAGTCGAAAGATTTGCCAAGAAATGGTAACTGAAAAACTTTGCTGACCTTGAACATCGGAAATTTGACACGTACTAAAAATGTCCTCGAAGAATAAATGTTTTCGTGCACATATTTTTTTAATAAAAAGGGCTTGCAGAAAGTCAAAGAAACTATTGTTGTTTAAATACAGAAACATTACGCTTGTGACTTTAAATCTAAGTATGTTTTTGTAGTTGACTTTTAAACTTATGCGAATTAAGTTTGTAGGAAGATAGGGTTTTATAAGTAACTAAAGTGCATAATAAATTTTACAGACCATTGGTTGCTTAACCTCTTAGAAAAGAAATACCCGCAACGCTTATTTCACACCTCGTTCGGTTACATGTGCTCTGCATTAGCACAAAATATCCACAACAAATTGAAAATAAAACTAAACCTGTTACAAAACGTTCCACGGTCGAGCCAAGACAATTCTCGATTTTCCACGCGACTAAAATTTCGCGCTGCAAGTTGTTCTCGTATTTGTTTTCCTGTGGCTGGGGTTGTGCCGCCTGCTCATGTTTGCAAGTGCTCTTGGCACTGAAACTGCAGCCATGTAATGGAATTGGCTGCGGTTCAACGGTGCGTATGATTAACTTTCGAGCAGCGGCAAAACGGAGGACTAAAGAACTTCCATTTAGAGCGCTGCAAATTGCCCTGCCATGCGATACAGCACACCCCATTCCCCCAACTGCCTGTTTGCCGTTTATGCTAATTGTTGTCATAGTTTCTGTACTACGTCGTCGCTGTTCATGTGACACTAGCAATTAGGCATCTGGCCCGATTTTCCGTTTGCGTTGACTCTATTGATTGCCTGCCTCGATGTCGCCCGCAATTAATCGTGCCGAACTCTCCCTGCTGGTGACAAAACCTAATTTAATTATACGAGGGCGACCGCAGCTCAATGCATCAACATGCAGTTTAAGCCAGTAATTGGAAATAGAATCACGATTGCCGCTTTCGACATATTTTTGTGCAGAAAGTGGTTATTAATTTTTGGTTATTTGTGTGACAAGAATTTATGATTTCAAGATTAAGTGCGCAAATTAAAATGGTTCATTAAAACTGTTTAAGAGAATTAAATACAGAAAATATAATTTTTTTAGTGTTTAATAAATTAGAATTCTTTTACATATTCAAATAGTTTTACGATGATTCAAATTTTTGGTTTGGTGATGCCATTGAATAATTTAAATTTTAATTAAAATTAGTAAAGTCAACAGGGAGTAACCATCTTGCTTAAGGCAATATTTATCTAAGATTTAATTTCGGATTTCATGCCGCAAATGTTCATTGCTTTCCCCGAGCAAACGCTTTGGCAAAATTAAACTTTACATCTGTAGGACATTGCTGCTCTCGAATTCCCTAATGTTTGCCCATGCCAAGGATTTTGCTTTGTAATCCGACGAAATTGTTTTTCCATGGCCCGGCAAAATGAAAAGGTATTAAACTTAAATATTCATAAAGTGCAACTCATAATGGGGCAATTCAATAAAGCGGAATCCATATTGAATTGACTGCCAGCGAAGGGAAATCTCCATAAATAACGCATTCTGTTGGGCAGATTGGCAATTTATATAATCCCGCAGAACATCGACGGAGGACAAGCCGTGGGAATTGACTTAATGTGGGCAGCATGGCCACCTTGAACTTCGACAAGGACCTATTTTTGGGGGGCGAACAAGGAGCAAGGACTCAACGGGTGGTCGCCTGAAGGAATATTGACGTTTTTTCAATTAAGCCTGCCCACCAGGCACTTTGGCGGTTGTATTTATGGCGTTCAGTTAGTTCTATTTTTATGAGGGGGCGGACAAACAAATGCGGGCAAGCGATATGTTCCTTTTTTTGGTTCCGAACCCGTGTGTCAATAGTGTAACTGAAACTTTTCCAGCTCGCTCGGTACACATCGTTCACCATACGTATACGCAATATTCCATATCCTGTGGCAGATAAATAAATCGCCCAGAAGCTAAGCGGAAAAAACACGCGTACACACACGCACTGCTATGTACACCACAAGCACACATTCATATATACACACACACACATACACATCCACACACGTGCGTTTAGAATGAGACATTAAAGAGCGTCTTGCGGGTAACTTTGTCCGCCTTTTTCCGCTTTTCCGCTTTTCCTACGTTGACACAAGTGGGAAGTCAAGCAAGTTGGACACGCGCTAAGTTTTACAATTTCCCGCTGAAGGTCTCGCCGCCCTCTTTTCCTGCCTCGCCTCGCCCCGCCTCGCGACGCCTCTTTCCCCGCCCACTTTTACTGTCGCCCTGCCAAACAACTAACGCACATTTCCGTTTCCGCTTATGCCACAAAATGGCCAAAAGTGGCCACCATTGATGGCCTGGTGATTAGTTACAATTTTTTTTTTGTTTCTTCCTACGCCTCCGCTTAATTTGCGCCCTTGTTGCCGCGGTGGCTTTGGTTTTTATCGCTGCTGGTGCTGCTAAACGCGTGTTGTGTTGCAGCCAGCATCTAGACGAGGCGAAAACAAACACACCAGCCGCCGCGCTTTTTTTGCGAGCGAAAAGGACTCAAGCGACCGACGCAACAGACGACTCCGGGTGGACTGAAGCGCGCTTTCTCTGCAGCAGCAGCGCAATTTTTGCAGCAAGCTGGGAGAAAGACTCTCTCCCGGAAAGCAGTGCTCAACTGCTTGCTTTGGGAGTGGCGCCAGGTTTTAAATATATTTTATAACGAAAGTAAGTAGCCAATGATAAAGTCGATTAATACATAATCTTTCAGCAAACAACTCATTCAATTTCTTTTTGCGGATAACACCAAAAACATCCTAAATGTGAAAGTGTTATCAAAATTCTTAGCCAAACCACAATTTAGTCAGAAAATTTTCGCAAAAAATGATGATGTAGTCCCTTTTTAAAAATACCAAATTTAATATAAATTTTAAATACAATTTGTCATTAAATTTAATCTTAGCTTTGTTAACAGTGCCCAATTAAGATCTCTTCTTGGCCAATTTAAAACTAAAAAGGTGCATATTTTTTGCTACATTTTTTATGTCCTGATGTTGGTCGGAATGTGATATAATAAAAAATGCGAAAATTGCTCAACAAATTAAATTAAATTTGTTCCTATAACTTGCAAAGCTATTAAAACTTGTAATACTTATCCCAAAAACCTGTAGGTTTATTTGCCTGCAGCCGCAAAAACATAATGTAAACTCCCCAATGACGATGGTTTGAGTCACAGCTAGCTTCAAAACTTAGCCAGCACACATTCACTGGTCTTATTGGTGTTATCGGAAATTGGTGTTTTTATTTCCCTCTCTACCGCAACAGCTGTTTGAATCTAGGAAATCGCAATTACTCCTTGGATTTCTTCATTTTTGTGGGCAACTCCTGCATTGGAGTCGGCGGTTGCGTAATAGGGCGCTTCTTTCTGGTTTCTGGTCGGCACTTGAAGTTCCAGAATGGCGTTGGCGTTACGCATGGCACGATTTTGCTCGCCTCCCGCGAACTGCTGGCCAAGGCACCACCGGCGACTGTTGCACCTGAGCAGCAGGTAAGAACCTGACCTCAATTATCAATTGGCATTAAAAATCAATTAACAACTGACAGCGATAACCGGCCGAAGTCGATATGCAGCAGGAACTACGCCACGAAGCCCGAACCTGCCGCTCCGAAGCAAATTAAGCGAAATGTGGCCGCCGAGATCACCAGTGTGGGCAAGGTCATTTACGAAACGGGCTGGGATGCCAATAAGCCCCTCGAGAAGCCAAAGGTCCCCCCCAGCAGCAGCACCGACTCGTCTCCTCCACCGCCAAACAAAAAACCCGAGGATGAAAAGCGCAAGGAGCTGGAAACCTTGAAATCCAAGCGGGATCAGATGCGCGACAACATGCAGGACTATATATTCACCCGCTACTTTAACTATGTTAAGAACTACGACAAAGTGCTCGAAAAAAACTTCCCCAAGGCGATGCAGCTTTACCGGGTGTTTTTCGATGGCGTCAAGGACTTTTTTGGCGACATGAAGCGATTTCTTAAGATTGCCCGCATAGCAAATGATTCCCCTCAAGGAATTCGGGCATTGAATCGCCAAGAACTGGAACTGTATATGCAAATGCCGCGGGACATGATGAAGGTGGCCCCAGCACTGATTGGCTGCTCTCTGCCCATGGTGGGCTATGCGTTCTTTCCCCTGGTGTAAGACTTTGCTTGTTTGTAATATTAAACAAAATAAGAGCAATTTATCCATAGGTTCTGGTATCCTCGCTCTTTTCTCACTGCCCACTTTTGGACCTCGCAGCAGCGCTCCGAGTTCCAGAGTTACTACATGAAGCGGCGACTGTGCAACAACAAGGACGTCTTCCGCTGCCTGCAGGCCAAGCTCAAGTCGACGGCCTCGCATCCCAAACACTCTGCTTTTGCAGATATCCTGGGACAGCTGGGAAGCGGCACACACCCGTCGCCCGAGATGCTCATCGATGTCAAGGACATCTTCGCCGATGGACCGTACTCCTTGCTGGGAATGTCGAGAAAACATGTCGTATGTTGGTACAGAAAAAAGATTGTGCAACTTCCTAATCCCTAAATTGCAGAGAAACTTAGTCAACCTTCATGGCCTGCCCAGCAGCATCTTTAAGCGTCATCGGCTTCACGAGCACGCTTTTCTGGTGCACTATATGGACCAGGCAATCACTCGGGAAGGCGGCGTGCACAATTTGAGCGCGGAGGCACTGCGGTACTCCTGCTATCTGCGCGGATTGAATCCCGACAGCCTTAGCAGCGAGGCCATGATCGAGTGGTTGCGCAAATGGGTCAAGGTTTCCACATCGATACAGGGCGAACATATCACGCTGTTCCTGCACTTGCCCATCCTGCTGGGCTACAATCACCCCAACAACTGGAAGACCATCTACGGCAAATGCCCCACTTAAGCGGAGCTTTGTTCGTTCTCTATTTGGTAGACTGTGCTTTAAAGATTGGACTGTTAAGATCATTTTGTTTCTTGTGAGCAAATAAAACTGTTAAAACCAAAAAAGAAAAAAGGGCCTTGTGCGTGTGTTTTTCCTAAAAATAACACTTTCTTTTATTTTCTCCATTGTTGGTGGATGTTCATCAAGCAGTTACTTTCGTTAAAGGTAGTGTTTTTACTTCTTGGCCGCGGCCTTCTTGCCACCCTTGGCCTTCTCGGCACGCAGACGCTCGCGACGATCCTTCTTCAGAACGCGGGGAGTACCGTCAGCCTTGGTGCGCTTCTTCAGTGTGTTGAAGGCGATGGTCAGCAGCTTGTTGCGCTGGCGCTTGGCATAACGCAGCTTGAAGCGGTCGAAGTCGTTCAACGAGGAGCGCTGTAAGGAAAAGGAAAGAATGCGTTAAACTTTTGGTTTATTTGATTTAAGAGTATTTCTAGCTATGTTTGTAATCAGAATAAACAAAAGTAGCTTCATATATGTGTCAGCCGGCAATTCCTATCAAGAACTTTCAACTATCATCATGTGCAGTTCAGTAAGTTAAACAGAGTTATGCAGAGAAGAAAACATAGCGTCTTATGAAATTGTCATTGTTCACATTCCAAATTGTATATTTTGTTGTGTGTGCTTATCTAAACAAAATCATATGAAATGTTTTGTTTACAACAAACATATAACACTTTACACGTGGTGGTGAATTTTCACAAAACAACATTACAGATTTCGCTGAACATTTTCTTCTCTGTATGGAAAACCCTTCCTCTACAGTTACGACTCCACCTTATTCCTTTCTTTATACATACCTTGCAGATGTTCTGTGCCTTGACGGACCAGGGGCTGACCTTCCACTGGGCCTTCAGGTCGCTCTCTGTCCAGGCCTTGCGCACGATGCGCGTGGGCGCGGTGTAGGGGAACTTGATGCGGTACTTGGTCAGATGCAGATTGTTCAATCTGTATTCCTGACGGGGCACACCAGTCAGAGGACCATCGACCAGAACCTGTTAGAGAAACCAAAGATAAGTTTTGGGCACTAAACGTTAAAGGTTAGGAGCAACAACAAATGCCATGCGTGCTTGCTTGCTTTCAGTGGGTTAAACTAGCTTCATTTATGTGTCAGTTGGCACTTCCTATCAAGAAGACAAATTATCATCATGTGCAAGAGCTCGGCATTCGGCTATTTATTGTTGCCATCGGGGGATAGAAATATATAACTTACTCTGTTTTGGTCAATGACGTCGACAATGGCCACCAGGCGCCCCTTCAGGGGACCTGCGGAGGCCTTGGCAATGCGACCAGTTTGTACGAATCTCTCGAAAGGCTGCAAGCAGAGAAATATCCATTAAAATCTTGTCATTTCAGATAATTTCAGGTGCTCCATGGCCAGCGCGTTGTGTTGGTGTCCACCACGTGAAATATTTCAAGGGTTGGTCTTTCCATTATATTTTATCGCCTCCACGCAACTTTTTCTTTTCAAACGTTCGACGCACTGACCCGCTCACTTGGGCACCAGACTTAATTCATCTCCGGCCATTTAGAACGCTTTATTTTCACATTTTTCAACCGATCCGGAGAAAACTTCGCTGATTCTTACCATGACGCTAACCGGAAAGAAAGAGAAGGAAAGAGCATTTTTGACAGCACTGCGCGAACATGGCGTTAGTGTTGCGAAAGGCAGGGTTGCATTTTGGTAAGTGTTGCTCAGCAGATTTTAGAGTGACAGTAAATTTGGACATGAAACGGAATAATTTTACAATTTGTATTCCACAGTCATACTGTAGAGCTGAAACTGGTTCGATAGTATCGGTTAATCTTAAGTATTAATTTTAATAAACGATTTACTCAAATTTGTGACAGCAATTTTGGTTAATAATTAATTTAAAAAAATAACAAAAAATTTTGTTAGTTTTCATTTTAGTGCAAAATATCTTGAAACGGAACGTATAAAATTCATTCAGATACAACTATAACATGCGGTATACTTTTATACTCTTGCTTGAGTTACCCATCTCTAACTGTCTGGCAAAGCGGCGAAAAATAAACAAAATATTGGAAATTGGATAATTGCTGGGTTTAACAAGCTAAACCCTTCCTAAAATGGTTTACATTCACTTTCCCACCAATTTAACTGAAGAGGAGCAAATGCTCCAGGCCAAGTACCAAAAACTCAAAAAGAAGGTAAACATATCACTGAGAAATTCATTGATCTTTGTATAATATAACAACTTTGAAACTTGCAGAAAAAGGCTCTGCAGGCGCACAAGGCTCCAAAGCCGGAGCCGGAGAGCTCCTTGACTCTGAAGCGTCCTACAGATGCTCGAGATGCACGCGAAGTGGCCCGAAAACTGATCAAAAGTGGTGCCATTCCCGCCATTCAGAAGCAGACTAAACAGGATCAGACCTCCTTCAAGCGGCCCAAAGGACAGGAAAGGGCCAAGCGGTCTACTTCGGAGACGAGCGTCGCCTCCTACCAACCCTTCTCCTCCACCCAGAATGACGTGGCCCAGGAGACAATTATCAGCGAGATCATCAAGGAGGAGCCTCGTCGGCAAAATCTCTACCAGCACTTTGCCACTGAACGGGATCGTGAAGAGCGTGGAATGCCCGAGAAGGTGCCGATGGACACCGCCCAGCCGGAGAAGCCACGGGCCGGAAACACGATCTTCGTGTCCGGCAACAAGGTAACTGAGGACTTCCTGAAGAAGACCTTCAACGACTACGGCACCATAGTCAATGTTTCCATGGAGATTGAAAAGAGGTAACTTAGATTACGAAAACGCTATATTTCCCTACATAATTTTAACCAATCTTTGCACTTTCTTTTAGTCGTGGCTTTGTTTCCTTCGCCAAACCGGAGTCTGCTGATCGAGCTATTGCAGAAATGCATGGCAAGAACGTGAATGGCATTAATTTGCAGGTGCAGCTGGCTAGACGTCAGCCCCAGATTGAACCCATTAACGATGCCTCCTCGTCTGCGGTCTGGTCATCCATTGGTAAGAAGTTTAAAATGAATACAATAAACATTATCTAATTTGTTATTTTATTTAGCTGCTAGCAAATCCCAAAAGGGCAGCCACAAGGATCACCGCGAGATGGTTCAATACGATGAGGACTTCTTGCTTTAAAGCGCCAATATCTTTAGAAGTTAGTTTTTAGATTTAGCTTTCAACTTTCACCTTTTCACCTTGGTAAGAAAACACAAATTTCTTTATTTTATATCATTTTGCTTTATTGAAAATACGCTTCTATATATTTATGTATATATGTTCACTTTCTGGCTAAGTACTCGCATTTCAATTTATAACGTTCAAATGAATTCAATGAAAAAGAGTGTATGTTTTGTATATTAATTCCTACATTTTTGGTCTAAATTAAACAACAATTTGTTCAACAACTGAATCTCTCGCTTTGCCTTATGTGGTAGAAAAAATGAGCAAACAAAATAAGTGTTTATTGGATTAGTGGTCCTCGCTCCTTTGGCGCATGAAACTGATAACGTCTATGTACATAGCTACATGTGTTAAGTACATAGTTAATACATGGTCGTTGCTTCTGCTGCTTTGTTGTTTTATATAGACATATCTCTATATCGTTGGTAGACAATGGTGAAAAATGTTCCCTTTATATCTTTTGGTTAGTACAAGTTAGATGTCGGTATGTGTTTGATGATGGATCATTGAACTGGGATTCTGGTTTCGATTGTTTGTTGGTTTCTTTGTGACTAGTAACACGGGCACGCCCCTCGCCCTCAAAAACGCCCCCAATGGCGCACATCTCCTAAAGTAATTTCTCGTTAGTAACATTAAGGCCTTCAAGTTTCAAGCGGACACCTGGCCGCGTTTAAATTCGTTTCTTTCACCGCCAGATTATTTTACTGGCCAGATTCGATGCTCCAAAATGCAAAACCGCCCCAAAGGATAGCAAAACCACGATGACGGGACTCCCCAAAACAGTCCCTCACGTCTGCCGGCCATGGTCGTTCCCGGGCGGATTGAAGTAGTCCCAGTGATGCGTGTGCACCTGTCGCCCGGTTAGCAAAAAGACCAGCACTCCGAACGAGATCAGGATGAAGAGGACCACCAGTGCGGACACGTTGTGTGGCACCTGCTGTGGCTCCACTGCCTGCCCGCGAACGTAGTGCGTCAGCTGGTTGATAATGTTCACCAGCTCCAGACTGCAGGCCGAGAGGAATTGTCGGCCTGCCTGGACCACCGTCTTGGGCTGATCCTCCTCGTCGTACTCCTCCAGCGGCTGAGTGGCGCTGCGAGTGCGAGAGCGTCGCGATCGCGAGCGTGGTCGCTCCACAATCTGCTCCTCAGCCTCCGAACCGGACTCCGGCTCCAAGGGCTCCTGAACATGACGACGACGACACTTGTGCGGTGCCTTTCGCTCGCTCGCCGCCGATGCGGCCTCCGCCTGCTCCGCCTCCGCGCTGCGCTGCAGGTTGTAGAAGGCCAGTGGAGCTAGGGATTGCAGATACTCCACGCTGGGATAGGCCGCCGGCGGTGGAGGCAGTGGCAGCAGACCCGCCTCGGTTTGGGTCTGCTCGTCCGAATTGGCGATTGGTGGCGACTGCTCGGTGGTCTTGCTGTGACGCGGTGGCTTGATCGGTTGCTCCTTCTCGGAGGTGGCGGGTTCACTGCTCGCCTGTCGGCTTGTCTGCGTTTCGGTGGTCAGCAACGCGGGACGCTGCTCCCGCACACGCTCCACAATGTCATCTATGAAACCCGGCGGCAGTTCGATGTTCTGCACAACCAACTGGCCAGACTTGCACTGCAGATCGTCAGCTTTAATCTGGCCGCCATGGAGCTGCGACACTTGGATTTGGCCAGCCTGCAGGGCATGCACGCGCAGTCGTTCCACCTCCAGTTCGGCCAGGTGGCTGGGAATCTGCGGTTCTGGCGGGGATTGCACCGTCTGGATGGGGGTAACTTCCCGGCTGGACTGTTCGGCAATGGTTAGAGCAGTGGCGGCGAGGGGTTCCAAGGCGGTGGTGGACCTGCGGCGTGGTGGTGGCAAGGGGGCCTCCTCCAGCACCTCCTCGTGGTCGTCGAAAGCGGGTTCGGTGGGCAAAGTGGCCACGAATTTGAGCTCAACTTCGGCCTCGGTGGGTTCGCTAGCGGTGGATTTCTGAATGGTTTCTTCGACTGCAAGGACTTCTGGCTCAGATGGGGGTTGTTCCGTATCGGATAGTGTGCGCTCCTCCTCGGAAAGAGGTTGTTCCGGTTCGGACAGCGGATGTTCGTCCTCGGATGGGTGATAGTCCACCTCGGAGGTGGCCTGTTCCTCCTCCGACTGGTGATAGTCGATCTCGGAGGCAGCCAACTCCTCCTCGGAGAAGGCCTGTTCCTGCTCCTGCTCCTTTTCCTTTTGGCGGTAGTCGGAGAGCTCCTTCTCCATGGCTTCCTGTAGCTCCTTTTCCAGAGCCTCGTCCAGTTCCTGCTCGGTCAGTTCCTTCTCGAGTTCGGCTATCTCCTCGTGATCTTCCTCCTGTTCCGAGTACTTCTCCTCCTCGTATTCGCTGTCCCTGAGAGTTCGCTCCACTTCGTCATCCTCCAAACGGCTTTCGTAGTCGCTTTCCAGCTGAGCCTGCTGCAGTTGCTCCACCGCCGCATCCAAGTCCGCGGTACTCGGAGCATAATCACTCAGGGCCACCTCACCGTGCTCATCCTCGACATCGGATTTACTCTGCACCGAGCTGTCGGAGAGCAAGCCCTCGCGACGCAGTTCCTCCTCCTCGCGCCGCAGATCATCGTCCACCAAGTCGGCCTCACTGATGGGCCGCACAATCAAGGAGGCCTGCACCGTGGCATCATCCTCGCCAGCCGTTAAGCTGGGAGTGGGCACCCGGCGCTCAATGATGACCGCCGAGGAAGGCGTCTGCGGACGACTCAGCGACTTGGAACGATCCGCCTGCGAAGATGCCCGCGATCGCTCCGACATGCTGCGCTGATTGGCATCCCGGAATCGCTGCAAGCCCTTGGCCAGCTGCTCGTCCTCGGACAGGACTCGCCCACCATCCACCACGTCCTGCTCCTGGGCCGCCTCCACACTGCGCAGCAGATCCTCAAGGGTTTTGTTACCCGTCGATCCATTGGAGCATCGCGGCTCAATGATCTTCATGTCCTCGGTGATCTCGAACTCCTCGCACACGAAGTCATCGGGCAGCGGATCCGTCTGGGTGGACACCTCCACCTCAAACTCACCCTGGTCGTAGCTATCCGCCTGGCTGGAGCTGGCCACCTGCTCGCTCTCATCGTAGCTGTCCAAGTTCTGGCTTCCCGCTCGGGTGGAGCGCTTTTCACGCGGAGGACGCGGTGGCGGCGGCAGCGGTCGGAACTTCATCTTGTTGATAACAGCACCCGACTGCAGATTGGAGCGATCCAGAGCACCCGGCTCCTCGTAGTCATCCTCCTCCTCCTTGGCCGGCTGCACCTTCTGCGACTCGTAGCTAGGAAAAGGGTTTTAAGGAGCATTAGATAACAGACTTGGGCTTGGGTTCGAAGTTCGCAACTGAGCAAAAGCCAAAGGCAAAGGCAAAAAGAGGCTGTGTTTTGTGTATAGTGGGCTGCTTTATTTTGTAGTGTGTGTGCGTGGAGTGGGGTGCGTTTCTCGGGGGGATCAGTTGATTAGTTGCCTTAGCCTAATAGCCTAGTCTAAAACTTAACAACAAAGGAACATATTAATTAAATGAAAACTTAACAAAAATGCATTCGAAACAAGTTAACGGCAACTAAAACCAAAATGTTTAACAAATCATAAGGTCAACGCCTTACTTCGACTTGATCATCTGGGGAATCTCGTCCAGGCTGGTCGCAGATCTGCGACGTGGCACCAACGGCGAGTCCTCCGTGGGTACATACTGCTGTGGCGGCGGTGGACGAGCCGGCGGTGGTGATCCCCTAGAGCCACGGATGCTGGGCAGAGTGGCAAACCGCTCGCCCGGTGACCGGGTGAACTTCTTTCGGCGGGCAGGTGGCGTCGGCTTGGGGAGCGGCTCCTTACGGACCACCGCATAGCTGGAAGCGGGCAAGAAAGCAACTCCTGGCAGATATTCGTGGGGCAGAAACTGGGCACTCCTACTTACCCATCGCTCTCCAGCATGTCGATCACGAACTTCTCGTCGCTCTTCGTGCGGGGAACCGCATCTTCGTTGTCCTCCGGCTCTGGTCGGGACTTGATCTGCCCGTCTAGGATCAGGGAGTCGGCGCCGCGAGAGGTTCGGTCATCTTCGGAACGCTGGGTACGTGCCGAACCGGCATCCGTAAATCTATCCGGCGTGGCTAGCGGTATGTGACGATATTCGTGTTCAGTGCGATAAACAATTACCTGGAAATGAATATTGGAGGATGGATAATTAATGGATGCACTAGTAATAAGATAAAATAATATAATTTATATATAATAATAAAAAAAATATATATATTATAATATAACATAATATAATAATATAAATATATAATAAATTACAATGAATGTATAATAAATAATTCAAATTTCTACTCACATCTTCGTGTGGCTGCAAAAAGGTGTTCGATACTGATCTACCACCGAAGCCATTGATGAAGGAGTCGGCGTCCTTTTCAACGGACGCCTCGTCCCTTGTGCGTTTCTTCTGGCGCCTCGGTGCCTGCGGACGCGGTTTCTGTCGCTCCAGCTCCAGTTCCTCCTGAATCATCGCCGCTGCCTTGCCGCCGAAATCGAGATTGTTGAGTGCCTGCTCCGACTCCGTGACCTGTTCCTCCCTCACCGGGGGCCGAAGGTACTCCTCGTCGTCGTCGAAATACTGGATGCTGCTCCCGCCATCCTGCGGGATGTCCTGGCTGCCCTCAATCGAGTATTTACTGCGACTGCGCGCCTTGCGAAGCGGTCGCTTCGGGGTGAATTCACTGCCGTTCTGCGACATGGAGAGATCGTCGCCGTAGTCGCTGCGCTGGAACTCCTGCGACTCGAACTCCGGCTGGTAGTTGCGATGCAAACGACGTGGCTTCGCGGGTGGCACATCATAGTCACCATACTCCGCCGGAACCTGCTCCGCGGAGTAACCCACGTGCTTCAGGGCATTCGGCATGTCGTAACCCTCGCGAATCGCCTCGCTGATGTACTGGCGCAACTGGATGTTATCCTCGGAAATGCCGCGCTTGCGCAGGAAGAACTCGTCATCGTCAATGGGCTCCATCACCACCTTTTTGCCGGAACTCGCGGTTGATTGGGCATCCTGCAGGTCGTGGAACTTGTAGAAACCAGCCTCCGCCTCCAGTTCTGCCTTCCTCAACAGCTTGTTCTTCTGTATATCCTTCTCGGTCCATCCCTCGGCATCTCTGCTGTCCTCCGAGCGCAGATCCGAATCCTGGTGCACCATTGGACGCCGTTTGAACTCCCTCGATCTCTTGCTTGAGATTTCGTGAATGGCACGATTCTCCTCGTCGAATTCAGCAAACTGCTTGCTATCGGCCACCACGCCCAGGATGTTCATCTCCTTCTGTGGCTGCGCCTCACTCGCTGTATCCTCGGTGCCCTCGAGGTCCTCCTTCATGCGGCGCTCCAGCGAGGACTCCCGGTCGAAGCTCTCCAATTCGCTGCCATAACGTCGGTAACGAGATCCCTCGCTATCATTGTAACTCACATCGGAGAACTTGTCCGCCCAACGGGATCGAACGGGTCCTGGTCCGCGATCACCTTGCGGGGAACTCGTCGAGGTCTGCGAAGGCTGAGTCTCTGTGCTGGGGATCACACTCAATCCCTCGGTGCCCAATGATGACTCCGTGACCAAGGGAGCCGGCTCCTCAACGGGCTTCTTTTTGCGGAACGCCCGTGGATAGGTACCGAAATTAAACTCAAACTTTTTCTTGGGTGTCGGCTGCGTTTGAGTGGGCGATGCAGTGGCTCCTGTGTTCTCCGGCGACTCCTCCGAAACCACATCACCCTCGTTCTCCTTGAAACTCTTGCTGCGTCGCAGCTTCAACGTGGAGAACTTTTCTGGCAACTTGAACTTGGACATGTCCGGCTTGTTGAATTTGGTGAACTCGGGTCGCTTGATTTCCTTCAACTTGGACATGTCCGGTCGCTTGATCTCGGGCATCTTGATCTTGGAGAACTCGGGCGCCTTGAAGCGTCGCCGCTCCTTGGCCTTCGCCTTGGGACTGCCCGAAACGGGTTTGGGTTTCGGCTTGGTCTGGAGGCGGGTGCGCAGTTTCCCGGCCTGCTGTCGAATGCCATCCTGCATCTTTTTGGTGCGATCCTGGGCAGTAGCCATGAAGCCCTTGCGACGGTTCTCCGGCTGCAGGGGCAGCTCCTCCAAGGCACTCGAGTCCACCTGGCTGGTGTGGATTTCGTAGTCTGTGCGAGATTCGGTGCGTGGCGTGGTGCCAGACGAGCTGAGTGCCACATCGATGTCCATGGGTTCGCTTTGGGGGCCAAGTGCTGGCGAGGATTCGTGCGCCAGCGTCACGCCAACGGGCTCGTATTCATGATCACTGTAAGATAAAAGGGGTTTAACAAGATTAGATGTGCGAGATCCAAGAGGGAAAGCTTTCAACATGGAACGTGTGGTGTAAAAGCGTTTTTGGTTAAAGCCAAGGCCTGCAGCTTGAGTGTCGAGAGGTCGGGGGGCTCGGGATTCTGAGAAGAGGTAACGATGGCTTACCGAGAGAAATAGGTCCGTTCGAGGAAGTCTCTGTGGTCTAATTGCTTTTGGGTCAGGGGCGCGTTAGACTCGAAATCCGCGAGGCGCGATTTGCGTTCGTCAAAATGGAAACTAACCGTCTTTGTCATGCGGGCCGAACCGAACAGTTGCTCCTGCGATCGGCCCAAATGGGAGTTGCGGTCGTGCGACTGGGTTCGCGGTTCCCGGAACGAGGTCTTCCTCTGCAGCCCAAAACCGCGCTGCTCCGAGGGAGCCCTCTGGTTGAGGGGTCGATAGACGTGGCTGCCACTTCCGCTTATTTGAATGGGCACCGAGATGAGTGGCCTACTTCCTCCGCCCAGTGAAATATCCCTGCTGGCCGAGTCCCTAGTGTGTCTGTAACCCGGATCCGGCATCTCGATTTCGCTGGAGTAGAGGTTCCTGTTTCCGGCCATAAAGCTACCGCCGCTCAAGCTTCCCCCACTCATGCTTCCTCCTCGCGGGAAGGCGGACACCACCACGGGCGCAAAGGCCTCGCTTATGTCCACCGATGCCTTTTCCGAGGCAGCGAAGTCCTCGCGACTGCTGTACATCGTTTGGGCATTCGGCGGAGGAGCAGGTGGCTTGGCTGGCCGGGCACAGTACTGATCCATGTCGTCCACTTTCAGGGAGAAGGTCTCAGTCACTCGCACCGCCAGCGGTTCGGCTTCCTTTCCTTTGACTGCTGCGGAGGAGGTGGTCACCACGGTCATTGCCTGTGGCTTACTGCGGGAAAATACGGAGAGCAGTTTTACAGGTGAAGGTGACTTTTCCTGCCGCTCTAGTTTTGGACTTGGTGTCCGGGATCGTTGGGGTCCAGGAGAAGGTGACTTCTGGCGGGTCTCCTTTCCGCCAAACATAGACTTAAAACGCGAGGTGTAGGAACTCTTGACCTCCGGCGAGGCATCCTGTAAGCTAATGGCAGTGGGAGTAGTTACTGTAGTGTCTATTTGCTGTGGTGTCCATTTGGTGGCCCTTTCCGGCGACAGTTGTCTCTCCGGCGTGTGCTGCCGCTTGAGGATTTGTTGGCCAGTTGAAGGTAGCGATGGTTCCGCTGGCGATGGACTAGAGGGACGACTGGAGGGCAACTGAAGAGTAGCCATCACTGGCGGAGATTTCGGTCTCCTTGGCGTTGGTCTCGGACTTCGGCTGCGGTGCTCCGCTGCTTTTTCCTCCTCTTCCCGCACCAGTTGGTCTATATCCACCACTGGTATGTCATGGACAATCTCGATCTTGGTCAATTCACCCACTTTTGGTGGAGCTGCACTGATATCTCCACCAATCGAGGGCGGTCGTCGTGTCTCCGCTTGAATGTTATCCCGGATACGCACAATGCTGTGCTCCTGGGCAATCTGCTCCAGCTCTCTTACAGTCTCGGCCAAAGGATCAATCGGAGTAACCGTAGGCTGATAGGGACTTTGGAACTGCTGGAAATCGGACTCCGTAAGGAAGGAAGGACGCACTGCATCGCCACCAAAGCGGGACACATCAATAGGTCTATTCTGGGGCAACGGATCCCCAGGGAACTGGTTCTCCTTGTTGGCCTCACTGGGACGCATGTAATCCGGTGACAGCGGTGGCTTGGCAATCCGGAAGTCTTGCGAAGGAGCTGGCGAAGCTTGGTGGGAGGGAAACAGAGGTGGTTGGTCCATTAATCCCGGAGTGGCGGTGGCCGGTATCAGATTGAGTTGCGGTGGCTGCATCGATCCCGGGACTATGCTGGCCTGGAAGAGATCGGCATTGGATGCCCGGCGACTGGTGCTGGCCGAGCGACGTCCTCCGGTTGGCATGGCACTGGGTATATTGATGTCCGCACAGTACAGATCGGTTTTTGAGTTCCCGGCCGAGATGCGACGCAGTGAAGGACCACTTCGCATGGACAGGGTGTCCGGAAAGCGGCCCATGCTGCCCGAGGATAAGCCACCCATGGAAAGCTGACGCCTTCTACCAGATAGGAAGGTTCCTCCTCCCACTCCGTGATGGGGGAACTGTTCCGGTTCCGTGGCATCCGAGATGCTGCGCACCACCAATCCCCGCGAGCGTGCCGTCTGCTCCAGCTCCGGATAGCGTTCCATGAAGCTTAGGTCCACGGAGGGCGCCACATCCGCGTGGCTGACCACCTCGAAGCTGTGCGTTGAGAGGTCATCTCGCATTAGATTGAGATGACCGGGATGCGGTGGGTACTGCTCCTCGGCGTGGCCACTCAATCGCGAGCCAGGACGCGAATCCACCGGGTTCACTCGCTCCGGCAACAGGGATTCGCACATGAAGTACTGGCAGGCACAGCGGACGTCCAAGGAGGCTCCACTGGCGCTCTCTTGGCGGGACACAAAGTGACGCTTCTCCGCGGGAAGAGCGCCCACGGAGGCCGATCGTCGGGAGTTCAACATGGCCACCAAGTACCTATTACTCGTTCACTTTTCCCCGGATGACAGTTTCGCCTCCTCCTCCTGCTCTTCGAATCCTCTCTCGCCAATTTCAGTGCTTTTGTTCGTTTTCGTTGTGTGGTCGTTGTCGTTGTCGGTGGCTATTTTTAATCACCACCAGAGCAGACATTGAATTTATTTTCTGCCCCGAATTCGAAATTCTTTTGCGGGGCCCCAAGAATTTTGCTCTGGGTGTTGCAATCGCTTTTCAAATGGTTATTTAACTTGGGGCTGTTATTAATCGTTTATCGATAACGGGTTTTGGAATCACGATATAGTGTTGTCTTTGTCGCTCGCACTTAAGTTGGTGTTGGTGATCCCGTTATTGTATGCGTGCTTGATTGTACGTGCGCGAACGCGTCTACATCGTTGCGATTTTCGGCCAGGACTGAGGAAATTTGGGAGAGCTTTTTTCGCGACACAAATTTTCAACCGAATTTCTCGTTCGAAAAGATGAAAATGTTTTTCTTTAAAATTAGCAAAGAAAAACACACATAAACATACGCGATGCGGATTAGTCGTCTCTTGGTGTGAGTGTGGCGACAAAACTACTTGTATGCTTCATAATTGTGATCGTGGTGAATTTTTTCTCTGTGAATAGGGTGGGGGGTGGTAGTGTGGTGGGGGAGGATATAAGGCAGATGAACAAGGAGGAGTAACAATTAGTCGCTCAGCCTGCACTTTATCGTTCTATTTTTGGGGGTCTTTTGGCCTGCCTGCCGGAAATCTTGTTGTCATTCGTCGACCTTTAGAACGCTAAATATATGTTATACTCTACATTTTGCCGTTTGATGTTCGCCTCTTCGATTCTGGGTTGTCCATGTACATATGTAATTACTTGTTGGAATTCGTCATCAGGAAGCGAACGTGACGTGACCTTTGGAAGTATTTTTTAAATGATCGTAGTGTAAAAAGAGTCCTGTTTAATCCACCCCTCTAAACCCCCACCACAAGCCTCCCAAATCCCCACACGTTTTCACACAAATATATGTACCTCTTTATTTAACCAACACCAATGGAGAAGTGAAGGGACGCACACATTTTTGTACAGTAGGTAGGATACAGTAAATATCAGTGAACAAAACGTTAAAGCTTTAAGAATTTTAAACAGAAATCAAAGCTGAGTATAGTTTTATATACAAAAATATTCGAATAAAATAATTCCCAGAAATAAATATTTGAATGTTTAAAATTTATCTTTTAAGTCTCTAAATTTATTTTAATCTTCTGCCTATATATGTAGCTATCCTACATAATACGTCCTCTTAAATAATAAATATGTTCGTTAATTTAAACCTTCTTTTCTATTTAAACATAGAAGATGGCAAATTTACTTTACATTTCATTAATTTAAACATTTCACCTGAGATGTTTTGACCAAGTCAAAATGTATCTAAAATGCTCAAGTAATAACCCAAACTCTCAATAATAATACCAAGAATACCGATATTCACTGTACCCCCTGTAGGGTCTTACCTTAGGTCTAAATCATTTAAGGCCACCTTTCGCCCTGAGCCCGCTACCAAAATTTGTTGGTGGCCCCGGCGCTGCAGCAGCAGCAGAGCGTCCAGGATGCGGAACGCTTCACCCGGAGGCGCCATGTGTTGGCGGTGTTCGTGTGTCGGGTTTTGGGTGTGCCATGGGTATCTGTGGTGTCGTGGGTTTCGGTGGTGTAGTGGTAGTCTTTGTACCGCGGTGCACGGTGGTGCTTGGTGAGCCGGCGGCGCCTTCTGCCCCCGCCGGTGGCTCCACCTCCAGCTCCAGTCGGCAACAGGGTTAGTAACAATTTCATGAGCAAGTCAAATAGGTTAGAGCCTCTGCAAGATGGTTAGAGCAACAGCAGTCGGTTTGCAATTGTGCTGAGTGTTAGTGTCAAGCCGGGAAAAGTAGTGTTCTCTTTTTTTGGGGGGTAACAACTGGAGGTTTACTTCCTCACCCACTTACCTCTCGTTCTTCCACTTGTTCGCATTGGTGGCCGCCTCCAGGACGTCCTCGGGCAGCTCAACATCCTCGCGATGCGGTTCCGCTTCGTCCTCGACGTGCGAGAAGGTCACCTTTTTGTCCGAGGGTGCTGGTGAAGGCTCTTTCTTGAGGGAAGGACGCAGATCGGCACTCAGTTCCATGGGTTCGTCACTCTCCTCGGCGACGGGTGAAAGTTGCGCCAGTCGGGCACGTTCCTCGTCCGAGGAGGTGGAGTCGATGGAAGAAATGGGGGCGAGCAGAGCACCTGGCTTGCCGGCGGTCACCTGCTCCTCCTCACTGCTGCCCATTCGATCCAGGGGCACTGCTTTAGCAGCCTCAATTTCATCGATGGCCAGATTGTCCTGACGTGTTAGAGATTTCTTTAGAGATTCCAGCTCCAGGATGGGCTGACCCACTTCTGCTTGAGCTGCAGCCTGACCAATCTCCTCGTAGACATGTTCCCTACGAATGCGTGGAGTTTTCTTGGGCGGGTCCTCTTCAGATTCTTTTTCTGGTTCTTGTTCCTCCTTGCCTTCCAGTTTTTCCTCTGCGGGCTCGGAGATTTCCAGCTTGGGAGTCTCCGTCTCAGTTTGGGTCACCGGTAGCTCAATGATCTCCTCGGGTTCCGGCACCCTACCACTCCCACTGGGCTGATCCTCCAGCAGTTCCTCCTTGGTTCGCTTACGGCAGGGAGATTCATCGTATTCCACTAGCTCTAAGATTTCATCTGAGTCCTGCTTTTCGATGAAGTGGGGAATCTCACCGCGATCCGATTTGGGCGAGGCCTTCAGCTTCATGATCTTCTGCTGCTCCCCCAGGACAATCTTCTCCTCCTTTTTCAGGGTGATCCTCTTGATATTCAACCGCTTCTTTTGGCGCTCGGCCAAGCTCTTGAGCTTCTTCATGATATCGAATCCCTGCTTGGGTTTGCTGGTCTTCGAAGGCTTCTCGGTGTTGGGAATCAGGGATCCCGGTGGCGGAGCAAGCTCGTGAACACTACTTTGGCGACTGGGATTCGCCGAGTTGCCGGGCAGTGACTGGGCGTCCTCGTGGGTGCGACCACTTCGTCTGCGTCGGATGAGGTCACGGATGTGGGCCAAGCGATTGGTCTTCCTTGGTCGCGCGTGACCTCCAACCGCCAGAACGGAATCGGAGACGCAGGAGATGCACTCGCTCAGGGCGTCCTCGTTGTGCTGCTCCCTTTCGGACTCGGTCTCCGAATCGGAGGACTCCTCGCTGCTGTCGTCAGTGGTGGTGGCAACCGCCTCGTCCTCGGATAGATCCTGAATGTAGCGCTCGGTTTCCTTTACCAAAACCTGCTCGTCGTAGCGCACTTTCTTCAGGGATTTGGGAGATTCGGATTTGAAGCGCAGTTCCTGAGATTTCCGCAGGAGCAGAACAATCTCCGGCTCTTCGTCGGGTCCCAATGGGCGTTTGTACAGGTGAGTCCAGGGATAGCCACCCTGTAGGAAGAATATAAGAAAGGAAATCATGAGAAATTTGCTGCATTTGAACAGGATAACGTCACAGAGTAAATAAAAATATATGTATAATATAAGAAAATGTGCTTTTCACATGTCTCATTATCTCAAAATCTTGGCAATAAATCGCAAAACAATAAAAGCACAACATACATTTTTGCCACTTTCGAAATTGGATTATTTAATTGTTTGGTTGTGTACTTTTCATTTAGAAAAACAAAAACGAAAAGTGTTTTGAAACCCCAATTTTATAATTGCTTATGCCTATTTTTCTAAAAAAAAATGTCTATGAGTAATGCTAGCAATGTTTTACTTGAAATGAAAACAAGAAATACATTTTATACTAAACTGAATAGACAAGTGAACCGTTGCCCCAAAAGGTACAATCGAAGCAAAATATGTATAAATGATATAATTTTATGTAAATAAATATACATAAATATTATATACTAAAGGGGAACCTAAGTTTTGTACCAAATCATATTTAGAGAAATGTAAACAATCGACTTACCCTTTCCTTGGCTCGTTTCAGGTCCTCCCAGCGATATGTTTGCAGAGGCACTGGTGGCTTCTCCTGGCTGCTGTGCAGGAGGTACTTCTTCAGGGACTGGTAGTACTCCCTCTTGCAGTCCGCCGACAGTTTCTGGGCATCTGTCTCCCCAGATGCTCCTCCAGTTTGCTGGCGATTCTGTTCGATCTGTGGCAGTGAGTCGATGAACTCCTTGCGTTCCTGCTCTTCGGCTTCGGTTTTTGGAGTGGGCACCTCCACGAGCTTCAGTTCGTTGGGAGCGGCAACAATTGGCTTGGCGGCGTGATCCTCCTCCTTCGTCGGCAGTTCTAGGACAATATCCGCCTGGGGTTTGTTCTTCAGAATGCCGGTCAGCTCATTCAGCTGCACCTCCACCTGTTGGCTGAGCAAATTGAGCTCCTCGCGATCGCGCTGGATCTGATCCTTGTGCACCCGCTGCGCCTCGTCTACATCCCGGCTGAGTGCCTGGATCAGCTCCTGTTCGATCTCGTCCACCAATTGCTCGGCGGTGCGACGCACTTCCTCCGACGGAGTGGCCGTCTCGTCAACCTCGGCGATTTGATGAGCTGGCGGTGAAGTTTCCACGGGCTTCTTGATCTGGGCCCCAGCTGGTTCAACCTCGATCACGGGCTCTGAGTCATCGGTGCCAGCCTTTGAGGTGCCCTGTTGCAGTTCCTGCTCGAAGGGGGTCAACTCCCGAATGCCCACGCCACTGGCGATGTCGGCAATGCTCTCGATGAGATGCGACTCGAAGTCGAGTAAGTGAGAGCCTCCTGGAGTAGTGGGTTCGAAGGGGGACTTTTCCGGCTCGACGTTGTTGTTATCGAGGGCTAACTTTAGGGCGGCTGCTTTCGCCTGTTTATCCTCTAGCTGAGAATCGCTGGCGATGCCATTGATCAGGAGTATGGTCGGCTGCTCAGTGGGGCTACTTCCAGCGCCAGGTAGCGACACTATAAGAAAGGGGAGGACCAGCAGAATTTTTTTAATATATGAGTAAATGAGGTGTTTACACTCTGCCAGCAACAGGTGCTAAAAATAAGCGCAAACGATGGACACTCGACGAGACATAATTACATAAGTCGCAAATGAGAGACAACACAGTACGCCAGTGAACAGATAAACATTCTCCCCAATATTCTCAGTTTCGATATCGAAAGCTGCAATTACGAAATACGAAAAAGTGTAATGCGAAATACTTGGTTCCTTTACCACAATTGATCAACTGGCAGAACCAAATTCCTGCCTGATTCCTGTTCGTTATTCGTTTGGTTTTTTTTCGTCGTTTTCGGTTGCCTTTTATTTTCGAAAATAAAATTCAATCGAATGGATATGGTTTTGGTTCGTGGTATTTGCTCACAATATCTCGGATATCAGCGCAATTCGCGGGTACACGAGCCGTGCATTGAAATTGTCCGGGGCCAACTGGCCCGTCCAAACGGATTTTTCGCAAACCAAAGCCCCCCGAAAAACAAAACCGTTGTCGAGAGACTAATTTTCCTTCGCTTTGCGCTCAACTGTTTTGTGTTGCTTTCAAAATACTTATACTGTATACTTATGCTTAACAAATTTTTACTATTCCTCGCTCGCGTTCTCTCGTGGTTTCAGACTTTTTGTTTTAGTTTTTGTTTGGTTCGCCTTCGAGAAATAGTTGCACACACAACCAGTCGTAAACAATTTGCAGTTTTTACACACATATTATCGTTAATTTAGCACACCGCGGATAAACAAGAGCACCTAGAGAAACCAACCGACTCACCAAATCAAAATGAAAAAAAACCAAAAACGAAAAAAACCTACAAAAACCAAAAGTAAATTTCGTTTTACATTCATGAGCCCAATTCTCGGTGTGTTTTTACATTCAACAATTATTGTTTGCTTATCGTTGCTGTGTAGACACACATGTGTGTGTCTCTAGTTCATATTAGTATGTTTTGGGGTCTAACGTAATCACATCAAAATTACAAGCCCACGGAACTTAATTGTTTGTACAAAACAGAAATTCGCCTTCCGTTACGCCTTTCTCGTTGTTTTTGTGGGTAATTGAGAAGCTATATAGCGTTGGAGGAGCTGAGTTATGCCAAAAATCCAATACAACCTAATGCGAATCTCATTCATTATAATGCAATTTGCTGTATCATGACAAATCGCTTTAATCATTTCCCATATGGGGTTAAATGAGGTAAGAAACTTGGCGCTTGAAAATGTTTTCCTTTCGAGTCTGACATCATGGCAAAAATTATACAGATTAAAGATGCTAAGGTTTAAATAGGTAATTTCAGAAAATGTATGCAAACCAAACCTAAACTGTAGAATTGTAGATAAAAAGTATGTTCATAGTTTAATAGTATTACTGATGTTACAACAAAAAAAATATTACCTACAAAAAAAAATTACTTTTAATGATGACTAAAGGTCAGCCTTTTTCTTATCATGTTTTTTAAACATTAAAATACCTATTTTGAATAATACTTGAGTGGAAAAAGTTTTTCAAATAACCCTTTTACATCTGTAAGTTATACAAAAAGTTTAATAATACTTTAAATCTTGTTCTTATATCACTTCTCACTTTGTACTTGTTGATTTATCACCTTTAGACTTTCCTACCCCAAACAATTCCTAGATCACAATACCTGAGTAAACCTTTTGATATGGTGAGATTCAATCATCCAAACTGAGTTCCCTTGTAGCGCGATGCATATTTGTTTTCCTCTTGTTCAAACATCCACGTGTGGATGGATTTACCATAACAATTCGAGCGTAACTGCCTTGGCTCGACTTGCTTCACATGGAGAGCCGCTGTTCGCAGTTGAGTGAGTTCGGTTCGAGGCTTTTCCTCAAAATCAACTTTTTATACACAAATGAACATTGACAACTGCCTGCGGGAGCATTCGCCTTCTCCTCCCCGTCGGCCTTCTATGGAAATCAATCCGAATCCGAATCCGAATCATGGACAAGTTCATGAACACTGTCGCCGCTGAACTTTACACAAATTTCCGAGCAGGCGGATAAAGAGTTGGGGAATTTCGGCGGGAGAGTCGAAGTGCAGAACCCAGCGCTGTCTAACGCGGCGTATACGTAATGCGCGTGTGGACACATTAACTCTAAAAATAGTCGAACCCAGGAACCATTACCTTGTGGCCATTACACTTTTGTCAATTTATTACCGAACTCTGAACCTCCGAATTGCGTAACATGCAAATCAATTAAATGTTTGCCGGCTCACTCACTCACCATAATTGCCAGCGACACTGAGGAAAACATAAACCATAGTCGTAGGAACTTTGAGTTAGTATCATTGGTAGTTAAGTTAATTTGTTTTTAAAAAAAAATTAAAATTAGGGTAAAAAAAAAACCGAAAAGAAAAGAGTAGCAAGTATTTCTGGGCGTCGCTTGAGCCTCACATGTTCGACGTCTAATCGCGTTTTGAATACTAGCAAGTAAAAAAACCAACGCTGAAAACAAAACTAGCAAAAAGTTGCGGCAGCGCCGTCGACAGCGAACTTGTCGCTGACGTTGAAGCTTTGACGTTGCTCTCGAATCGCTAAACGTGAAATGCTGATTGAAAGGCGAGAGAAGAGACCGGGGTACACCCCTTTCCCCTTTCCTGCTGCTCCTCCTCCACCTCCTCCTCCTCCTCCATGGGATCCACATCCACCAGCGTGTTGCACTTTCGCCACTGGTTGCATGCGACGCTGGCGACGTCAAATGCCCAAGGTCGCCAACACGACCGGGCGCTCTCCACTATATTTAGAATCATTTAAGCGTAACGCACTCAAGGGCCGACAGGGCATGCCATCTTATTAATGAGTGGCTATCTTATAGGTCCTATAGACGGAGCACTTGCCAAATCAATTTATTAATTAACCATGCACTCTTTTGTGTGTTGCGAAATTTATCTGTTCTTCCACGATAGTTGTATAACCTATTAATGATTTTAAAAAACAATTCTCTATAATTCCAGAAAAATTAATTTTTATTTTAATCTTTTAGATGAAAAAGGAATTACGGATAAACCAAAACTTGGAAAATTATTGCTCTCTTTTCAGAAACTTTTAAACAGATTAATTTGTATTGCAAAAATATTAATTTATGAAAATATTAAATTTATGGAAAATATTACAATTTTTTATTATTTCCAACAAAAAATACAAATATTTATTGTATTTATTGTATTTATATAATATTGAAATAAACATAAAGATGAATGTATTAATCCTTTTATTACATATTTAGGAAATGAAAAATTATTTTACTTGAAATAGCATCTGAGATCAAAAAGAAGAAGAGATTCCATTAGCATTCTCTTGGAAGAAATGTCTGGCAACTGCTGAGAATATTCTAATGAATGAGCGAAAACTTATAGAAACTGGCACACGTTGCGTATGCGTTATGCCGATTCAGGTCGCCGTCCCGGCTAAATTTTTTGTGTTTTGTTTGCTCGGCCAATTTTGGCTTGCTGTGAAAATAAATGCTGGTGACACAATTGTAGAATTCCGAGTTCATTGCACGACTTAATTATTACAAAGCGATGCAAATCGGTCGAACTCATAAACGGAAATTGCCTGGGCTAATTGATTTCCACACTTTGTTGGCCCCCAGCGATTTTTCCATATTTTTATTGCACTTTAATGCCCCGGCCAACGGCCCACGCAGAAGCTTTCGGTTTCTGACCTTGACTGGTCAGATATTGAATTATTAATGTACCCATAAATATAGTTCAGGGAGAACTCTGGTATATACATACATTTTGGCTTTCCTTCATATTGACGATTAGTTCCAAAACTGAAATAAAAATAAACCGACGGCGGACGACAACAAAACGAAGACGACGTCGACGAAACCAAACCAAACGAAACGAAAGCGACAGAGCAGAAATCCAATCAAATCAGACGGTCACAGAATATAACGTATACGTATGGTTGGCCCACATGACAGACGGGTTGAAGAAATCACGGCACAAACTATGTACTTTACTTAGAGGCAAAAGTTAAGGAACTTTTGCCACAACGCAAACACGAGCGCCACTCATAAATAATGAAAGTACGGAACAGAATGAGTGGCCACGAAAAGTGAGTACGAATCCCGATGAGCCTCGAATCACATAGAACCGATGAAAATGAGATGCAGACTCCCGAGACAATGTAAACAATAATGGTAAACACGCAGTTTGGGCAACATGTTGCCAGAGAAGCTCGCTTGATCTCTTTGTGAATGAAAATGTCGGAACATCACAAGACCACAGACTCATGGGAAAATGGGGGAAAAAGGGGAAATCTTTTACCAATCACGGGTGCCATACAGGTCAGGAATCGGGTCAGTGCTGTGCCCGTGCTGGGAATTACTCTATTTGTTGGGGGACTCTCTGCTGAAAGGCCTGCAATTAGGTCAAAGTTTGTTTTAGAATCCGATGTTAGTTCGCCGGTCATGTGATGGGATGCGACTTGCTGCTAATTGGAAATCAATCAAACTACCATTAGCCCGCCTTCTTTCTTCGCTGACTCCTCCAACTGATCGAAAAAGACCAGTTCCTCTGCCAATTACCAGCAATTTTCACCTACTCTGAATCATCGGTTTGTTTGCCATGCTAATCAATGAGCGAAATGTTCCGTGCATTATGGTTATGTGAAGTTTTTACGGGCGTTTTGGGTTGAACATTTTAGCACATTTCGCTTAACAGCGTTTCTCGTTTCTTCACTACATGATTTATCAATAAATTATAAAAAAGTAGCTGTAGTATCAAGTTGAAGGGGTAAGAGCTTATTGATTTACGATTCTAATATACTAATCATAAATGTGCCTGCTAAGAATAGCAGCTGACTTAATAATTGACTGATGTCTAGAGCCGTAATGAAATATAAATGCAGGAACCCGCGGTCAAGATAAACTATACTATTTAGTAGGTTGTAAACCTATTTTTAGACAGAAATGCAAACCCCTCATTACAGCTGATATTTAATAGGGCTTTATTACAAAATATTAAATAAACTCTTTAATGCAATTTGAATTGGATGGGTTAGGGAGTTTCCCCAATAAACTTAAAGGCCAAAGGTGTTTGCGTCATAAATAACTACGCAGCATTATGCAACAAATCTCTTAATTATCAGTAAGGCTGGTAAAAAGATAAAGTCGGCACCTCAATTGTTTCCGAAACGCCGATAAGATAGCAAAGCCATATGTTTAGGGCCCCCATCATATGACCCATATGACGTTTTGGGAGCGGTCTACGTGCTCTGATCCCAGTGTGCAGTGTCCAGTGCAGGGAACTTGAACTTGGCCTCTTAGCTGCCTTAATTGCCTTTTATAAACTCCCGTCAAGTGGCAATCAGAGTACTGCAATTTCGGGAGATAACAACTCTTTTGTTGGGCCGTCTGGGAACGGGAATACGAACGGGGTTTTGTTGGCTCTCATTGTTTGGCAACCAGCTCGAAGTCTGTTGCGCTTGTTTTTCACTTTCGTCCGAAATGAAACTGGTCAGAATAGCGGAAAAGTGTTCGTAGATCACGTTCAGTCTCCGGCTAATTTTAATCATGATCGATGCAACGGCTAGCGGTACTTAACAAAAACCCTAGAAATGTTGGTTGGAGTGGCGTATAACCGGTTTTTCAATTCACACAGATCCACGCCCATTGTGCTTAGCAAACAGAAGATGCGGCTAACTCGGAGCCATTTGATGGGCCTCAGTTCGTGTGGTCTGTTTATCTAAATGCCAAGCAACTCACAAGATTCCGAAATCCATAAGTAAACTTGTGGGAAAACTCAGTTTTCTCAATGCAGAATTTCATATGCTCTTGCCAAGGTCAAGAGTGACTAAGAATGGAACTAAAATAAAAATGCTTTAGGTTTTGAAATAGCAGAACTATTCAAAAGTTTCAATGCTTAATTAAAAGTGTTCTTTAGCTTTCAGAAAAAAACAAGGTCGTATTCTAGCTGTCTGGTGTGATTTAAAAACATAAAAGAAAACTTTTAATATGTTGTTATAATTCCGCTTTGTTGCCATGGACCAGTAATAAATTAAATAGGTTTCGTAAGAACAACTTAATAAATTATTTAAAAATTGTTTTCCCATTTAAAAATTATTATTTACTTAATGAACCACAATTGGGGTTAACCAAAATTTAACAAAGCTTAAACACGGGTATAGTTAAATCAATTAAAATCTTATCATACGCAAATTTTGTAATTTTCCAAGTGATTTAAAGTCTTTAAGCAAATTCGGTTAATCAAGCATTAAATTGGTAACCCCAAGTTCACTTATTTACCGGCGTTCTGCATTTAAAATTGATCTACTCTGAGCTTTAGTACACCCCAATGACCAGACAATTGTGTGATATTAGTGGGACATTGCATTTGATTGCCGATTTCCGTTGGAATGGCTTTTGGGTCTGGGAACTTTGGAGTCGGCTTGTGGCTGGGCGAACGAGGGTATAATTGGGCGACTGCGGCGCCAAAACAGAGAACTTGTCATAGTTTTTGGCTGCCGTTCAACTTGGCAGGCAAGTCATAAGTAATGTTCGCAGTCCCCAGCACATGTGCATATGTAGTTCGCCCCCTACAACTTGTTCTATATTCGTCCAACGAATTGTCATTACAGGCGATGCGACACACCGCCCACGCGGCGTATGCGTAATGCGCGGCTAATTTGTGGGGCAATCGCAGAATGTGGATGCAGCAGCCAGCTGCAAGCAGCTTGCTAAAAAAAGCTGGCCAGCTGACCTCAGTTGGACATGATGGGCCTACCTTCGTCCCAAGGATGATGTTGCTGCTGCTGCTGCTGTTGCGGGTGAGGATTCTCATCCTGAGCTGGCCGCGATTTGCGTCCTTTTTTCGAGCGTTTCGACTCCATTTTGTGGCTGCTGCTGGCTGAGATTTACTTTTTGGCTACAAGACACGCGCGTAAATAGAATAAGATATATTTATTTTTGTGTGTGCGTTTTCCTTTTATTTTTTATGTGCTCTCGTGGTTTATCTTCAGTGACGCACACACAAGTGACATTTGGCAAACACACACAGTCCCGCGTCTTTTTTCGAACTTTGCGTATTTTTTGTCGCTTCGATTACTTGGCGCGTCCATAGATATACTCGCATATATACATATATATCTCTTTCTGCCGTGAATATATTTTAGATTTAAAAATTTCTCGAGTTATTTATAATGCGGTGATTTAATTTAACACACACTCGGCCACTTTTCATATTCCATACTTGCCAAAAAATCACGAGAAATGGCGACAACACTCTTTTCCTCACTCAGTGTGATATTCCAAAAAAATTAATTATGAAATTAAATTGAATGGGCATTACGTGACAGCGCGACGTTTTTGTCTAACTCTAACGATTACAATGGATAACGATGAGTTTTCCTGCTAACTGCCGCCGCTGGACTGCCGAACCGCTGGGCATTTGGGAAACCGCTGGCCGGTTGGCTCGTTTATTACTGGTCGGGTTAGTATGGTATCTATATGTGCCGGTTTATGTGTTCGAGAACTGAGCGAGAAGTTGGGTGAAAAGTGAATGAAAATCGCGCACGGAGTCCGCTGATCCGTCCATGCGTCGTCGTTGTGGTTGTTATTATTATTATATTTCTAGTTTTTTATATTTTTTTTCGATGTGTCGTCGATCGTGGATCGTTTGCCGTGCCGTTCCGCGCGCGACTAATGCCGACTAAACCTGCGACGACTACGAGATCGAAAAGCTTTTCAGTTGGACTCACTTTTGGACCGTGTTTGTTGCTTTTTTTTTGGTTGTCACTGGTCGTCACACGCCGCGAGCATTTATTCCGTGTTCTCCGCTCGGTCAAAAGTGTATTCCTACGGAGCCGCTCTCCGGCGCTCCGGTTTTCCGGATTTCATCAATTGCGCTGCAGCACACTGCACTTGCTTATCACACTCTATTTGTCTTGGCAATCGTATTTTTAGAGATACGACTATAGCCTTTGCCATATCGACTTGGTTGATTGCCAGCCAGATTGATCGGAAATGCTAATTGAAAATGGATGGGGCTACCCATTAGCTGAGGGAGTTTCGAAAGTTGATTCTTTGATTGGCAGATGTCGGAGATTTCCTAGTCCTAAAAGAATTCTCAAAGAAATTCTGCCACATATTACTTTTACAATTTAAATGTATGGAAACTTGTGAAACAAGAAGAACCCGATGCTATAAAGTCCAGATTATTTGCAGTATTTAAAACATCTGAAGGGGGTGTAGTATTCTATTTTGATTTCTTTAAATTAACATATAAATTCTAAAATGCTCCCTTAATATTTATATTTTTTGTACATCAACATTGTTTGTAAACTATTTAAAAGATTTTCCCAAACACAAATTATTTTATTCCTCTTTAAGTGCCTAACCATTGCTCTGTGTAATTTAGTTCATTTCTATCATTATTATACTCATTTTTGAGAAAAAAAATTCCTTGTTAAGCCAATGGAATTTACTTATAATTCCAGTTACTATAATAAAACCCTATGGTTTCTCTTATCTGTCTTGCATTAAAGAGTGATTGCATTATTAAACAGAAAGTTTGTGAAAAGTTTTGTGCAGTGGACACGACAAGTTCAAGTTGTTGAGTCGGCAGATTGCATGTTTTGTATTTCAGCCATGTTTATGAGGGTGCAACCCCCAGCAGCCCAGCAGCCGAGCAAACCCATGAGTCGGGTTCAATTGCCGCACCACCGCGCCGCCATCGGTGGAGATGCCGTTGTGGGCCCACTAAAAGTGGCAACTGCTGCTCATCAAGTTCATTCCACTTGGCATTAAGTGCGCCCAAACAAACATCCCAAGAATGCTGCAACAGACACTGACAGTGAGATCTGTTTATAGACCCGGTCGGCATTTAATTGCTGGGAAAAAGTGGAAGCCACAGAGGGGAATGTTGCGCCTCAGTTGATTACATAAAGAAATGCTTTGCGATTTGCAGGAGTTCAAGCCGCCTTCTGATTAATCAGGCAAAAAGCAACTCATTAAATTGGCATTAGCCAAGGCAATTTGGCCAAAACCTGGATAGCCACACAGTTGACCTTCAAGTAAGTGCAGGTGCATAAAGTGGGACGCGTCTGAAGGTCCTTAATTAAAGCTAAACATGGAAAAGCGTGCTCGACACAACAGCAACAATAGATCCATATCCGGATCCAAAGGGAAACCTACAATACGAACTGCGTCCTTATTGACTCGGAGTTGATTGACAGGTTATAGACGACGATTGGGGGCGGAGCTGGCCGGGATCCTTGGCAACATTCACCCGGTAACATGCCATTAATCAAACGCACACACGTGAGGAGCGGCTCCACCTGTCTGGAGTGACTTATTTATGGGGACATTTATCGATTTGCCTGCCGAATTGTTCAATTATTTGGGTTACACCTGGTCCCGTCGAGCACCGAAACGCCACTGCTCGTCGGGCTATGCCTCTTTTCTTTAAGTCCCCATCAATTAATTATCCCTTTCTGGGCAACACACTTCCGTATCCGGTTCGAAATCCGATATTTCCGGCTGGACAACGCACTGCAAAGGACACCGAATGCGACACTGACAACTGGTTTGGTGGCTTTTTTTGGGCTCGGTCACCGCCGCCTCCTTTTTAATTCCATTTAGACCAAGGGTCCTGGCAGACTGATGGCTCTGTTTATGTTTATCCCTGCGACTGCACTGCCGTTGTTGTAATTTGTTGCTATTGTTGCCGGCATCGGCAGCGGTAACCCGTCCATCTGCTCGTTGGTGAGTCATGCGCACTGCGGCCAAAGGATAATGCAAGGCTATCCTAATGGCTCCGTATGCAGCTCTAGTAGCTATTTAATGACCTGCTTTGGGAGGGAAGCGCACTTTTGGTAATCACTGTTTAGGTGCTTTGAAGGGCCACTGGAGAGTCTTGCGCAGACGAAAATAGGATATGGCGGGCTAATTTGAATGTCAACACAATCTATTTGTGTGCGTAACATTGTCGAACAGTATTATCTTAACACCATTATGTAAAACTATTACATTATGCAAATGTGCAAGCCATTTTATTTATATTTTCTTTCGTATCATATTTTATGATTTAGCAAATACATACTCTAATAATGTAACGGATTTATTTACTAGTTGTTTTGTTATTTGTATTTAGTTTCCCGATCTTGCTAGCGTTGCCACCTGATTGCCCACTTGTTTAAATGCTACTCGTTGGATTTAGAAGCGAGTGGCAACAGCTGATCGAGTTAGATAATAGTTTAGTGCTCCCCAAAATCATGGCTCTCAGATTTGTGGCCCAATCATGCAGATCCTTGCTGCAACGTGGCGATCGTCCCTTGTCCTGGACTCGCACACTCTCCCATTATCCCGTCAACGATGCCATGTTCGGCTTAGATGAGGATAAGCAAAAGTTGCGAGAAGTGGCTTTCAACTTCTTCCAGAAGGAACTGGCTCCTTTGGCCAAGGAAATTGATAAGCTGGATAGCTTCAAGTATGATATACTGGATAATAGAGCCGAAGCCAAAACCTTACTTTACATGTTATTTATTTGACAGGGACATGCGTCCTTTCTGGAAAAAACTAGGTGATCTTGGTTTCCTGGGCATCACAGCTGAGCCAGACTTTGGTGGCACTGGGGGAAGCTACCTCGATCACTGCATTATCATGGAGGAGTTCTCACGGTAAGATATATACCTTATATTGAATATTGAATTATGATCTAAAATAGTCTCTAAAATCCAAATTTTTTAGTGCTGCTGGAGGCGTGGCCCTTTCGTATGGAGCCCACTCCAATCTGTGCATCAACCAGTTGACCAAAAATGGCACTCTCGAGCAGAAAGAGAAGTACCTTCCAAAGTTGTGCAGTGGCGAGCACATTGGAGGTCTGGCCATGTCTGAACCAGGAGCGGGATCCGATGTGGTGTCCATGAAGCTGCGTGCCGAGCGTAAAGGAGACTATTATGTCCTAAATGGATCCAAATTCTGGATTACGAATGGCTCGGATGCGGATACACTGGTGGTCTATGCCAAGACAGGAGGCAGTGGAGTTCCGGACAAGCATGGAATCACTGCGTTTATAGTGGAAACTGCATGGGAAGGATTCAGCGTGGCCCAAAAGCTAGACAAGCTGGGCATGCGAGGAAGCAGTACCTGTGAACTGGTTTTCCAGGATCTAAAGGTGCCTGCTAAGAATATCCTGGGCCAGGAGAACAAGGGCGTCTATGTGCTGATGTCGGGATTGGACTTTGAACGGCTGGTGCTAGCTGCCGGACCCGTTGGTTTGATGCAAGCCGCTTGCGACGTGGCCTTTGATTATGCCCACCAGCGGAAGCAGATGAACCAGTTGATTGGTGAGTTCCAGCTGCTCCAGGGAAAGATGGCGGATATGTACACCACACTGAGTGCCTGCAGGAGCTATCTGTACACGGTGGCTAGATCCTGCGATGCGGGCAATCGCAGTCCCAAGGATTGCGCTGGAGTAATTCTCTATGCCGCCGAGAAGGCCACACAAGTGGCTCTGGATGCCATCCAGATTCTCGGTGGTAACGGCTACATAAATGAAAATCCAACAGGTCGCATTCTGCGCGATGCCAAACTGTACGAAATTGGAGCCGGAACCTCTGAGATCCGACGCTGGCTTATTGGCCGCCAGCTTAACCAGGAGTATAAGTGAAAAGATGACCAACACTCTTTCTAATCCGAACCAGAAACGCATTTACGGTAAGACAACTGTGGCAATTATGTGGATTAACTCTACTACCTGACAGACTAAAAGTTGCATTTATTTTTTTAATAAGATTTGTAAAATATGTATGTTTTATCAATGTCTATATGTGCCTTAATAAAAAGAAATATAATATATTTTATCTAATTTCTGCATTTAAAACACGTTCACCACCTTGTTAAAATATTGTTTTTTTTTATTAATTTACAAAAAATACACAATTTAAATATGCATCTGCATACACGACTCGCATACGTACGTATATACAAAAAGAAATAAAAAGTATTGATTACATTGAATAGACTTCACAATCGTAGAACATAGATTGACTGTTCCTCGTTGGGGTTGAAGACAAAGAGCTTTCTTACGTTTAAAAAAATATTTCATGTTTAGTGCACAGTAATAAATTGCATCGAAATAACAACAAAGTGAAGAACCAAATTTGTAAGGGTTACGCTTATTATGGGTTAATTGTAATTTTGTTGAATTTAAATCGTTTCGCTCTCGCAACTTGTATCGATAAATATTGGCAATTAGATGGCAAATAAACACGTAGAACACAGATTTACGAAAACATAGAAAGTCGAATAGCGATATTAGGTTGTTAATATTAGGCTGATTATATGGTATGGGTAGAGGCATATAGACGTAGTTTCGCTAGTGGCTAATTACAATTAATATTAAATTATTTCTATTAGTATGTGTACGGGTGTGTAAATGTTAAAAGCACTTTTGGCAAACATCGACATGCTCTCCACCAAGCTAGAACATTTACTTAAGCAACTAGAATCGCTTCAACTGGAGCGGGGCTTAATCCAATCGAAAACTATGCTTTTCCGTCTTGGTCTCCGAGCGGGATTCCGTTGTCGTGGTGAAGGACTTGCGCTCCATCACACGCTGGGTCATCGAGGTGAGTCGCTCCGATCCCTGGTCCACAATGCTGATCTTGCCACCATCGGTGTTGAGGGTCATTTGCGAGAAGCTCGACTCCAGGGGCTTGACTTCACTGCTGCTGCTGGTGGTATTGTTCGCTGACTTGTCAAAGTTTCGCGTCTCATATCTAAAAAAAAAAAAAAAATTAGCTAAGGAACTACGCAAGGTTAAAAATGTAAACCCACCTGGACGTGTAACCCTCGTAGTTCTGACCGGGATATCCATTTCCACCCGTCAGCTGGACCACGCCGCCCTGGCCAAAGGTCTTGTCATGCAGATCCTGCACACACGCCTCCAGATTCCGGTTGACAGTGGGCTTCTTTGGCACCGCCGGAGGGGATGAGTTTAGCGTTTTAATGCTGGACGACTCAAAGCTGTGCTGGTAGTTGCTGTTAGTGGGTGTGCTGGGATGCGACCCCCGGCCGCCTGACGAGTTGGTGGGTGCGGAGGTTAGGCCATTGCTGCCGCCCGGACTGCCCGGATAGGGCCTGGGCACGGCATTGGCTGTTAGCTTGGGATTAGGGCGGAAACTGTGACCCGCCGTGGCGGTTTGCATGTTAGAAATGGTCGTAGAGAGCGGTGGCGGCGGTGGTGGGAACTCTCCGCTCGGCTCGTCCATCGGCGGATAGTTGGAGGGCGGTGGAGACACCGCTCCCGGGTGATGGAAGTGCTGCGTCTGCGGACTGGCGTAGTTGTAGTGATGCTTCTGCGACGCCAGGCTCGGCGATGTGGGCATCTCGCTGGAACCGTAGTAACCGCTGCGACCCAAAGTCTGTTAGCGTTACGGGGTTAGGAGAGAGAAAAGAGATACTGCTGGTTAGACTGGTTACGTGTTAGATTGGCTAGGACCCACACCAAACCAAGTTAGAATTAGACTACTTGAAAACAAAATGGTGCCTAAATTTTGTCATCGATCTCAATGCCAATTTCTTTCGTCGGTGCATTCACAAAACTAAAATACAAATTCTAACAAGATGGGAAAGGCAAGGAGGTGACTCATACATTGTTTTGGCTCTTGTTGAGTGTTCCGTAGGCGTACTCCGTGTCGCTCTCGTCAGTGGTGAATCCCTGGGCGTTCTTTCCGTACCGCTGTGCCTGGCGCACAATCTTCAGGCGCTGACGCGCCTCCTCCAGTTCCTTCTCCTTGCGCAGAACGGCGGACCGGGCGTTGATCTCCTGCGCCATGCCATCGACCATCGATGTGTTGATCTTCAGCGAGTGCTCCTCCTCGGCCTCCAAGCCCTGCTGGGCGGCATGCACCAGGTTGTCGGTGGACTTGATCACCGCATTGCCGGCGGCCTGCAGACGACGTCCGGCCTCCGAGTTGGGATTCGATTTCACCTTGCAGGCAATCAGCAGTTGGGCCGTGGAGGCGGCCACCTGCTTAGCAGTGGAGATGAGCATCTCCTCGGTGCCCACGCCGCGAACCAAGTTCTGGGCGGCTTCCACCAGGCTGTGAGTGGCGGCGGCCACCAGGCGAGCGGCCGAGATGAGACCCTCGGACCATTGGCCATCATCGGAACTGGTCAGCGGGCGGCGAGCCACCTTGCCCGTGTCGATGAGCTCCCGCTGAGCAGCGTTGGCAGCTCGCACCAAAGCAGCGGAAGCTGCCATGATTCCCTTGGCGGCCTCCAGGATCATTTCGTCAAACTTCATGTTCTCATCGAGTTCGATCTGTGTGACGGAAAAAGCAGAGATGAAATTTCATTAGATAATGAATTAAAAGCTTGTAAAACAGACAAAATAGAACAATCACCAGGCAGTTTTAGTTGTGATCACGGGTAGCTGAGTGTTTTAGTAGATTGGCGAGGGTCACAGTAATAATATGTTTGATTCCTGGGTGAACTTTTGAATGTAACAACCAAGAATATCAAACATATCTCACTGGAACCATCAATTAGTTCGTTTTGAGGGACTAGTTAGGATAAATCAAGCACCACTTAAAGATTAGGATGAGTTTCAGTTGTATAACTATAGTTAGGTAACATTCACCACTTAAATAGAGTAAGGGAAATAAACAAAAAGCCAGACTCACCTTAACATCAGCTTGGCGACGAGGACGCAGTGAGGCCAACTTCTTGGCTGCCGCATCGATGGAGGCAGCGGCGCCCAGCAGTTCGTTTTCAGCGATAACCGTTGGATCTTCGGGATCAATCCAATCGGAACCCTTCAGCAGCCTGGCCATGGCCACCAAATCGGTGACACACTTGGCAACGCGACGCGACAAATGCATGCGATCGTCGGCACTGCAGTTGTGCAGGATGCCACTGAGCAGGTCGCGGTAGGATTCACCCACAGCTGTTCCCGCCTCCAGAGTGCGTGCGCGCAGCTCCTCCGTTTCGGCACAGTTCCAGGCCACTGAACGGCAAACAATCAGCATGTCCGAGATGGCACGGCGTCCCAGATTGGCGGCCGAGACAATATCAGCCTGCAGATTGGAGGTTCCGGCAGCGACGGCCTTGGCAGTGGCCGCCGTCACGTTCATGGTCACTCGGATGAGATCTTCGGGTCCAACTTGGGTGTTTCCCACTGGTGGAGGAGTGTGCATGGCCTGGAAAATAAAAGCAACGAATTAATAACTTAATTCAGAGGTAATCTCACATGTTTTTAAGGGTTTTTGGGAACCATCAACTTACCCGAATCTCTTGGGAGATGGCTTCTACGGTGGCCTCCATGGCGCGAGTTCCGCGCGTGTGCTCATCCTCCACAGCCTTCACAGTCTTCAACAGCGAGGACACATTCAGCACCATCACCTAATTGTTTTCAATTGTAAAGTGGCATTTTTTGGGGAGCAGAGCAGAAATGTTTATGATTAATGTTTGGTCAGAGAAGAAGTTTTTGAAGAGAGGAACTTATATATGTAAAGTATAGAATGTCTAGGACTACGAACTACTCTACAGCTAAACAGAATTGAATACTACAACATTCTAAACGGCTTTGGCACTCTTACAAATCAATATTAAACTAAAATAAAGTCAAATTATATTCCAATTGGTTTTTATTATACGCATAAGTAATAAGAATTAGTTTCATAAATGACTTGATAACATTGAAAAGAAATAAATGGGAACTTCTAGGCGCCAGGTAAGCGTTTTCGAATATTTTAGTGAACTTGAATTAAATTTTGTGCATTTAAAGAGGACTTGATTTTGAATGCTTTGCCCAGCACTTAAAAGTTCTCTTACAATCAGTTTGAATTGAGTTTCTCGAGTGGCGGAAAGAATCATGTTTCATTGTGCAATGGATTAATGCAAGTAGAATTTCGTCCCGGAATTTCAGTTGGCCATGATGTCGATGATGCTGCTGCTGCTGCTGGCGAAGATGAGGTGGCTGCCACTTCGCATTTCTGACTGTGGGTTAGTTTCTGAATGGCCATTGTGGGCAGCTGCTTGGCAAACATCTTGAAGCGTCTGCTTTTTTTTGTTTTTGGTTTGGTTTGTACATACATATGTGTATATGCGGATGAATGGAGATTTTGGTTTTGATATCGATTTGATAGCAGATTGTTTTCCACAGCGAGCGCAGCGCATGAAGAGAAGGAGGAGCGTGGAGCGTTTTGAATTCGATTTGCATTTTTGTACAGTTCATGAGTGGTTTTTGGTTTTTGTTTTCGTTTTTATTTATTTTTTTTTGTGGTTTGTTTGGTGTGTGTTTTTTTGTGTGTGGGAAAAAAAGAAGAGCAGATACGTCGAAGGCACAACGAATTAGCAAAACGAAAAAAATACATCAATTTATGGATTTTCCCATTTGGTTTCCTTTTTACAAACGTTGAAAGTGGAAAGTGGGTGGGTGGGGTGGTTGGTGGATTGTAAAGGAAGGGTGGGTGTTTGGATGGGTGGGTAGGTGGGTGTTTTGGGGTGCCTCGGTGGTTCAGAGAGAGAGAGCGCAGCAAGCAGAGCCGGAAGGGATGGTACGGGCATGACCACGAGATGTTAGAGCTGGACAAGAAGGGTAGTTGGATGATAGCCAGGCCAGCCGGGCGGGAAATCCCTATTGTTTGCTGCCGATGCCGCCAGGGAAATGATGCAAGTAGTGGGCTTTTCGTGGGTGCGTTCGGTTAAACATTGATAACATTAATAACATTAAAGAAACGACAACACAGAGCAGAGCAGCTGAAGCTTTTAGGGGAGCAGGATGCGAGGGTGCCGCATATCAATTGTTTTGCACTTAAAGAACTCAAACAGCAGCAGCAGCAGAGATTTTATTTTTTGGGTTATTCCAAATATACACAGATACATTTATGTGGTGGGTTTTTTTCTTTTTGATTTTGGGGAGCGGGCGTGTGGATTTCCTCTTTTTAAATGTATGGGTAAATGAGTGCCAAAGCCATTTGATGTTTATATATGTTGAATTTTCAATATGCCACAAACAACATTTATGTATGCGCGTTACATATTTTGCATGGAAAAGAATACATTATTTAAAGAATTAAAGATGAAACACAGCCTATAAACACTGTAGAAATTATTCGATGTATATTTAAGCTTTTGAATATCAGTCTTCTTTGTTCGAAAGTCCATTGGTCTTCTTTTCAAGTCATAAATAAAATTCAGGAGCAAACCATAACCACGTTGAGTCAGTTACAATTTGGTGAGTGAGGATAAGAAAAACTAAAGCACTATAATTCACTTAACTGCATTAGAGAGAATTCTTTAATTTATAAAATAAGTTCAGATAAGATCATATCAGTTAAGTTAATTATAGTGCTTATACTAAAAGCCACAACAACGAAAGCTTTTTAGCAAGAGATTAAAAAAACTACGTAAGAATAGAGAAAGAGAGTGAGAGAGAAAGGCAGGGGAAAGTAGATGGACATGTGCAGCTTACCCTAGCGCTCTCCTTGAGATCCTGCATGGAGGGATCATTGAAGGACTTTCCGGAAGCCAACTTAGTGCAGTTGATCAAATCACCCAAGGCGGAGGCCACATCCTTGACGGCATTGATGACCATGACCTGGGAATCGGGTTGCGAAGATCCCAGGGAACAAGCTCCCCTCTTAACAGCCTCAGCCAGTTGAGCTAAATTAGGAGAGAAGTTAGTTAATTACTTAAAATTAATGACAAGATCATCACTCACTTATGGTTGAGACAGCATTCTGAGCAGCGTTGGCCAGCTGATCCTGGGTTCCAGCAGCTCCGGTCACCAACACCTTGGTGTCCTCCACCAAAGCCTTTGCCGTCTGGAGGATGTGCTCGCGATGATCGGCGAAGCTGCCATCTCCATCCGAATGGAGAGTGCCCGCCGTGGCGAACATAATGGTGGTGTCCAGGTCTCCAATGATGCCCGATACCGTGTGTGCGGCATTGATGCACGCCTGAGTGCCTCGGGATCCTGCCTGCAAAGCGGCCAGAACCTGAGCCACCTTTTCGGACACCTCGCGAGCATTGCGAGCAATGTCCCTCTGGGCACCCACATCGTTTGGTCGTGCTCCTCCCGCCGAAGACTGGATCATGGAGCTAACAGAGCGACCCAAATCAATAACGGTGGTGCGAATGCGCATGGCTACATCCGGTGAAGAAGTGGTGGTACTGGCTCCCACGGAGTCCTGGGTCAACTGCTGGTAATGTTGGGTCATATCCACAGCGAGCTGAGGCAAGGCTGCTGGTTCCACGCTGCTCTTGGCATTCATCTCGTTGGCCAGGCTGGCGATCTCCTTGGCCCGCGCCACCATGCGCGTCTGGTAGTCCACGAAGGTGTCCGAGTACGAGGCATTCAACAGGGACTGCCTCTTGTCGGTCAGCCGGGTGATGGAACGGTTCACCTGCTCCATCAATCCAGTCACGATGCCCGTCTCCGCATTGATCTTCTCCACGGTTTGCTGCAGCTCCTGGATGGCCTCCCTGGTGCCATCGATGGCCTCATCCAGTCGGGGATGGGCATGAGTTGCCCGTGGGTTGCCAGCCGAGTCCTTGGCCGACTGCACCAAAGTGATGGCACTCTCCACCACCGAACGGGTCTGCTGGATCAGCGACATCTGCTGCTGGCTGTGCACGATGTGGGTGCAGGCACCGATCGCTCCATTCACCATGGGCACCACGTAACGCGAGATCTCGCCCACGGCGTGGCCCAGTTGCTCGGCATTGTTCTTGCCGGCCACCCGAATGGGCTCCAGTTTGTCCACCAGTTCGGAGGCGGAGTTCATTGTTTGGCCGCTGAATCCGTGCAAGTTGTTATCCCGACGCTGGCTGAGACCCTGGGCATTGACGGCCAGCGCACAGCTGTCCAGTTCCCGGGTGCAGGTGCCCAAGGTGTGCAGCACCTGCTCGCACTGTGCCTGTCCAGGCGCCTTGTCGCGAATGTTGTCCACCAACCGCTTGACGGACTCCGAAACTGGGGTGGAGTGCATCGAGAGTTGCTGCCACACGGGTGGGTTGTCCGGGGAGAGGGCCAGTGATTTGGCTGCCTTTACCATCTCGACAACTCCATCGATTACACCGCGACCGGCTTGGATGACTGGCTCCTGGGCCTTCCTGCCCTCCGCCGATATCTTGGCGGGCACGGAACTGAACTCCGGACTGGAGGCGTACTGGCGCACTGCCTTAACAGCCTCCAGAAGAGGATCCACCAGACGCTCGCGACTTCCACTGGCCGGCTGCTCCTCAATGGCCTTGATGGCCTGCACCAAATCCGAAGTGGCCGTGGCCACCTGCTTGGCCAGCACAATGAACTCGTTCTTGGCCACCGGGTTCGAGGTGTTCATCGAGGCTTGACGGCAAATCGAGCAGAGGTAACTGGTGTGCTTGGCAATCACCGTGAGGGCAGAGATCATCTGCGGCTTGGTGGACTGCTGGCTGCTCACTATGTCGCAATGCTGCCGGATGCCTTGGTAGGCCCAAGTCAACTGGGCCTGATCAATGATTCCCGGTCTGCCCGCAACACTCGATGGATGCGAGACTCCAATTAAATAGGCCGCTTGCGAAGAGCTCTCGATCAATCCTTGGATGGAGTCATTCACGTTGTTCACCGACTGACTGAACTCCACGTGCTGCGACTGCTTGGCGTTGTTGATCATCTCGGAGATGGCATAGCCCAGGTTCCTCGACTTTCCAGTGGCCTGCTCCACGCAATCAAAGTATCCCAGCTCGTTGATGGGCTCGTGGGGATAGTCGAGCATCAGACGCAAGGCCTCAATGTTGCGCATGGCATTGTCGCATTCCTTCTGTCCAGGAGCGGATTGGATGCTGGCATCCACCAACTGATTGATGCTCTCGGTGACACTGCGAGCGGCGGCATGCAGAAGGTTCTTGGCGTTCGGCTGGCCGGGATCAGCGGCAATGGACTTGGCCGTCGAGAGGAGGGAGCACGACTGAGTGGATACATTGCGCAGGGATTCGATCATCTGGGAGCGCACCTCCTCCTCCTGCGTCTGGCCGGCCATCTCCATGCTGACGGACAGCAGATCCCGGTAGTTGGCCGCAAAGTTCTGGCTGCTCTCGGCCAACAAAGCTGGCGAGGCATACGAACCCACGATCTGGCCACCAGAACTGCTCAACTGCTCCGCCACCTGCTTGAGTTCCGATTGCAGAGTGGCATATGGACGTGACGAAGGTGGGAAGTCGCTCATCATTAGGATTTCACTCAGATCGCTGACATTCCTCAAGGCAATGTGCACTTCTCGCTGGCCGGGAATGCAATCCACGGTGGCCGAGAGCGCTCCGGTCACCTCTCGTCCAGCTTGGGTCAAAGCCTCCGGGTTGGAAGCTCCTTGCAGCGTGCGCTGCGCCTGCTCGATGAGTCGCGCCGAGCTGGTGACCACATTATCCGCACAGTCGATGATCGCCGGATTCTGAGTGGTGGCCGCCACTCCATGGACGCTCCTGGTGAAGTCTCCCAGTGCCAGGGCAGTGTCCCGGCCAGCAGCTCCAGCATAGCTGCGCTGGTTGTGCAGCACAGAGGAGAGCAGCTGGCTCAAGGCGATGCCCACATTCTTGGCGGACTTCCTCAGCTCATCGGCCGTGTTCTCCACCGTTTGTCCTGGCAGCGGACGCAACTGGTTGGCGAGAGCCGCCTGGCGTGTATCGTCCAACACGTCGTGCAGTTTGCGCACCTCCTCGAGGGCCGACTCCAACTCCTGACCACCGCAGGCATCGCGAGCACGCTGGGCCACCGAGTGCAGCTCCGAGACACTCTGTCCCAAGTGGAGAGCACTCTTCGACAGTTGAGTGGCCGAAGGGATGTCGGTGACTGTGGGCTGCAGGGCTCTCGAGGATTTCGACACCTGCAGAGCCGGCTCGATGAACTGTTCCGCTGCCTCGATGAGATTGAACTGGGCATTGGGATCGTCGGGTTGGGCACGGGTCGTCTTCAGGGAGGTAACCAATCGGGGAATGGTGTCCGCCACTCGCTTGCAGTCCTGCAGCAGGGTTTCCTTGGTCTGATGATCCTGGCTGTGCTGCACTGCATTCTGTGCCGCCGAGATGCACTGGGTTGCTGCGGAGGCTGCCTGCTTGGAGCAGAACTCCAAGCGCTGAATGAGTCCGCGCTTCATCGCCGGTGTGTTGGCCGCCGTGGTGGTGATCTCCCGCAACTCCTCCGCTGCCTTTCGCAGAGCGTTCTGGTTGTCCGAATCGTGGGGATTCGAGGAGCAGAGGCGAGCCGCCTCCACCAGCTTGGCGGTGGCATCGGCCAGCTGCTTGGCGGCGGACAACAGATGACGCTTCATGTCCGCATCCTGCTGCTGGTCCGCTTCGCCCTTGATGCTCTGGATGAGCTGGGCAGTGGTCTGTCCCAGGGTGCGGGCATGGCGCACCATCTCCTGGGGATCGTGGGTGGACACCAGGATGTCGGTGCCAATGATCACGTTCTCGACGGGACTCAGCTCGGTGCTGGTGCGGTTGGCGTGCTCCCTGGTGCTCAGCTTCACGTGCTCCAACATGTCGGTGAGGCTCTTGGACACATCTCGTGCGGCTGCCAGCAGATCGGCCTTCAGCTTGGGATCGTTGCTGGCCTCGTTGCACACTTCGCACAGGGAGTTCACAGCCCTTGCCACATTCCTGGCCGCCGCTTCCAGTTGTTCCCGGCAGGCGGCGTTGTGCAGAGTGGGTGCCACCACCTTGGCGCAGGCCACCAACTGACTGGTGGCCAAAGCACACTGACTGGCAGCTCCAATCACCCGATTCCTCGCCTGTTCATCCTCACAGCTGGCGGCAATGTTCTTGGCACGCAGCACCAAGGCGGCAGTGGTATTGGCAACCGCCTTGGCCAAAGCGAGGAGCATGTCGTGCAGGTCGCGGTTCTCGGGCACCTCCTCCTCGGCAATTGTGCTCAGCACGTGGGTGGTGGCTTCGCCCACTCGACTGGCCGCATTGATCAGATGCTGGGGCGGCTCCTTGCTCTCCGGCTCGGCTGCCTTGAGGAGATCACTGAAGGCGTTGCACAGATTGCGGGCAGCCTCCAGCAGTTGGTCACCGTTCGAATCGTTCTCCATCAAGGCGGCGATCAGACGCACCTCCTTGGTCACCTCGGGAATCGTTTGGGCAATCTGGGAGACCGAAGCCGAAATGGCCTCCGTATCCACTTCATCCGGGTGAGAGGCGGTGATGATCTGGGCCGTGGCCGCGCTCATGGTGGCCACATGACTGCTCACAGCCTGCTTGGAGGTGTCCAAAGTGTTCTCGCGCCACTCGATGGAACGCAGATCGCTGCCAAGTTCTTGAATGGGTGCCTGTTCATGAAAATTTATGTTTGTAATTAACTTATCTTCTGGGAAATTAACTATTAATTTTACCTTAGTGCGCAGCTCCTCGTCAGCGCGAATCAAGACATCCTGGCCAGCGGATATGTAACCCAGCAGCGCCCGCTGTGGTTCCGTCAGATTCACAGAACTAATGCGAACTTCCTTAGTCTAAACGAACACATCAAATAAATAAGTTAATGGTTGCTTTTGGGGAAAATCTCTCCAGCAGAATGCATACTTTGTAAAACATTGGTTGACCACTGGCTTTATTTAGAGATTGCAGCATGTGAGGAGAGAGGGATTAGAGAAATGCTTTATGTTAGTTTGCTTCAGATGAGGTTTTGAGGTTTTTGTTTTCGATTATGGTTCGGATTCAGCTATGTTAGTGTTACGAGTTAGTGCAGTGGCAACTTAAGCAAAAAGCGCGTGAAAAAATGATTAACTGAGTGGAGATGAGTGGAGTTAGTGGGGAATGCTCGGTGGCTCTGGTTCAGGTCAACTCACCGATGGCGGCTGGTGGGCATGGTTCACCTGGCCGACGAAGGCACCATACTGCACGGTCTGCACTTCGTTCTGCATAAAGGAGCGCTCGCCTATGTGTTTCAATTCGTTCACGGAATTCAAAGAGGGGTTGGTAAAAAGTACAAATTATAATTTAGCATATACAAAATAAGCAATCGAAAATAATCAAGCAAATAGCTAACATATTCTGTCGATGGTGTTTATATAAAAATAATATTTAAAATGTATTTCACTAAACCTTGTGGTTTTATTTTTTCAGGTTTGCGTTCGAATAACAAATAAGTTGTTAATCAACTCCTGCATTTTAAACATTTCAAGTACATTTATTTATAAGTTTATTTTTTATTTTTAAATTATAAACCACCGACATATACACACAATATTTAGCGCAAGCAGAAGTGCTCATTTGATGTAAAAATCTTTAAAACTCACCGTCATAGGGGCGCATAATTCCCGGATGAGCCAAGCTCTCCACATTGAGTTGCTCACTGCGATTCGTTTCGTGTTGCAAGAAGGTGGCCCTAAAATTAAAAAAACAATTCATTAATAACCTGTTTCATTTTATAAACTCCTTTAACTTACTTGGAAGGTGCCACTGACTCCTCCACCATGGTGGAGCCCTCATCTCCCTCGATACCGAAATGATCCTTGGTCTGCTTCTTCTTGAGAATAATGTCGATGTAGCCAGCGATGAGCTGGACAATCTGCTCGGCCTCCGTCGTCTGCACCGAGTAGTATTGATTGGCATAGTCGCCAAAGTCCAGGGTGAAGGTGTTTGGCGAGGCGCCCCAACGCCGAACTGTGGTCAAGGGCCACGAGATGAGAATCTCCTTGGTGCGCTCGTCCAGACGCAGCACCGAATCCTTGGTCACGCCGAGCAGCCGGGGAACCAGCTTGTTCTTGCCATTCATCTTCTCCTTGACCAGGAAGAAGGTAACACCATAGGTGGGCAACTCCCGGGCGGTCTTGGTGTACAGAACTTTGGCGTCGATTTCGGAAAGATCCGTATGCCTTCGGTGCTCCGCAAAGATTTTCTTCTCGATTCCCTTTACGCGCACATATGACTGAGGCAGGAAGTCCTTCAAACTGGGGTAGAGAAACCATATAAATTAATACAAATAAATAGCATGTGTTTACATTCTTTTACTCACTCTAGAAATCCGGGCTTGTGCTTGGCCTCGTTGTGCGGTCCGAATTGAATGTGCACTTGGATGCCAGCGAACTCGCAAGCTTTGTCATGAGTAACAGGATGAGTGCCATCGAGAATGGCGTCCCTGGCTTGCACATACAGCAAATTCAATTGCACGGGGTCCCGCGAATCGATATTCTGGTCCGAGAAGAAAAAGCGACGGCGCAGCAAAACAGTTTCTGCCTCATCGATGCCCTGCTCCCTCAGAGTGCGACTCACATCCACCCAGTTCACTGTAAATAAAAAGACATTTAAATACCTCCAATATAAGGGATTTAAATAGTAACTTACTTTCATCATCCGTCTTTAGTTTTTTGCGCAAACTCTCCATTTTGGCATCACGATCCTTCTCCATAATCTTGCGCTTGAGGGTCAAAGTACCGAATTTGTTGTCCGGCAGATTCTCGTTCTGCGCCTCGTTGTCCTCGCGCACCAATCCGTATTCCTCGTGATTGGTGATGCCGATCTTCGTGCAGATGACCACCATGAGCTGCGACACCGGTTGGGAGTCGTCCACGAGGATGGTTTTCACAGCTCCATCCAGCATGCGAACGCGAAGGGTACGCAGCTTGCGGCGGTACTCCAAGGTGTCCTGGTTGTGCAGTATATAGTAGCCCAGGGTGCGTCCGGCTTCCAACCAAACGCCCTGCTGGTTCTGCTCGTCGGAAATGAACAGTCCATATTCGCTGGCTGCAATTAAGAGAAGGCTATTTTAGTTCAAACGAACTTTGATTAAACATTAAGTGGGTTTCACTTACGTTGTCCTTGCACTGCCTCGGCAAACTTATCGCGAATGACCTTGCAGGCATCGAAGACTGTGGTGTTGGGCTGGAACTGTATGGTCTTGGTCACTCGACCGCCTTCCAGCTGGATGCGCAGCGATAGCGTGGACATCCTGGCTTCGTCTTTGCCGCTTAACTTCAACTTCCTCTACTCCTTTTCCTTTATTCCTCTCTCCTCCGCCTCGTCGTCGTTTCCTTGGGTAAACTCCCAAGGATGTGGAAAATGCAAAAGGCACTGCAATGGAAGAGCATGAGGGTTAATAAACTACTTGAAGTGTTATTATAAAGAAAGATAACTTTGATATGCATTTAAAGGAGAGAACCTTGTAAAAAATAGTTCAAATTTAAAGAAACTTATCCTGTTATCCTGTTTTATGAAACATATACAAAAGTTACCCACTTTTTCGGAGGTAAACAACTTGGTAAGGCTCTAATTAAGTTCTGCTGCTCAGATAGTAATGGCTCCTTGGGAGGCCAATGTAGATTGCCAAAATGATGTAGTTACATCAGCTTTAACTAGTATTCAGGGTTAATAACCCATACTAGAATATGGTAATTTCCTAATACAATACACTTAAGAGGGCAAGCTGGGAAATAGAAACCAGAAAAGCCGAAACCAGAAACCCTGAGGAGCCGGGAGCCAGAAACCAAAACCAAAACCGAAACCACCCCCAGAGCGCAAGGATATCTTCCGCCGGATGAGCAGGGGCGGTGGCGATGGCAGCCACCACCCAAAAACGCAGACGACCGATAAAATTGCTGATGAAAATCTTTACCAGAAGCACACTTACACACACACAAGCCCACACAGTCACACAGACACAAACACACACACAAATAGGAGAGGGCAACACAGGACACTTGAGTTGCCAAATCAAAGCCTGAAAGCCCCGGCTCATTGTAGTTGCCTTGCGGGGTGGCGATGCAAGCCCACTCTGGCGACATCTCAAACTCTCTCTCCATCTCCATCTCCATCTCCATCTCCTTCTCCATCTCTAATTCTCTCCATCATTAGGCTTTGGATTTTAAGCTAAGTTTCCCTAATGCCTTTCTCCATCCCCCCCGAGAAAAACAGGCGTAATTGATTTTCTGTCGCCCGCTTTTTCGATCCTGCCAAAAGGACACACACAAAAAAAGACAAAAGCTGACTAAGTGTGTCAGAGTTCGGGTGGAAAAACGCTACCATTATTGTTTTCTCTACCATGCTAAAATCAATAATTTACACAAATGTTTTGTTTTTCTTTTTCGTTTTTTTTTTTTCTATAGAGAGAGAGCAAGAGGAAGCACTTGAAATTTCCGGTAGAAGACACACAAACACACACAGAGAAGCACGCACAAACTTTCACAATTACTTTTTGTAGGGGAACAAAAACAGGACGACGGTTCCATATGGCGGCTGTGGATGGCACCGATTGTCGGCATCCTGAGAATGGAGCAGGAGCACGTCCGCTCTCCACGAAATCTGGCACGACAGTGATGAAAAGGCTGACTCAACGCTGCGGCCGAAGCCTGCGGCAGAGGGATGCTGCTCCGTCGACGTCGGCGTCAGCATCCCTTTGGTGTCTGGGACATCCTTGTCTGCTGGTGGTGGCAAGGACTGGCTCAAGAGAAAGCCAGAAGAGAGAGAGAGAGAGAGAGCAACGCCTGCGCAGTGCTTTCTTTGGAGAGCAAGTGAGAGAAATTACTGCCCAAAGGGTGCAGTCACCGTATATTCACCCCCCATTTTGCACTGGAGAGTTCTCTCGATTTCTCTGCTTTTCGCTTGGAGAGATGGTAGACTTTCGTAAGGCGCCTGAGTGGCGCCAGCCGGCCAAAAAGTATCCGAATCCTGCGCAGCATCAGCCGGAAAACAAGGGGTGGTGAAAGAGGAAAAGGATGCCCGGGATTCACTGCGTAATCCGATATGAATCAACACTGCGCGACAGGAAAACAGGTTCAAAGGACAATGCGGTTAGAGTCTTTGCTTTTTTAAATATTATTAGTTGTGTCGAGGCAAACGCTTAGTAATATAATAACAATATAACAAAATAAAATTTTGATTTGTCGCTATATTTCATATATATCTGTAATTATTTTTTCCTATTTGTAAAAAATATGTCACTATACATATATACTGCTGACTATTTCCAAAAGTATAGAATTGAATTAAATGGAAATAAGAGTGAATTCGATTTTAAAAAAGTACCTACAATATATATTTTTAACTTTGAGTTTCCTATTTTTGAGTAGATGTTTTTAGTCGGCTTCATGCCATTTTCATAGTCAACCACAACAATCGAAAAAACTATTTAAGACCCTCCATCAACCCTACTCCAAGTGGATATTGTAATTCGATACTGCCCATTAATTCAATTAACTTTATGTGGTCGTATAAGCTGAACAAGAGGAAGGAACAACTACACATGACACATCCTCCAACGCAGAAAACACAAAGGAAATAAAGTAAGAAAAGAAAACTGTCAGAGTCACATCGTTAAAATGGATGAATAACAACGAAGGGATAGATTTCTCCAAACACAATAAAAGGAGTCCAAATAGCCTCAATCTTGGCTCAATAGACCCTCTATTTAAACGGTTTCATGTTCCCCAGAAAGCTTATTTCCACTTAAAGATTTCTTTGAGCATTTTTTCATTGCACCCATCAATAGCAAATTACAGATGGCTAATAAAACACAGTAATCAAGGAAATATTCCTTAATTTTGGTGCAAACTGAGCAGAGGAAAAAATCCAACTTGGCCAGCGGCTGCCACGAATTTTCACAGTGGGAGCTTGGGCACAACCATTTCCACTCCTCCTCCATCCGCCTCCACTTTGAGTTTTCCTCCTGCACAACTGGCCACCAACCGATACCATCCGAATGCAAATGGAATGGAACCCATGCAAGGAGTCGGAGGTGGAGTCGAAGCCTCTCGCTAATTGGCAACCACTTTCCACCCAGAAGTCACACTGAGCTGCTAATGGACGTAATTTACTGGCGACAACGTTTTTCTATGAGCAAAACTAATTAATTGAGTGTACAGGAAAATGTGTAAAATCTATTTTCTTTTTTCAAAAAAAAATTGGGTATTACTTATTTATTCAAGTCTAGGTTTTAGCAATATTAATTCACAATTTATTTGCTGAATAAGATAATTTAATAAAGGATTTGCAATGCCTTTCTTTTTTATAGCAATTTTTATAGATAATTCAAAAAAGATTATTATTTTTTTACACTTCCAATTAGAAAATTGAATTTCTAAATAGAATTTTCCAAACTGGCTTTTCGAATTTTTACTTACTTTTCGAACACTTTGTAAGGCTCATCGTGGGATCTTGTTTACAATGACGTTCTTTTCGAAGATGTTTATAATTTATCGTGAATTGGCGATCGAAAAACGTTAAGGCACAAAGCTTACGGTTACGGTTTTGGGGCTTAATGCTTATAAAGGCACGCTCGGGCGTAGTGAATGTTTCCGTGTGTGTGTGTGTGGTGTTTGGTGTTTGAAGTGTAATTTTGGTGTTTAACAAGGTCTTTGGCGATCGATCGGTTGACGTTGTCATCGAAAGGCATTACGGGGCTTTGAAAGGGGGATTTTAAAAATCGTTGACTGCGACGGCAGCGCTGAATCAGGTGTGTCCTGCGACTCCTGCGAGTCCTGCGGATCCTGCGGGGCAACTGCTCGACGAGCTGAGGCACGTTTGTGGTGTTGGCAAACGGAGCGTACCGTTTTTGTACAGAAATTGTACGGAACCGAAACTGAATTTACAAATACTCAACACAAAACGATGGCAAAAACTGCTAACAATTTGGAAAATCTCAAAAAACGCGTATACATCATAATAACGTGGGAATTTTCAATATTTCTCAATTTTCGTTGGTTTTAACAAATAACATTTAAAATTTTTACGAGTTCTCTAGTGTAAAAGCGTCTTCCGTGTAAATGTTGTAAAGTATATATAAACGTGTGACTTTGTGTATATATATTGTTAAAAACGTGTAAAGCTTTGTAACAAATTTTTCAGATTTTTTTTTTTTTTTTGATTTTTTGTGTGTTTTTTCTGTTCTAAGGCAAATTAGTGGCAGAGTTTTTTGAGCGGCGATTGAATCGCATCGACTTAGGTTCTATTAAAAGTAAAGTATCTGTCCAAGGCACTCGACGACAAGTTAAAAGTTAAGAATACTTCTTAGGGATAAGGCACGAACTATGACGAAAAACAGGAACCGAAACGGTACAAAAGGCACTCGACCGCCAAACTTAACGAATTTTAATGGATTTTTTTTTGTTTTTCAAACTCAACAAGAACTCAGGCACAAAACGGTTTGTAAACGCGACTTGGATTTTATTTTTTTTTGGGTAACTATTTTCTGAACTGGCAAGTCCTGCCCGATCAGCGGCTAGGCCTAGAATGATGTGCTATGCCGGCGACACATCGTGAGCTTCTGATGTCAGCATCATTCATTCCACTAGTCGTAACCGTTGTGTGAATCCTCGACTCGACGGCGTCGTCCTGGCGCCGCCGATCGGCGCATGCTCCGCGGCCAGGATGTCACGGGACGCCAGGATGCTGCGATTCGGGATGAGACGGCATGTCCGGGCACTAGCCTGCTCGCCCGGCTGCGCGAAAAGGATGAGAGAGTAGGTGGATGGCTGTGGCAGGATCGTAAAAATTGCCTATCCTCCGTTTGTCCAAAAACAAGAAAAAAGCAAAAGGAACACCAGGAAGGGAGGGTTTGGGCTTGGGCTGCTGCAGAGTAACATTTTGGCTTTTTCACTTCGGTTTCTTGGTTTTCGACGTGTGTGTGTGTGTGCGGAAAATCCACCACCAACTGGGAGCGCCCAATGGGTGGCAATGGACCACCAATGGCTGAACTTCGCTTTCGCCTTATGTACAAGCGGAGTTGTTTTTGCCCTCGCCATTTACATGGCTCCAAATTGTATAAATTAAACTTGACTGAGTGGGCTTTTTTTCCTGTTTTTTTTTTTTTGCTGGGACATGCAAAATGAATAATGGTTAAAGAATACTGGGAAATCGGACAGCGGGAGATCCACGAAAAAACTCGCAACATCCCTTTAATTAAATCTTTCTGATTTGCCTTGATTAATTGTCACCGAATGAGTTAAGAAAATGTTCCAGCAATCTTTAAGATACAAATCAGGGGGGTTAGTATCTTGTAAGCCCAATCTCCACGCACAAACCCCACACTTATCTGTGCAATCGCTGTCGACATAAAAGCGAAGGAAAAACAACAAAAAAATAAGCTCAACTGGCGCGACATCCTGGCGCCAAAGCCACCATTTTGTCTGGCCATATAAACCCGAGTAAATGGGGATCCTTTATGGTGACTGTGTGTGTGTGAGTGTGTGTGTGTGTGCCTCGTCCTGAAACGCGTGTGGCTGCGTAGGAGTCCTGTGGTGGCCGCCCAAAGGAATCTGCACAGTTTTCACTTGTCTTGGAACACGTTTACTCCTTCGCAGCCATGTTTTCCCCCCCTGATGGCTTTGCCTTTTCCCTTGGCTAGAAGGATAACAAAATGCCATCGAGCTGCGCCAATGTGGAGCCTTTTTATGTAATTTGCACAGTTTTTATTTCTGTTTGTTAAGTGGAGGAGTAGAATTTGCCCAGATAAAGCTGACTCGCCTGAGGCATAAAACAGAGCCATAAAGTTCAAGGAGGCATATCTCTTTTTATAGGTGGATATTGACAGCTAGATCTCCTTGATTAATTGTGATTTGTAGCCCAAAAAGAGAACAGTTTAGCTTCTTAGGGTATTATAAAAATAACTAACATACGTATCTATCATAATGATAATTAATATAGGTTGCCATAAAAGAAAGTACAAACTTAACACAACTATCCCCCAAATCTTAAAACAAATTATTTGATTATGCAAATATTAATTGACACCTTCACTCACCTCAATTCGTTGTTAGCCGCTTATCTTCGATTTAGTTTCGGTTGTTAAGCGGATAGTGAAGAAATATGTTTAACGAAAGTTGTTTGCTGTGTGTGCGCCCGTGTGTTTATGTGTATGTGTGTGTGTAAGTGTTGGCAGTGTTAGGTGTGGTCGTTGTTGTTACGTTGTTTGTTTCTTCGTTGCTTGTTGCGGTTGTCGTTTGTTTGATTTGTTTAGAAGATCTGCAAATAGAAGAGCAGAGCGAACGGTTAAAACTGCGTTTGCAAACGTGGCGGCAAGAAAATCTCTATCTATCTATCAAGTTGCCACTGTGGCAACTTCAAAAGCCCAAAGCAATCCACTCAGCAAACTGCAAACAGCAAGCGCAGAGAGCATTTTTCCTGTTTTCATTTTCCATATTAGCTCAGCTCGACCTCGGCGCCGATGGGTGGATGAGTCTGTTCAGTCTGTAGAGTCTGTTAGGTGGGGCAAGTAAGTAAGCGAGGAGACTCGATGCCGATACAGCTGCACATATATGGCTAGATGTCGGCATTGCGGTTAATGCCACCAAGGCAGCCGGAGCAAGAGCAGCCAGCAGCCAGCGATATGTCCGCACATAGAATACCATTCCAAGAATGCTGCACCAGACTTTTCCATTAGCGCTCGCACATCGCCAGCGACTTTTGTTTACAGCAGCAGAAAAAATATCAATCAACACCCAAAAGCCCAAAAGAGTGCATCAATGGTGCAGTTGGGGATCGGGGCAAGAGTCGGTGGCATCCGATAGAGAGTTGTCAGCAGCAGCTGGACAAGAATGCGGTTTTTTGGGTCTCCATTTCATTGGGAAATGGTTATTACTAGTAATCCCATGACAACAACCTCTGGAATTAATGTGTACTTAAAAAAATGCCTGAAGAACATTTGTAAACACAATTTTATATCGTTCTTTAATAACGAAAACAAGTCTTAAAAAATGTTTATGAAAGCTTAAAAAAATTACACGATTACAATTTGAGGGACTAAAGAATGTATGCTCTTAATCCTTTAAAAAATATAGAACTCAAAATAAACGTATGATTACATGCATAAGACATTATTCAGAAGTTTTCCAGAAATGAGTAACTAAATGATCAGACCGCCATTTTAGTTACTCAGAGGAAAAGTATGATATTAAAATGGAGCAATGGAAACCAATTAAATGACTCAAAACTTAAAATATCACAAAAACAAATTAATCATTTACTTGTAACATTGGATTAAAATTCTTTGTTTTCGGTAATATTAATTGAATTTAAGTTTTAAAACGCCTGTGGCATATATTTTTCATACAAAACCAAGAGATAAATAGCTTTCACTAAATAAAATTTTATAATTAGCTATTTTATGAATACTTAGGTGATATTAACAACCACAAATCTGAGACAAATCGGCTTAAAAGCTCACAGCCGCGTCTGTTACAGGTGCAGGTCAGCACCTCGTCTCGTTGGCATAACTAAAGATTGGGGCGTGGGTGCCGCCCACTGATCTCCTGGCCCCCATTCAGCCTCCCCCTCCCCCTCCCCCGCCGCTCCGTTCCACTCAATGAAAGCGAAAATGCGATTGTGGGCGGTGGACAAGTTTGTGTAGTTTGGGCTTAGTAGGTCGACAGCTGATTGCGTTCGTACATCGGTTGGCATAGGTTGGCATGTGTATCGTTCGTTCTTCGCGGAGCAATCAAAATTACAAAACGATAGCGTCACGTAGTTATAGCGAACACAATCTGAGACCTTGGCACGATTCTGCCATGCAGCCAGATGTCGGGTTAGGTGCTCAGGCACGTTCTACAATGCCGTACCTCCGTACCACCGAACCTCCGAGTTCGCTGAAAGGGTTCCGAGTGCTTTATGGCCAAGACAGCCAACATGGACACGACAGCAGATTAAGGGGAACTGTTGAATAGGTTTATTGACCCGAACACCATGAGATATGCGGAGATAAAAACGGGGGATATTCACGCTTCCCTTAAAATTAAACAGATACTTGTTGTTTGCCTAATTCCCACCATTATTGGATTAAGCTTTTAAATTAGCAGCCTGTCACTCCGTGCCTTGAAAAACGCTAATAACGTGCACACATGAAGACAAATAAAATAATACATCATACATGCGGGCGGTGCTTAAATCAGCTTCCAATGCTATAAATCACATCGCAACTCACATAAAAAAGAAAAGAGAGAAAGGAGAATTTAAATAAGCTGCCAAAGAAAATTCAACGTAAAATGTGTTGAAAAGAGTGGCCGAGGAAAAAGTTCCCTATACGATAAAAGCAAAACAGATTTTAATTAAACCAAAACAACATTCGGGCCTCATACGCCATGCTAGATGTGCCCAATCCTACATCCATTCTATATATATGGATCTCTATAAATACCCGGCATAAACGAGAACTTTCAAGGTAAACAAATCATGGATTTTCCATTCGATGCACCCACGAATAAAATCAGTGAGCAGTTTTGAAACCGAAAGTGTGAAGAAAGGCAATCCCCACGGATTAAACTTGCCCCCCGATCAAAATTGTGGCACGATTTCTATTCAGGACTGGAAATAGAACACTGCCACCAATGCGAAGAGACTAAGGTTCCCAAGAAGCCGGCATCATAATCTTCACACAGTGGAATTATCCCCAGGCGATCGCCTAATACTACACAGATCTCAAATCCAACGAAATAGTCCCCCTGCCGAGCTTTCACTGTACTTGGCTGACGGCGACGCAGATGATGATGCTGCTCTTGGCTCATTCATTTGCTTACTATATTTCGTTTTTTTTTCTTTTTTGCTTTTTGCTCATACCCTGAGTCATAGATGAATTTATAGAAATTTCAATTTTGTGTACTACTACATGGGCCAGTTTGGAGGTCCGACACAGATGGCCAGTGCGATCCCCACCGGCGACTCGCCTGATTATTAGTTGCGCTTGAGTAATGTAACAGCAGCATCAAACGATTCATGCGAACTTTTATTTCACTTTTCATGTCAGCGGAAATTGGCAGGCGGTCAGCGAAACACACAAAAAAAGGTCGTTAAACAAATGTGTCACGATCCAGTGAAAAGGTACTGAAAATGGTTTAATGAGTGCTATTACGTCTGCCGAAAGCTGCTCAGTTTAACATAGTTTTTCCCAAAAACAATTATGTTTGTTCTGTGGAAGCTGTTTGTGTTACTCTAAAACTTAAACAGAAAAACGTGCTAACTAAAATTTATTCTGTTGAAATACTATGAATAAAAGCAGCTAGGATTTTTTGTTTGATTTAATTAATGTTTAGTTCTAAAACGAATAGTTTTTCCTAAATCACTTGAACAATTTTATTAAAGAACATGTGATATTCTTTGTCAAAAAATTCCAGTGAATATCGCAGACATGATACACAATGCCTATATACGTAAGAGTAATAATGTTTATTTGGCGATTTGCTCATTCAACTTGATTTCGTTTACATTTGCAGCACTTATAAACAACAGTCACGTTCTTACGTTTTCTTCTCTGAGTCCGTGGTCATTCAACTTTACTCAAATG